CAATATACATCAAATAAAGAAAAGTATTCTGTCTAGCTTAATCCCACTAGATATGTCTTAGATATTGTGCGAATTAATCCCACTAGATATGTCTTAGATATTGTGCGATATTTGATCCGCGACGGGATTTCTGAACACAGTTCTAGAAATATTAGATGTTCGATATTAAGACTGACCGCGGTGTTCACTGTTGTTGATGGTTCATTGATAAGAAAACGTACGCCAAAGAGAGAAACGTTTTTATGTTTTTTATGTGAAATAAAAGTGTAGGGTCTTCTACTTTAGATATATGACACGAGGCTTTTATAAAGTGGTGTGTGTGGTCAAGGATATTGAAAGTAATGTTAGCAATACGGTTTTAGGAATATAGTTTTTAGAAGGTGATGTTTTGAACTAAAAATTTGACAAGTAAAATCTTCATGAAAAGTTGGTTAAGATTAGAACAGAAGTACTAAGTAGTGACACACTGAGGTGTGGAACGTGTCGGGTGTCATAAGACCTTGTGACGCCACTGGTCGCGCCACGTGATATCATATAACTTGGTGACTAAACTACGAAATCTAACCTTGATTTCGTACACTGGGCTACATCAAGTCCAACATTAAATGTGTACACTTGATTAAAATAAATCTAACACTAATTGTGTACACTTGATTAAAATAAATCTAACCTTAAATGTGTGCACTTGACCAAAATAAATCTAACGTTAATTGTGTACACTTGATTAGGTTGAATCTAATCATAATGTTTTTAACTTGGCTACTTTAAATCCAATTCTAAACGTAATCCATGACCTCCATCAACTCGAAACGTCACCGCGTGCTTAGTTTGTGTCAACGTTTGAATCTTTTGTTACTCATGTTACTTCAGCAATTGTTCTGTCGTTTTAGCCTATATAGATAGGCCTGTGAACAAACTGGGCATTTCACTGTTAAGAATTATTTCTCCACGTGATATACTACTTAAAAAAACCCACTAAAATATTGGCAAAATTCGAAAAAAAAAGAAATAACCAAACCAAAAACACCTTGCCTTACTTCATGTCAGTCTTTTCTCAATTAGTTTATCACGAAGGGACGAAAGCCCAGGACTATTTTTGTAATAGACACAGTTACGTTCTCTATTCTAAAACCATGTCATCCTTCATCAGTCTATACAATTCTTCTCTAAGTCATGTTAGGTTTCCCATTTATTTTTACATGGGCCTTGTCCATCAATTAAAACTATGTTGCTATATATAGTTTTAATATTTCGTTTTAAGGCGGAATTAAAAGCCTCGACATAGTGTAGGCCTACATATTTTTTTTACTTAAATTCATACTTTGCAAACCCTTACTATAAAACAGTAATTCAGTTTGAAGGACTAACGACTAAAGTTTTTGTATCTACGCGCGCTGGGTGCAAAGGGCCGAACAATTAACCCGTGACGTCACAAGAGAAAGTGAATATCTATTTAAGGGAGTCTCTGAATGCCGAAAATTTCCAGTGCTGCGCGCAGCGGTACTGCGCTTCTTGACTTGGTTTATCCAAGTCTGCTTTGGAGCTCGCTTCATAAACACAACTTCAACTTTTTCACGAGAAATTAAGTTTTCAAATTTTATTTTCTAGTTGGGGATTTCAGTTTAATAAGTTTTTTTTACATCAAGGCAAATACAATTTCCTTTTGTAAATGTGTTAATGATTAACAGAGAAAGCGAAAAGTCCAAACAATAAATTCTGTGTTATAACATGTGGATTTTAAAGGGATTTTTAGTTTTCTTATGTTATGTTTCATCTACTGAAGGTGAGTCAAATTACACACATTTAAATAGATGCATGTTGTATGTTATGAGTAGACATAACCTATACTTCATTTCTTCAGAAATTTATCAACTCTGTCAAAAGTCTAACATAAAGCTTAACCTATTCAGACATGGGTTAATTTATTAAGCATCTGACAAATATACGTAACAATTATATTAAAATGGAGTTGAATATAATTATTTTAAAACAAGAAGCAGAGATGGGGCTACAGACCTAACTAGTCATGTGGATAATAAGTCTTTTGCGCATTTCTACCCCCAAACTCTTGCTTGGTTTATAAAATAAACTGAGTGAAAACTTTTCTTGATCCAGTAGTCGTTCAGTGGTCGGAGCATTAGCACTAGAGTACTCACACATAGCTACAAACACACGCACAAAATACAACAGTATGTGGACATGGGTGCAGCTTTCACGTTCGCTATACTAGAACACTATCACAAATCAACCAGATAACCAAAGCTGCATGAATCGAAATAATATTCTTGGACGTAACTGTGCATGAGAATAAAGAAGGCGATATTTTAATTTGGGCTAGGGACATTTTATTAAATCTTTGTTTCAGACGGAGAAATACTAAATAAAAGAACATTTTAACTTCTGTTAGATGCACATTCCTTCAATAATCTCCAGATTACATTTTTAGTGAACAACCTAAGCGTTTTTTTTTTAGATAAAAGCATGTGTTTCTTTAGCCACTGATTTCCAACGATCGATCTCATCTGTGTTTTGTCTTAGGTAGATCTAGCCTTCAGGTGTAACCTATTTATGAAGTCCATAAAGCCCCACCCTACTTCTCCACGTGCTATATCCCCAGATGGACTGTCCCCACCCTACTTCTCCACCTACTATATCCCCAGGTGGACTGTCCCCACCCTACTCCACCTACTATATCCCCAGGTAGAATGGCCCCACCCTACTCCACCTACTATATCCCCAGGTAGAATGGCCCCACCCTACTCCACCTACTATATCCCCAGATGGACTATCCCCACCCTACTCCACCTACTATATCCCAAGGTGGACTGTCCCCACCCTACTCCACCTACTATATCCCCAGATGGACTGTCCCCATCCTACTCCACCTACTATATCCCCAGATGGACTGTCCCCATCCTACTCCACCTACTATATCCCCAGATGGACTGTCCCCACCCTACTTCTCCACCTACTATATCCCCAGGTGGACTGTCCCCACCCTACTCCACCTACTATATCCCCAGGTAGAATGGCCCCACCCTACTCCACCTACTATATCCCCAGGTAGAATGGCCCCACCCTTCTCCACCTACTATATCCCCAGATGGACTGTCCCCACCCTACTCCACCTACTATATCCCCAGATGGACTGTCCCCATCCTACACCACCTACTATATCCCCAGATGGACTGTCCCCACCCTACTTCTCCACCTTCTATATCCTCAGGTGGACTTGCCCCACCCTACTTCTCAAACGTCGACAGCACCACCAAGCTGTCGGTCAAAGAAAACGCCAAGGCTGGCACCGTCATCAGTTCTATTAGTGCCATCGACCTGGACGGTGACGTGCTGACCTTCACACTGACCAATGACGGTGGGGGCCCGTTCGCATTGGACGCGGCGTCTCTAACAAAACCCGCTAAAACAGTGAGTATATTAACTGTCTCTGCAAACATTAGGCAGGTCTTTTTAAACTATTTAATAGTATTCCGAAGTTCAAAGATTCAATACGAATATTAAAAAGTATATTTGGAATATGATTGTGGAACGCTACCTGCTCCATACTTTATATATACAGCATTGATTTAAACGCATAGAATTTTTTTAAAAACCAAAACATCAGGCTATTTTATGTATTAATCTGGGCACATATTAGTTTTCCAACACCATTTTATATATTTATATAGGTGGGCTGTTGTTTTCTCTCCCATCTAATTATACACGTACACAGAAAGTCACTCCCATAGGCACCATATCTCTAGCCCAGTGGCCCATTAACCTTTTTGGAGGTACCGAACCCCACCAGTTTCATATGCGTATTCACCGAACCCTTCTTAAATAGTTAATCGTCCGCTCTGACAAAATCCGATCGTGAATCATACGAGCCGGGTGTGTGTCTTGACCTCCGCCGAACCCATGAGACTGACTCACCGAACCCCTGGGGTTCAATCGAACCCAGGTTAAGAACAACTGCCCAAGCCTATCACAGGGCTAAACTCTACAAATTTTGTTTCTCCAGTCAGCTTACATCAATATGACAGTCATCACCAAAACACCAGGACTGGACTACGAGACGACCAAGTCATACTCCGTGTCTCTCACGTAAGTTTTGAAAACTTTATTACAAAACAAACATGTCAATTATAATATGGCTTAAATACTCTTTACATTTTTAAAATATTTTTAGGAGTCTCTCATTATTTAGAGAGAATCGCATATTACATCTTTAGCAGAAGCAGGTGTAGATCAGCTAAAAGTCTCGAGTTCAAACCCTCTGGCAGATAAGGCTCGATCCCTTCCAACACTAAAAATTAAGAACGAAGAAGAAGAAGAGCTAAAAGTAGAAATTGAGAAAACAATATTTAAATCAGTGCTGCAATAGAGTTATTCATTTAACAATTAGAAACAGAATCATTCTTTCAGAAAATATTACTAGAAAATGTTAGTTAGTGTTACATGGTGTTAATTGCCACTCCCTATTATAATTTACACACACACACACACACACACGCGCGCGCGCGCGCAATAGCAGAGGCGTCACTAGGTCGAGTGTCATCTGGTGCGGTCACTAATTGTGTCATTACACCCCCATCCCATCCCCAAAAAGTTTACACTTTTGGTTTGGTGTCACACCCTCTCACCTACTATTTTATTATTTTTAACTGGATAAAACATTGCTTTCATAGGTAAATTTTTACGATTTTTTAAATTTGGTGACACCCCTGTACAAAACATTGCTTTGAGAGTAAATTTTACGCTTTTAAAAATTTGGTGTCACCCCCTTAAAATGGCGTCACCCGGTGCGGACCGCACCCCCGACCCAGGCATATGACGCTACGGCACAATACAACATTACGATCAACCAACCCCTACACACTCCGTGTTTACTAACATGAGCCCGGCCCCCACACACCCCCAGGGTAACAGATGGAGGAAGGACCGCCAGTGTCACACTGACCGTCCTAGTGATGGACGTCAACGACAACGCCCCCAGACTGACCATGACCCTCGCCGACCTGAAGGTCACGGAGGCAGTCAAGCGTGGAACAAAGCTCAACTACACTTTTTCAGCGCAAGAACCTGACGTCATTGACACGGATTACGTGTATCTTGCAGGTACCGAGTAACGTCCCTTCGTCTTTCTTTTGATTCATCTTGTAATATCTAAAGTTTCGCCCCTTTGTCTTTCTTTATGTAGAGATATCCATCTTGTGCTTACCGAGTAAACGGCGTAGCCCAGCGCTAGAACGCTAGACTGTTAAGGACATGGGCGGATGTACTTTTCGTCATAAATCCACTAAATCATCGATTTCCCACTTTTACTTGATCTATACAGAATAACCATCGTTGAATCTAAAAATGACATTGTTATGACCCTAAAAACAGTATTTATTTATAAAAAACCGGGTTCAAAGTAGTGTGTACAGGGTCATTTGTTAATTTTTTTGTAAAAATAGCCATTTTTCGACCTAGAAAAGTACTATTAGGCTTCACGGAAATCTAATGTGTTTCATATCAATTGAAAGGCCGTGACCTCCTTTCTTTATTTGTTCTAAAATTAAAGGACCAATCAAAATTTTATTTTAATGTGATTATTTTTCTACGTCATAAAGTTGTTTATTTTACTCAGTCGGGTTTTTCCGGTATGCAAATTTTTGACCTCAATTTTTTCATTGGCGTTCAACGGCGGAAGCTAGTTAGCGATTGGTAGTTTCGCTTCGGAAGTAAACATTCCCTTAGTTTCAGCGCGTTGCTAAGTTTGATCTAGTTTTGTTTCCCTAAGGGGTCATCCATAAATGACGTCACGCTTTTTTTGACGATTTTTACCTCCCCCCCTCCCCTCCGTCACACGTCGTCACAAAAAGTCAGACCCCCCCCCCTAAAATGACGTCACACCTCAACCTACAACCCCCCCTCAGAATTGCAGTTGAATTTTTTTAAAACATCGATATTTTTCCAAAATCTTGTCTAAACTATTACAATTTATTAAAACAGTTATCTAAAACGCGAAATAACGTCTAAAATTCGTTTTCTAACATTGCTTTTTTATAATGCAAATCTGAACCCCCCCCCCCCTCCCCCTCATCACACATCGTCACAAAATTACGGACCCCCCCTCCCCCCTACGAGTGTGACGTCATTTATGGATGACCCCTAAGCTTCTGTAAAATACTTACATTATTTTAACATATAATTATTTAAATTAAATATACTATTACAGTTTAGATTAGTTTGTGTGAATTATCATAAGCAGTGAGACGATTTAATTTGTTTCTCTTTCGATAATGGGTAGAACAAAACACTCGCTAAAAATAGATACACACAAACATCTAATTTACTAAAGCAAGGGCACGTCCGAATGCAACTGATTGCAGCTACCTCTACTCAATCTAGCACTATTCAGACAAGCACTGGTACAGATGTAATATGCCCATTTAATAAGAAACTGCGACAATGTAAGACACAGTTTTTACAGAAAGAAGAAAGCACTGTTACATCTAGTACTGGTAGTGCTAATTGTAAACCACAGCCATGCAGAATTATTGTCGAATGTGATTTGCTTCTTGATGTTATCAATACATTTCCTCGCCCACTGTGATGTAGTGGCTACTATTGATGAAAACAGTGTAAAGGGTTTGCTTCAAGCATGGTGTGGCAGTAATAAAAATGTTGTAAACCGTAAGTATACAACTGCAAAAGAATCCAGAACAAGGCCATTCACAATAAACAAAGACATCGTCTTATCATAATTGGCTTTAGCAGTGGCGTAGGCAGTGGGGGTTTAGGGGGGGGTCATAACCCCCCCCCCCCCCCATAGACCCCTCGGTATATATATAAAAAGTATGAGGGGGGTGCAAATCGAAAGTTTGAGGGGGGGGGGGGTGCAAATCGAAAGTTTGGGGGGGGGTGCAAATGGAAAGCTTGTCTCCGGGTAAAAATTGGAACCCCCCCCCCCCCCCCTTGAGACGATCCTGGCTACGCCACTGGGCTTTAGATATGAGACCATGCAAAATATACTGCTGTTTCTGCGACAGCATAATTCAATTTAGGGCCCAGGCATGCTATGGCATTGCTGTCAAAAGAAGGAAACCATAGTCGAAGACTCAATGAAGGACGCCAAAAAAGACGCGTTGACAACAGCTTTTCTACAGCTCTAGGTAAAACAAAGAGCGCCAGAAAAAAAGAAAACTAACAGCTGAACAAGCTCAGAAGGAATATATTCAGCAGCACCATACTTCAGGCTATGAATGTGGTCGATTTTAGTGACATACAGCTGTAAATTTTCATTTTTTGCAACTTTTTGTTGGTTTTTTGAGTTTTTCTCAGTTTGATGTTTTTTTGTACAATTGTTGAAATAACTTTGTTAATAATTATCAGAACTGAACTAAATTTGCTCCAGTTACTCTGTATATATGTTCAAATAAAACGTATTGAACACTTTTGGAATTTTTGTAAAGATTTTTTTTTATTGTTTAAATAGTGAAAAAATTGGACGAAAAAATGACATTTTTACAGTGATGTATCGAAAAAAAAGTAAAAAAAAAACAATCTTCTTTTTTTAAAATGTAATCAATAAGAAGTCTTAAACACATGTGTCTGCAGACTGTAGTAAGTTTTCATGAAATTTGTACAAACCATTTTTGAGTTATTTCCATTTAAAAATCGTCAATAAAATCCAATATGGCCGCCGTCACCATGGCAACGGAGGATTTAAAAAATTAAAAAAAATATTTTTATGCTTAACTCTTTGAGTTATAACTATTAGCCAAGTATTACATCTTTAGACTTGGAAATAAAGAAGTTGGTACTCATCACCCGCCCATGCCCTTAACCCTAAAGTATTGAGTTCGAATATAGTTTCGATTTATTAGAGGTTACCCAGCCCTGATGTGTACCTAACTCACGTTAGGGAAAGTAAAGATGGCTGGGAATAGTGTTGATCACACTATCTCTTCATATGCTAAGGTCACAGAAATAGGTGTGCACTCTACTTTACCTGCTCCATGGACCGTCGTGTTCGAAAAGGGGACTTTACTTTTACATTACAAGTACTACATTTAGTTCTTGGGTGCAAACTTACTTTATACTCAGTGAAGTGTAGCACTCATAAGAAGTGAAATTTCGCGGTTTTCCATGACAGTCTGACCATTCAAACATCTTGTATTACAAGCCTATTAGAATCAATACTTCACTCATTAGGGCTATGGTTATCCCTGACCATATCAGTCATATTTTCATATTTGACATACGCTAATACTAATGCTGATTTAAATATTTTCCTCTCAGCTTTTTTATTTAAAAAAAAAACAACGTTACAACTGTATATTTTCTGACAAAACAATAAATAATATCAATGCATACGTCCAACTGATGGCTTGAAGCTATACTACTTATTCACCATACAGAAGCAGTCAATCTATATCTACCAATGGGTAAATTATACGTGATATATCCTAAACAAGCATCATGAAAATGTATATACATGGTAAGCATCTCATCATAAACACAATATGTGAACATATACATAAAATGTTGCTATGTTGTGTTCCCGCAGGTAACGACAGTGAGATTTTCAACATCTTTCCTCTGGTGGGTTCTATCTATCTCAACCAGGAAGTGGACGTAGATCCAGGACGGGAGTATCTGGTCTTCAAACCCATACTTGTTGGTAGGTGTCTTTTTGTAACTGCTACGGACTGGTTTCTTTTTAGCGCAATTTCCATACTGGGGGATTGCGATTATTAACTCGTCATTTCTGGATGGATGGATGGATGGATGTGTGTCCGCAGCGTGTCCGCAGCTTTAAGTCGTATCTCCTCCTCAACGAAGCAATATCGAGGACTAGCTCCAAAAGCAAATATGTTAAGCAAGTTCCGAGGATGAACATAGGCCAAAAAAATTCCCGGAATTCCTTCCTGGATTTCACGGAAAAGCCAAAAAACCTAGAAAAAAATGCAGTTTTTGGCCCATATCTCGGCAATCAGACCACTTAGCGACTTGAAACATTTACAAATCGATTCCTGCCATAATTTAGAACAAAAATTTTCAAAAATATCCTTTCGTTCGGTCACAATTTTTTTTTTTTAAATTAGATAAACACCTACAAACCGATCGTTCTCCTAGCTTGAACGCACCCCACCATTATACGTCTCAAACTCGATCACTATCTATTTTTAGAAACCATAAGGAAATTGCGCTTAAATTGTCAATAGACTTTTTATTAACTTGTTTTTTTTTTTACTGCTGATAGTTTTTTAACAGCTACTGCAAGTTTCTTTTATTTATTTTAAAAAAAAAAAACATTATCTGATTTCTTTTTTTATGTTACTTTGTGATTTTATAAAACTGCTTTTGAATAGTTTGTTTTAGCTGTAAATTTTCTTTTGAGTACGCCCAGCACAATGTCAAATATTTTCATGTACTCAGTGAAGCTGGGGCGTACGTGTGTGTGTGGGGGGGGGGGGGGGGGCGTCAAGCAGATTTAAACCAAACTTGACATGACCAGAGTTCGATCCTAGAATTCTTTTTACAATTACGTAACTACACGTAACTATCAGATCATTACACTCCTGTCAAGAAACAGCTCTTAAAATTGTATCACTATGAGGATAGCCTAATTTATCAAAGTTTGATTTGCCAAACAATTATAAATTCGTTTTTTTTCCTCAGTATCTGATGGAACCTTCACCGACTCAGCAACCATAACTCTTACAGTGTTTGACTACAACGACAACCCACCAATATGTAATCCGTCCACGGCTTATCTTTCCATAGAGGAGAACTCAAGTAAAACAATTCATTTCCTTCACAGAGAAAGTTTAAAAAAAAAACGAATTCAAATCCTATCAAAATATTTAACGATAATAAATATATGTGTCTATGTATGATAAAACAGTTAAGGGGTCATCCATAAATGACGTAAAACTCGTAGGGGGAGGGGAAGTGGCGTAGCGAGGTCGGGTGTCACCCGGTGCGGCACTTAATGGTGTCACCCCCCCCCCCCCCCAGAGGCGTAGCGACTCTTCCCGGGGACAAGCTTTCAATTTTCGATTTACACCACCCCCCCCCCCCCTCGATCTTTCGATTAGCTCCCCCCTCAAACTTTCGATTTGCACCCCCACCTCAAATTTTTCTCTATATATTTTACTATTTTTTGCCTTGGTGTCACCCCCTCTAAATGGTGTCACCCGGTGCGGTCCGCACCCCCCCCCCCTCGCTACGCCTCAGGGGAGGGGGTCCGTAATTTTGTGACGATTTGTGGTGAGGGGGGGTGTTCAGATAGTGTGATGTGACACTTTTGCATGTTAAAAATATATTATTAGAAATTGAATTTGAGCCTTTTTTTCGCGTTTTAGAAAAATGTTTTAATAAATTGTATTATAACATTGATTGAAATACCATGTTGACGGAGATAAGTCAATATTTTAGAAAAAAAAACCGATGTGGTAAAAAAATTCAAATATAATTTTTAGGGGATAGTAGGCTGAGGTTTGACGTCATTTTAGGTATGTGTTTGGCTTTTTGCGACGATGTGTAACGGAGGGGAGGGGAAGGTAGAAATCGTCAAAAAAAAGTGTAATGTTATTTATGGATGACCCCTTAATATCGTCTATAGATAGCGTCACCATACTGTCTCAAATTTTCGCCCTTTTCTCCCTCTTTTCACGAAAGATCCCCCTCTCCACGGATTGCTTGACGTCTTTTATACAGTGTTTCTTCCAGACTTTTTTCTCCGGGGGGGGGGGGGGGCACTTGAAATTTTCGGGGGGGGGGGGCGGTAGACTTTCTTCGGGAGGGGGGGACACACTGTTAAAAGTATATATTTTCTATATAAATTATATAAATTTCATTTCGTTCGGGGGAGCGGTAGAATTTTTTCGAGGGGGCTTTGCCCCCCCCCCCCGGAAGAGATGCCTGGAAGAAACTCTGCTTTTATGGATTTACTCTTTTACATAAAAACTAAAAGGATGGGGAGAAAAGAAACAAAACAATACTTAATCTTCGTTCGTTTGCACCAGACCCCAAAACTTTTCATTTTACAATCATGTCTATATCTGCCTATTTGATGATAGACTAGTTCTTGTTTTCATTGTGTGTGGCTTCTATGTCCCTTCTATGATCAGCCCATAACCATATGTGTTACAAATATAGGCTGCATTCATTTAAGAAAAACTAGGGACAGGCAACTTAATGAAAATCAGGAAAGTTACAAATTTGATTATATTTGTTGCATTTTAATAAATCTTGCGTCTTTTCCAATTTTTCCGCCAATTTTTTTTATGCAACTGGGTGGGGGGGGGGGGGGGGGGTGAGGTCCCCTTCCTTACCACCTACACCCGCAAGACATCCATTGGCAACGAATAGATTGATTACCATCGATATTACCAATAAAACTTTTCCACAAGATTCCCATAGATATCCCTTTTACGTGTTTCCACATAGCCTTTGTATAGACTTAACTGCTTAATAACTGTACCAAAAGAGATAACAAAATAAATTATCATTTCATTGGTGTTTGCAGGTGGAGCAGGATTTTATACGCTCAATTGCACAGATCGTGACAGTAGTTACAACAACAATAACCTTTTAAGTTATTCGTCGAACAACAGTGCTGTCTTTAGGTCAGTTTTAATATTATGAATATATGAGGTATTTTTTTTTTCATAAATTCCAGACAGATTTTCTTAGAAATTCATATATAAATCTACATTCTATAAGCTTGGTTAAACACAATTTATTATTAATACTTTTGTGAAAAATGTTAGGATAAAAAAAAGATAAGACTCTACTCTCTATACATTAGAACAAAATTATGCATTAGGCCTTTATTTCATATCTGCACGATTTAAGTGTAATCGCTCTTTGCTTTAGTTTATTAGTTATTTATTTTGGTTTATTTTTTTATGAGAGTTTATTTTTGTTTGCAGCGTCGATTTTTCCGGAGTGGTCTCCCGCTTCGCACCGTTTGATTACGAAACAGCTACCACCGAGACTGTGATTATCAGCATACAAGACCAATCTGCAACGAACCCGCTCTCCACATCGGTCACAGTTGTTGTTTCAGTAAGAAATCGGCATTGTAAAGAACCTAAAACACTTAACACTAATATTTCATGGGAAGGGGGGGGGGGGGGTGGCAGTGGCGTGATTAGATGTTTTTGTTGTGATAAGTGTGAGGGGGGGGGGGAGGTGAATCAACAAAAGTAAAAAAGGGGACCACATTATTTCTGCTTCTGGGTAATTAAAAAGTCGTTTCTGGAATACATTGTAATAATGATAACACTAATTTAGATATTAAAATAATAATGAAATGTTTTAATCCAATTTATAATTTAAACAATGTTGAAAATAATGCTGCTGATTACAGTTGATCCTTGCTGACATAAAAAAAAAAACTGAATAAACAACACATTTCTGACTGAAAATATTTAGATCTAGTATCATTGAGTACCTTAACTTTAAAAAATATTTTATATATTTGTTAAACCTAACAGCTACTCTCACTGTTTAATTAAATAACTGCTTAAATTGACCTACTGGTACTACTCAACCATGAACACTCAAATTTTGACCCCATAACTCCATTGCAATCCAGATAACTCCTGTTAATGACAATGTCCCAGTATGGTCCTCTTGGTTACCTGCTATATCTGAAAGTAGTAGCTACAGCTTTAATGAGAATACACCAGTTGGAACAATACTGTTTACTGTCGTAGCTACAGATTCTGATGTGACTGTTGGTGGTACTATAACTTACAGCATCGAGTCAATAAAAAATGGTTTGTAAACATTTAAATACACTTTTTAATCAACTGAGCTATGTATGTTAAATTTTTTTGGGTACATTTTGAGATTTTAGCCTCTAATAATCTTAAGAGGTGGATAATAACATTACTAATTACATGTTCTTAATATGAATGAAGCTTATAATTTGTTTAGTGAATTTATCTGACATTTCTTTTTAATTAGAAAAATTTTAATGTCATTTTTGTGTGCAGTCTAAGCTAAAATTTCAAAAGGGTGAGGTCTAATATACAAGTTTACAAAAAAAATGCGCAGAACGCTTGAGTAAAGCACTTTCAAAAGCTAGGATACAATATAAATAAATAAAAAATGTTTTTCAATATTAAAGTTATTTATTAATTATTTGCATTTAACTTTTCAAATTTGATTTTCAGGAAGTATTTCAGTGCCAGGTGTTTTTGGCATTGATGCAAAAACTGGGCAAGTTACTCTTCAAGCAAACTTTGATACTGATGGCGTCAATGGGTTGTCTGTTTACACTGTCAATTTTCAGGTTGTTAGTTAAGCTTTCAAGGGGGAAAATCTGGTGTAAAATAATTTTTTTTATTTTTTTTTAACAATAAGTAATAGGCCTATATGGGTAAATAGTTTAACTTTTTATTTTATTTTAAATTTTACCATCCTTTTAATTCCATTGTGGTTTAGTTTAGGTTTAACATTCTTTTAACAATAGTTAATTGATCAGTGTTTGAGAAATGTTTTATTTCATTTGCATGAATGTCAAGCTGCAGATATCGTGGTTCTTCTATGCTAGCAATATTGATTGATGTTTTATTTTTTGTTCATTAGGATAGGGTTGGGCCAGGGTTATGCAAAAAAAATAATAACTCCAATATGCAGTGTTTCTTCCAAATTTTTTTCCTCCGGGGGTGCACAAAAAATTTCGGGGGGGGGGGGGGGGGGCACTGTCAAAAGTATATATACTCTATATAAATTCCATTTCGTTCGGGGGGGGGGGACGACTGCCCCCGCGAAGAGATGCCTGGAAGAAACTCTGCCAATATGGTCTAACGATTAATCTGAAAATTTCTTTTTTTGACCTATGTGTACTCTTTTATTTTATCCAATTCATGTACACAAAATTATTTTTTGTTTAACTTTTATCATTCAGGCAACTGATGGTGCAGGGGGATCTCACACCATTACAAAGAGTGTCAATATTAGTGTGAGAGATTATAATGACAATGCCCCAGTATTTTTAGGCACACCCTATATTACTCAGTACATACATGAGGTGGATACCAAAGCTGGGCAACTTGTTTTACTGGTGAGTTTTGCGTATTGTTTTTTTTATATTATTTCTCTCTCAGATATCTAGAAAGTTTTTATTTATTATTTATTTTATAATGTACATGCTTTAAAAAATCAAAGTCTTTCAAACGATATGTTATAATTTTTGTATTTACTTTGATAACATTAATAAATGTTCTATAAAATTAGATGCTTTATTTTAAGTTACTTACAACACATACTTAACTTTAAAAAACTTTCTTCCTGCACAGTTATCTGCACTTGATCAAGACACTACCCCATCTGTGCTTACATACACAGTGGACACCATTTTAGTTGGCAACAGAACATGTTAGTTTGACAAGAAACATTTACATGGGAGACAAAACTAGTCAATGGGGAATGAACATAATAAATGGGCTTAGAAAAAAAAGGGGCAAAAGTAGCCTACACCTGTAATAAATCTCTTTAAAAAATAATAACTATGTCACCAGTTCTCATTTTTTTTTTAAATGCAATTTTTCCTGGTGTCATTAAAAACTAGCCACTGTATTATAAGAGAATCTCCTATTTTAATGAATTTTTTAATAATTATTTTTCTAAGACATCCAATATTTTTTTAAATATTTGTAGTAGCAGATTGGCAATTTAGTAGTGTTGTTCCTGGCAGGCTTGAGTTTGCTCGTACGATTGATCTGGACAAAGATAATCCCATGTCAACATTTACTATTCTCAGGGTAAATTATATAGTTTGTTTTGTTTAAATGAGTTTTTATTTTAAATATGTAAACCATAACTTCAATGAGTAGTTCAAATACAAATCTTAACAACTCACATTATATTTGCAATACTATTTTATGAGTATAATACATAAATTAAATGTTCCAGATACTGGTAAAAGACAACGGTGTTCCTGAACAGACTGGCACAACAACAGTACGAGTGAATCTAATACCAGATAATGAGTTCTCACCCACCATTATATCAGAGCCTGGGACTGCTATTGTTACGGTAGAGTTATAATGTAGTATTTGATTAAACTGAGATTTTATAAGATAGATTTTGAAAAGTAAATTTGTGAATTGAAACCCATCTGATGGTCAAAACTAAACTTTAAAAATCACATGTAATATTTGTTTTACAACATTTATATAAATATCATGAATTAAAAATACTTAAAGCCCAACTGTTTGCAAATCAAATTTATATTCTGTTTAAAATTGGTTCTTATGCCTGATTTAATATTTTAAAACACATTTTGGTTTTAAGAAAATTTTCTAAAATGTATGTTTTTTACCGGTTTTGATTATTTGCATTTGAAATATGTTGCATATTTATATAAGTACAAAACCGTACCTGAGTAAAAGTTGAATATAACTAAAATAAAAAAAAAAACACTAGAATTTTTAAAATGTATTTAAAGCGACAAATAAAAGATTCAAACAAAATATTTTCAAATTGTTTAAAGGCAGCTTAATAATTACAATTATCTTAGTTTTTAATAAAAAGTTTGTGTACAAACATTGTGTTGATCTACTGTGATAGATGCAAGAGAACCAGCCTGTTGGAACTTATATTAGCAAAGTTTCTGCTACTGATAATGACAAGGGTGATGAAGGAGTTCTACAGTTTAACATAATTGGTAACTGTCCTCATTTTCAATTCTAATCATATTATTAATCTGACGTTCCTTTCCTAAATTAAACTACAATGAACTCAAACTGGTGCATAGTAATAACAGTTATATTGATCCCATTTTTTTTCATAATATAAAATATCATGAGTAATTCCACAGTATCAATGTGACTCACATGGATGAATAAATAATATTTTACATTTATCTTTTTACACATTTATAAATTATAGTTATATATTTTATCAGCCAAGAATAATCTATAATATCTAAGAGAATGATCATAGCTTATAGCTGTCCTCGTAGACTAAAACTAACTAGGCTATGAAATTATTTACTCATACATTATATATATATATATATATATATATATATATATATATATATATATATATATATATATATATGTTTTTGCAGAATTTAAATATTAAGATATAATAATTCAGTCTTTTACTTTCTCTTCATTTTATACTGACAGATGGAAATCAAGATTCCGCCTTCAGCATTAACTCAGATGGATCAATCATTACAAATGCTATATTAGACAGTGAGACACAGAATTATTACAAACTAGTAGTAAAGATTTCAGACAGTGGCTTGGAGATTATCAGGTTAGGATGGTTTACCCCTGTAGTTAGATGTAGCGGATTGCATTCAGTGTTGTTTTGCTATATGATGAATAGAAGATGTAACTTTTACATAACTCACTAGACAATTAAATATATTTTGGATTGATTATTAAAACATTTTTTTAAGTTTCCTGTACTGTCCATTTCCCTATAGATCAGTGACAAGCACAGTGACAGTATCTGTTGTAGATGTCAATGATCATTCCCCTTCTTGTTCTCTTGCGTATTTATATCTGGAAGTTTTGGAAAATACAACCGCTAATACACTGGTAAGGTATTGGTGAAATGCTTGCTTAAGTCAAGTAATTCATGCAGTAAACTTGACTTAACATGACTTCAGTCGTAGTTATGATTTATTTGTATAATAATTTATTTATTTAACTTGAATACTAATTGTATTTTATTTAAGAATTTCCGTTTATCCACATAGATGATTATTGGACAAAGTAAAGCAAGTAAATTTCTGTGGCTATGTTATTTGATGGGTTTTGTATGTTTGTAAATTGCCATTTATAGTCAGATAATTATAGGAGACATATGATCACAGATTATCCTACAGCTTTGTGGCAGATATTAAAGTGCAGACTTTCAGATTAGCTATCGTTAGTTCTACCCCTTAGCTTTGCTTTAAAAACATAGATTTGTTTTTCTTCTTTTCATTTTAGATAAGTAACATCAACTGCACTGACCTTGACACTGGTGATACATTAAAGTATTATGTACAAGCACCATATGACACCGTATTTGGCTTTAGTTCATCATCATCAAATCAACTTAGACTACTAGCGCGTAAGCATTATTTCTTTTCTGTTTCTTTTTAGTTATAACCTTATCTTTTTTTTTTTAAAAACGTAGTTAATGGTAGGTTTCTGTTTCTATAAAAATTTGAGTGTTCTATTAATTCATTTAGTTTAAGAATGATGATTAAAAAAACAAAAAAAACTATTAGTAGATATTAATTTTTTAATTTTTTAAAATGTGTTTAAAATTACAAATAAAATTAAATTTCAGGAAATAATCTTGTTTTCTTTTAGCTTTAGATTATGACTCTCCCACCCAGAAGTATGATATCAAGATAATCTGCAGTGATGGAGTAAATAATTTCACAATAACATCTCGGGTTAAAGTTTTACCTGTGAATGAAGCAGCGCCCAAGTTTTCAAACAACCCCTCCATCACTGTATCTGAGAACCAAGTTGTACAAGACGTTGTCTTATACTCAGCCACTGATACAGACTACAGCCCACATGGTGTTGTTCTATACAAAATTCAGTCAGGTACGCTCATGACACATATATGAAAGACAGTATACATATAGGGAGAGGGTTTTTAGAATTAAGTTATGATGTGGTAAGTAGATGAGGGGTGGGTTAAGAAATAAGACTGTTAAAGGCCAAAAATAATAAATAAAGTTAATTTATCTTTGTTTTTTTGTTTTTTTTATGTTCTTGTACAGCTCTGTAATGTAGTGTAATTTTTTCTTAATCTGTACAAATAACTATAAATAAATGTTAATATTAGTGATTAATTAATTAAATTGTTGAATGATTAAAATATTGAATAATTAAAGTTTTGATTTATTAAACTGCTGACCAATTAAAGTATTTTATATTCTTTCAGTTAGCAATGGCGGCGCAGCATTTTTTGACATTGATCCAGCATCAGGGTCAATAGATGTAATTTCAGCATTAGATTATGACATTCTTCCAGCTGACAGTAAAAAATATGAAGTCACTATCATTGCTGCAGATGGTGGGGGTTTGGAGGTAGGCGCTTGTTTCATTTTTTTTTTAAACATAGAGAAATTATTCCAGAAAAAGTATTTCAGTGATCCCTTCCTTTTCTAAATTAAACATTTTTAAAAATAGTATTTAAATGTTGAATTTTCTGTAAAAATTAATTCTTGGACTAACTTGCTCTAGGGAACTGGCACAGTTACAATTCAAGTTGCAAATGTTAATGATAATGCTCCAGTGTGTAATCACACCATAGCTGTAAATGTGAATGAAATTCAAGGTAAGTTGGCATTGATGGGATTTGTGGATAATAATATTAGTGAGAGGCAGGTGGCATTGCTAGGTCATGTGTTACCCAGTGCGGCACCTAATCCACATATATATATATATATATATATATATATATATATATATATATATATATATATATATATTTCACTTTTAAGTATGTGCACACACCTGAAATATGTCTTTGAATATATCTTTTTTTTCTAAATGTATTTGATTTTTTTTAAGCTACACATTTTTTGGGCTGAACTTAGTCCTAATTTTTTTTAATGTGTATGATCATGAGTAACATAGCGACCAAATACTTTTTTACAATGTTTGCATCTGTTTGAAGCTCTTTGCCTCTTATGGGTATTCCAAATTTGTAATAAAAGTATTATAATTTAACATATTCCATTGCAAAATAATCCAAATTTAATGATCAAACTGATTTAAGCTGCAAATTAAGGTGTAAATTTTCTTTTAACTTATTCATATATTAATAAATATTTATGACCATGAGACATACCTTTGGTAAATATATACATTGATTTTATATATATATACACAACTTTTAATAGATTAGGAAAATAACCTATTAAACATATCACAAATCATTGATAACAAATCAGTAAAAAATTTATTAAAAAACACAGTACTAGCATCAACACAAGGCTAAATTATTTAAGCAATATCAAATGTACAATTATTGCTCTATTGGTTTCACTCACACACACACACACATGTACAAGTACACACACTTACACACTCATAGGCTGTTGTGTATCAATTTGCTAGTTCAAATGATATGTAGATTTATGCACTTCCAGTGTGGTTTCACCCCAATCCTCTTCAGTGTACAGTGTTTTTGGTGTCACCCTCTCCCTAACATTTTGTTGAATGGCATCCTGGGAAAAAAAATAGTAAATAATTCAAATGGAAAAATCATTGTGAGAAGCAATATTTGATGTTATTCTTTATGTTGGAATAAAGTATTATGTAAGGGGCTTGGCGATGTGAAACAGAGATTTTTTCTAAGCAGGGTTGAAATGGGTACTTTGAGTCTGGAAGATGGTTGCAATAGGAAGTAGCCTATTGAAGAGAGAATTTTCATTATTTGCTAGATGATGGTGGTCTCTTGAACTTAATTGAGATTTCTTGTGTAATGGGTTTGTCTTAGGTACAATGGGTTTCATTGTATCGCTGGGACATTTTTTCTTAATCTAAGGGCACCCTCAAATGCCGCCACAAATAAGAGTTTAAATTCATTTAACATAAAGGGTTAAAATACAGGTTATTAATGTAGTTTAAATAAATTTAGCTACATATTTTTTTTTAATTTAATTAAAAATGAAGTTTAAAGAGTTTATATATATATATATATATATATATATATATATATATATATATATATATATATATATATATATATATATATATATATATATATATATATATATATATATATATATACATATATTTCTAATAAAAAAATATATATTATTTTTAAATAGTGTATTTTAAATTTATAAGTGTATTGTTTTTATAATACATATTTTATCTAAAATATCTGAATTTGCCTCCCTTGAATATTTTACCCATAACTTGTAGGGGGTCATCCATTTATGACGTCCACACGGGAGGGGGGGGGGGGGTCCGAAGAAAATTGACTTTTGCGGAGGACGCGTGTGAACTTTTAATAGGGAATTTTGTGGACGGGGGGGGGGGGGTCCAAAATCCAAAAAAAAAATTATGGGCGTCATAAATGGATGACCCCTAGGCAAATATTACTTCACTTGAATCTGAACAAAATAAAATATTTTTATTAAGAAATTATTATCACTTTCATTTTCTAAATCATGACTATATTAGTAAATTGAATTTTCTGATTACTTGTCCTCTGAAGTTACCCTTTTAATATAGAAAAATATTTTAAAATGTTTTTATGTTATATTATCATGTACTAGTCCATACATTGTGCTTGCAACTCTTTGCAAAACTACTTGGCCTAAAAGCTTACCATTTGTAGCATAAAAAATATTTTGTAACCCATGTCTTTATGTTTCATTATTATCTTCAGGAGTTGTTCCTTACATTGTTCTTACAAATCTTGGCTGTGCTGATAAAGAGGATGGGACATCTTTAATTTACTCTCTCACCCAATCTCCCGGATCCCATTTTACATGTTTGGATGGTCTTGTACAACTTAAAAACAGTAAGCTCTTTTTACAACACCGTGCAGACCTATGTGATAATTTATAAGTATCTTATATTCAAATATGATAGGCCTAAGCAAATTAAACAATGGATAACTAATTTACATCTATCATAGTTGTAGTCAGGTTTAACAAAATGTAACTAGATATATAGGTGGTCAACATTTAAACATCAGTAGACATATACACATAATGATCGTGTATATAGCAGTGAAAGCACTCTCTGTATAAATTAAAGCAACTTCATAGTATAATGGGTTTTTTTTATCTATGCTTCTTTTAAATTATTTCTCAAAGTTCTTTAACTGAGAGGTAAACATGCAGCTAACATAACTTAACTTACTAAAATTTAGATTATGATTCTTGTTTTCATTTCAACTTTGATTTTTTCCAATCTTACCAAAGTTCTTGCCTGATTTAGTGTTAAAATCTTTTTGTTCTAACTCTATAGATACACTGGATTATGAGACTGCTTCTCTTCATACTCTGGTGATTGCTGTAAAAGACAAAGGTACCCCCAGTCTCTCCACCACTGTGACTGTGTTGGTGAGTGTGGTCAATCAGAATGATGGTGGACCAGTGTTTACTGCTCCAGCTCCTATCAGTGTTGCTGAAAATGTTGCATCTGGCTCTTTTGTTGTTGGTATGTTCTAGTGGACTAATTACATGGCTTGATGGTTGTTAAACTTACTGATGGTCTGATGGTGTGTTGTATAGAAATATTGCTGATTTAAATAAGTACCCAATTGACTGCTAGTCCAAATGTCTTGAATTTGGATCTCTGTTTAGACTCGTGACTGCAGGACGTCCCTGAGTTCACCCAGTTCTGATGGGTACCTGATTTATGGTAGCCAAACACAGGCAGTTGGGCATAGTGTTGACCATGCTATCCCTTCATATCATGAGGTCATTGAAACAGATGAACTCTACTTAATGTGTCTTGGCACAAACAGGAAAAGATGATATGATGAAATAAGTACACTAAAATATAAGAGCTTACTGACGTTCTTCAGACAACCTCAGGCTTAAACTCTGGGTTAACATTTGTGCACTACTTAACCATTATATTGCCATTAAACTTGAAAGTTGCTTTAGGCTAAACATTAGTCTAATTATATATAAAAAAATTGTGTTTAACAAATGATTGAATACTGACAAAACTTTTGATGCATCAGCTGTCACAGCAACTGACCCAGATGGAAATGATCCTGACTTTGGGGATGTGCGTTACTCTCTTGTCGCTGGGGATCCTGCCAGCCAGTTCTCTATAGATGCAAGATCAGGACAAATCTACACCACAAAAACACTTGATTTTGAAACCACATCCTCATACAGACTTGTGATCCAGGTTTAATTTTTAAAACATTGTTTTCTTGTTTAATTAATTTATGTAGATGATAATCAATCAGCTCTGCAAATCAAGATTACTATTTTATTACCTAAAAGTTATATTTTTTACCCACGGCATCTTTTTTTGTTGTGCTTGCTAGATATTTTAAGAATTTTTTAATCAAGTTGTTGCACACAAGAATTGCATAGTTATACATGTTTTGCTTAGTTATTAAATTAAACCAAAGTCAAAATTTAAAATTGTTATACACATTTTTACAAAGTTTTAAGTAATTTTGTTCTTTTAACTATAGCTTTTTATTGATTTAGGTGAAGAAGAAAAACAGACACATTTATTTTTTAATAAATAAAAGGGTAAAAAGCAAACAAACAGCTTGAGTTAATATTTTTACTAAAGCATATATGTTTTTACTTTATAGGCCTCAGAAAGAGCAGGTGGAAACTCGGCCAGTACAACACAGACAGTCAATGTTGTAGATTTGAATGATGAGAGGCCATTGTGTCAGACTGGAGCCATGCTGGTGACAGTACCAGAGAACAGACAGCCCAGTAGTCTGATCACACAGTTCACATGCACAGATGCTGATGCTGGAACCACACTGGTCTATAACATTACAACTGGTGCTGACATCTGCAGGGTGAGTACACAGGGTACGTTCTATTAATAGTGATTAGGTTTACTCAATGTACATTCTATAAATAGTGAGTTCACAGGTACATTCTATTAATAGTGATTAGGTTTACATAGAGTACATTTTATTAACAGTGAGTATACAGTTACATTATATTAATAGTGAGTAGATGGAGTACATTCTATTAATAGTTAGTAGGACTACATGCGGTACATTCTATATGGAACCTTCTGTATTAGGAACCATTTCAAATCAGTTGGTTATTAAGGCAGATGAAGTATAGTTTTTTTTTCATATATAGAGACCTGTGGTCAGCACTATGCTTGGTGGACTTTATTTTCCAAGTATCTATATGGTCCCAAGCCTGTGAATAATTTAATCTATAAACTAACTCATTTAATGTTATGTTAATTTTTTTAATCATAGGTGTTAGCATGCATTTAAATAAATATCTGCCAAGTGTCTATTTATAGATTAGATATTCATTTCAACTAAACATACAAATCAAAAACATCCTGGATTATTTTGTTATATGTTATTAAATCTCATCTTTTAATCTGTGGACTAAAAGTTTTAAAATGACAACAGATTGAAGGTAACCAGCTGCTGTTGAGAACACCCTTGGACTTTGAGAAAAAGGCGAGTCATGATATAGTGGTTCATGTTTCTGACATGGTAGAGGCACATGCCTTAGACATAGCAGTAACTATCAACGTTGGCAGTGTTGATGAAGGACCACCTGTCTTTACAAATGGTCAGTACTCACTGTATGGAGTGTGTGATGCTTCAAATGTGATTATTACTATGTTACTGTAAGTAATTTTGATAAGCCCACACAATTTAAAAAGCACCATAATACTTGTATAAAAATTATTGATGAATTATTTTAATCAAACTTTTCAATTTGTTATGAGGTATACTTTATTTAGCTGCATTCTATTAAGGCAAAAGTTTTGACACAATTAACTGTCCCATGTGTTTTTGATTAATGAGTTTTAGATTCACTGTGTTAGGTTTTTAATTTTATTTATCTTACCAAGGATGAGCTCCACTTCTGCCTATTTTTTGCTGATTGCAAGCCTTGCATTACTAGTTTAATAGATAAACTTGAAATTTCGTTATTTTGTTAAATATTTTATTTATTAAATATGTATTTATTGTATCTAACCACATGTGGCACCACTGACTGGTGAAATATTTCAGTATGTTCTTATTAACATGTAGATCTTGTTCATCTATTCTAGACAAACGATACTTACCAAATATAACACTTTTTTGTGTTATCTGAACACTTATTATCTATTTAAAAAACTTTTTTTTTTCAATAGGGACTTTTTATTTTAGTGTACGAGAAGATCAACTTATTTTAAGTGAAGTAGGTGCTGTTTTGGCTGTTGATCCTGATTCCCCGGTGGATCAGAATGGTCAAGTGGTTTATTCATTTACAGCACCTTATCCACAGTTTTCTATTAACAAATCCAGTGGAAAGGTAGGTTTATCATACAATTGTTACTTACTATTCTAAACACAATACACCAAATATTTTCTATTTTTAATTGAAACTAATGTTATCAGCACATTTTCTCCTATTTTAAATTAAAGAGCAAAATCAAATACGTAGCCAATGTATCTGTCGTTCCATTACCTTTTTTGCTTGCATTTACTTCTTTTTAAAGTTTTACAATTAATGGTGTTCTGTTGAAATGAAAGTTGATTTATTTTCTGCTCAAGTATTTGTATGTATTTGTCTTCATTCCCTCATAACCTCCTAACATGGAAATATTTCAGATTTTGTTAGCTCAGAGTTTGGACAGGGAGACAACTCAACACTTTAGTTTAGTTGTAAAAGCTTCAGATGCTGTCAATTATACTACTGCTAATGTAGAGGTTACTGTTCTTGATGTCAATGACAACAGCCCACAATTTTCATCAAATTTATATAGGTAGATCAGAATTCTGTTCTTTTCATAGTAGCACAGTAGCATTTTATTTAATGCCATGTTTTAACTGGATTTTATTTAACAAATAATTAAATGTAACAGTTAAAGATAATTAAAGTTAATTACATTATAATTATTTTTAAAATGTTCAAATAAATCATTTTAAAATATTTTATGTATACTTAAGTCTTAGTAGTTGGATTTATAGCATGAATTCATGAGAACAGACCTATGTCTAAGAACAAAATTGATGAAAATCTACAAAAATGTATGTATTAAAAATAACTTTTTTGATTCTAGTGCAACAATGTCAAGGACTGATGTCACAGGAACCAGCATTTTAAAAGTTGTTGCCACAGATTTAGATGATCCGGACACTAACAACAATGGAAGGATCCTATATTCACTTGGTATGTTTTTTTTTCCTAAATTAAATAACAATATTACTAAGTATATCACTTAAAGGATCCTATATTCACTTGATGTGGGTTTTTTCCTAAATTAAAAAACAATATTTCTAAGTTTATCACCTAACATTATTTTGTAATGTTAACCCATTATCACCTTACAGCTGGTAGTCCATTATTCAGCATCAACTCCACGTCTGGTGTGATAAGAAATACAGCCATGATCTCTGTAGACAACAGGACAACTTTCTTCTTTCTTAAAGTCACAGCTACAGGTATGAATATGACAAAATTTAAATCATAACACTTTTATTAAGTAGACTTAATCTGTTTATTTTACCTTAGCAAATGTAGAGCATTGTGCTCATCTATCTTTACTTACCTTGACTTGAGTCAGGTACCCTTGAGAGCTGTGTGAACTCAAGGATGTCCTATTAATGCCTGGAAACTTGTAATTAAATGTTCTATCATTCAAACATGCTCTCCCTTACTGTATTGTATTGTCATATCCACATAATACATTGTATAAATATGATAGTGAATACAGCAATACATAGTACTATGTTAACAATGAAGTAAGTTACTAAAAAATGTGTTGATTATTCAGATAGCAATGGTGGAGCTGGAGCCTTAAGCAGTGCTGCTGATGTTACTATTACTGTCAGCACCTTCAACCAGTATTCTCCTGTCTTCAGCTCAACAAACTATTCTGTAGCGGTGAGAGAGAATCAACTGGCTGCTGGTGACATTGTTTTAAATGTTAGTTTTAACTGTTACTTTTTTATTTTCATTGCTCTTCTTGGTTAAAAGTTTAAAATTGTCTAATATTGAAAATGTGTAATGTTTTTTTAAAAATATTTTTAATTATCTTTAGTTTCATTGAGTACTGTCTTGCACAATGCATCATGAAAACAAATAAATGAAAATATGTTACACTCCCAAGGTGAGTGCCAGTGACCTAGATCTTGGGCCAGATGGTGAGATCATCTTAAGTCTGGTGACCTTAAGTAACGAATTCTTCCTAACCCAGAATGGGAATACAGGGGAGTTAAGGCTGAAACTAAACTTGGATTATGACAAGGGAGATAAGAATTTCACATTGTCTGTTACAGCTGCAGGTATTGTCTTTTCTCAAAATAATTAACTGTGTTTATATTTTATTCTATACTTTTTCACTTTACATTTTATAATATACTTGATCAGTTTACATTTTATACTATGCTTTATCGTTAATTTTTGCTAAAACAATTGTACACCAGACAAAGGAATTCCAGCCCAATCAAGCACATGTATCGTAACAGTCACAGTCATCAATGAAAATGATAATCCTCCTGTCTGCACACCATTTATAAAAATAGACAGACTTGAAGGGTTGACAGACATTGTAAGCCTTGATTGCTCTGATGCAGACCTAGAGAGTAGCATCACTTACAGTGTTTTAAAGTAAGTTCATGGCATATAAACTTTGTAGTTGTTTCATATTTTATAATGATTAATTTTGTAATAAACCTTTACAAATACGCAGTAAATAAATGCTGCAAAATAAAAAAATAATGCGGTATATTAAAAGTTTTTACATGATTCTCCTACCTGTATGTATATTAAGACATTTTTTTAAAAACCATAAGCATTAGTGCGCAGTATAAGCTACAACCAATCAGATCTGCTGTATCAATAGATGGGAGAGTAACTGTGATTGATCCATTAAACTACGAAAACACTCCTGACTTCAGTATTTTGATTAAGGTAATAATTATTTTTTTAGCGTATGATGATTTAAAAAAAAAATTTTTGGTTATAGGGCAGATGAAGCAGAGTTTATTGTGTTAGAACTGTGCCAACTTCCTTTTCCACAACTAGAGTCAGGTACATACCAGAGCTGGTGGACTGATATCCCATGTGTTCAAGCCTGGGAACCAAACCTAAGACTTCTGTTTAGCAGTTATGTGCCCTATCTCACAACCACATAATCCTTTATAATTGAAAAAAAAGTGTCTTGTAAACAACTTTTGTGTCCATTTTGTTCAGGTTGTAGATAATGGAACCCCAGCCCTGAGTACAACAGTAACAGTACTGGTTCACGTGACTGATGTCAATGACAACACTCCAAGCTTTGTGGGAAATTTAACTTTCTCTCTACAAGAAGAGCTCATCTCTAATACTGTTGTGTTCAGGGTAGAAGCCAGTGGCAATGATGGTCCACTGGATGTTGTGGGCTACTGGTTGCTGGACACAACTTATTTTTTCATTTCTCCAGGTAATTTAATGCATGTTGATAACATTCTTTTACTCTGGGACCATTTAGCTGTCATCAAATTTTTCTATTACTGTTGAAATAGTAAGTTTTTTTACAGTAGTAATCAGTTTTTTTGTTTCTGTTGGGTTAATTACACTACTCTTGGTACTATCATAAATTATCCCCAAGCTAAACCTTACTAGGTTCAAACAACATTTTTCTAATTTTTCTAGAACTGTTGGAACAATAATTTTTTACAGTAGTATCAGTTTTTTTGTTTCTTTTAGGTTAATTATACTACTCTAGGTACTATCATTTAAATTATCCCCAAGCTAAACCTTACTAAGTTAAAACAATATTTATCCAAAAGCATACAAAGAAAAAACAAAACACTTTCATTTTTTTTTATTTTGATAACTCATTTAGATAAATAAAATTTAAAAAAATAATTTTTAAAAAATGTTGGTACCTAAAATTAAATTCCTATTTAAATTTAACTTTCTGATAATTGTTTGTTCTTTAACTTTTTAATATTCTAGTCAGTGGAGATATTGTTCTGATTAAACCTGCCCCTGATTTTGATACCTATGGAGACAAGTATATTTTTGGCGTGTGTGTGCATGATACACCCAACCCTCTTAATTACACAACCTGCTCCAACATAACTGTGAATTTAATTGACATTAATGATGAGATGTAAGTTCTATTCCCTCTGCTGTAATGACCTTAATTTATTTTCTATATTTTCATCATATATTCACACATATTTTAAATTATTTAGGCCTTTTTTTTTATTTTAGTTAGTCCAATTTAAAAAATGCATTTTGTAAACCATATTTGTTTACCATACCAGTACATTATGTTTGACTGTTTTAGACCTTCCTTCACATCATCAATGTACGCTGCAGTTGTGTCAGAAGACACTGTGCTAGGGTACAGCCTGCTCCCAGCTGTAAGTGCTATAGACAGAGACAGATCTTCCATGTTCAACACTGTTACATACTCCATAGTTGAGGGAAATGTGGATGGGTGCTTCAAGTAAGTGTTGCTAGTAGTTCTTTTCAATATTCATATTCTTCAAATTATAAATATATTAACATTCTGTAAATTTTGGAAGATTTTAACTCTTTATTAACAGTTACATTTTTAAAAATTTTGGTTAACTATTAAAGCACATATTAAATACAATTAAAAAACTATATATATTAATTGAAATGAAAAAAAACAAATAAAATGACAATGAATTGAATAAAAGTTAATAGGCCATTACGTTTTTTCAAAATTTTAAATTATGGCTTCATACAATGAGATCACAAGAAATGTATTATGTTCTCTAAATAGAATAACATCAGGGGGATATTTGGAAATTGTAAAGAACATTGACTATGAGAAAGCGCAAGAGTATATTTTATACATCAAAGGGTCAGATGGTGCACACAATGTTACCACTACCTACATCGTCCAGATAAAACCTGTCAATGAGTTTAAACCAACCTTCACTAACAAGTCTGTTAGTTTAAATGTACAGGAGAACCTACCTTTTGGAACTGTTGTCTATGTTGTAAGCATTGTACAAATTTTATCATTAAAAATCTTAAGCACTTTATACAATTACTATAGGTATATGATGTTACTACTTTATTGCATAGGGTTTTTAAAATTGTTATGTGTATTTTCTATTATTTCAAATAGCTAATGGTTTTTATTTTATACTTTTTGCTACTCAGACAAATGCTACAGACCAGGACAAGGGACCTGATGGTGAAATAATGTATAGCATTGACACAGGTGATCAGACAAATTTACCTTGACTTTAAGCAGATTCTATTTCTTCTGTTCATCTACATTTTATATTTTATATTTTAATCATATTCTAAATAGTATTTTGTAAAGTCAATAATATTATAAGTATTTTAAAAAGTATAATAATTATTATTGATGTACATTAAATTTTGTATCAATTTTTTAAAAGTCTATCAAAGGTAATTCAAGCACTTTATTTTTAAAACAGTATTGTAAATTATTTTTTTAAAACAAATTATGTCTAAAAGGCCTTTAATAGAAGTGTTTGAAATACTTTTTTTTAAATTTAGGTTTTAACTTTATTACTAATCCCTGAGATATTTTCTCTCCAGGGCCTTTTAGAATTGACCCATCTTCAGGAGAAATAACTGTTGCTGGAACACTTGACGCAGAATCCAACCCATATATTCAACTAACTGTATGGGCCACAGATAGAGGCAATCCTCCATATTCCTCCTCTCAGTTGCTCATAGGTAAAGTATTTTAAAATTTAACACCATGATGGTTAACATTATTTTGAACAGTTTAACTAAAAATTATTATGATTGAAATACTTGAAGTTATTCATTATTGAGAACATTTTAGAAGTAACAAAATTAAGAACAAATGAAAATGCCATTAGCCTTTTAAAAGACTTTTGTATGCACAATTTTTTGTGGTAATAGTTTTTCTACACTGAAATAAAGGATACAACTCAAATATGTCTTATCTCCCTGCAGTCAGCCTGGTTGATGTCAATGATAACATCCCTACATGCTCTTCCAATCCATATTTTGTGTCCTTGTCTGAAAACAGCCTTGCTGGGGATGTAGTGACTTCCTTAGTGTGTAGAGATGCAGACAATGATCCAGCTAATCTCAACAACGCCTTGTCCTACAGTATTGGTATTGTGTGATTTATTATTACCTTTTCAGCATTACATAACCATGTTTTTTTTATTTAAAAAAATTAAATTTTTAATGTATGATTAAATATCATAATTAAAAATTTCAGCAATATAAAATGAATTTAACTATTATCATTTTCTTTTTTAATTTTTTATGAATTTAACTATTATTATCTGCTAACCCGTAAGTCTTTCTGCTAACCCGTAAGTCTCAAGTTTGAATCCGGGTTCAAGTCAGTAGACCGTCCCTGAGTCCACCCAACTCTAATGGGTACCTAACTCACGTTAGGGAAAGTAAAGGCGGCTGGGCATAGTGTTGACCACACTATCTCTTCATATGCTGAGGTCACAGAAACAAGTGAACTCTACTTCACTTGCCCCATAGACCGTCAGGATTGAAAGGGAAACTTTACTTTTTTACTTTACTTAAAATTATCATAAATACACAACAAAATACTATAATTAGCAAAAATTGAGAACATTTTTACAAAATATTTATTTATCTTCTGAAATTGTATTTGAACTACAGAATGTAAATACATGAAAAATAAAAGTTGAGGAAAGTTTTGTGTAATATATTTTTACTGTCATTTGCTTATAATACTTACGCTTCAGAGTATTAGAATAAAAGAATTGTGTGGCTAAAAATTAATTTCTTTTAATTACATTATTGATTTATATATTTTATATTTGTAAGTAAATGTATTATAATTAGCATGAATAGTTGTTTTTAAAACACTTTCTGTTCCTTACCACAGTTTCTATAGCAACATCACAGTTCTCCATCAGCACATCTGGCAACATAACAGTCAGTTCAGGGGCCAGTTTGGACAGGGAAACCCAGGACAACTACACTGTCATCATTGTTGTGTCAGACAAATCACCAACTGCCAAACTGTCAACCACTGTCACAGTTAGTGTCATTGTCACAGGTGAATATAGTGCACACTTTCATTGTTGTTTTGTGTTGCTCATTAAGTTTCATAAGAATTCAATAAAATATTTAATTAAGTAAATGCACATCTATAGAGCTGTTTGCTTTTCTACTTTCTCAGGAACCTGGTTTTAACCTTTTTTAAGATTTAATCTCCTGTGTTATAATTGATAATCCTAGGTCCTAACTGTGTTTGATATCTCTAGATGTGAATGACAATGCACCATATTTCACTCAACTGTCCCCTGTTGATTTACCTGAGGATGCAACAGTTGGTAAAACAGTAGCCTTCATTAGAGCAAATGATAAGGACTCTGGAATAAACAGTAGGCCTATTTGTCTTTTAATACACTAATTCAAAATTTGACCTGAACTAACTTTATTTATGCCCAATAAAGCAAGATTTATAACTGGAGAAAACAATGTAAAAGTATATATGAATTTCAAAAATAAATCTTAATGTATATTTTAAAAATCTGGAATACATTTTGAACTTACATATTCTGGAAAATAATACAAAAAATACACACGATAAATTAAGGCTATATTTTTGTACTATTACAACTTTAACACTGGGCCTTATTTTTTTTCCTTATTTCTAGCTTGCATGGAAACTCAGACACAGTATTGTCTTATAATCATTAATAGAATCCATATCAACAAATTTTCTTTTAACTTTATAAAACTTGTTTTGTTTCAGAAATGTTAGAATATAAATTTCGTAACTACTATGACAAGTTCAGCATAGACCCAGTCACAGGAAATGTTGTATTAGACAGATCTTTAGATTATGAGCTAGAACAGAGTTACAAGCTAGAAATACTTGTCACTGTAAGTTACCAGCCCTTAATCTTTAATACTCAGCATTCATTAAAACCAATGTGTTAAGTATACCTTAGTTGTGGTTTCTGACATGAAAGTTATTTTTAGCCCAAACTAATTATTTTTAATTATCTTTAGAACTAAAGGTATAGCATGCAGTTATTTAATTTAAAGAACTGATGGTCAATAGACTAGGTAAAGTTTATGTAAATGGTTTGCAAATCCAGAGAAATTACTGGTCAATATTACCTCATTAGGCTCACAACAATTGTTCAATTTAACATTGGAACATCTCAGCTGAGTACAGTGTTATTATTAGTTCTTTGGATTACACTGTTTAATTGTGTATCAACTAAATAGATTTTTACTCTCTTCAGCATCAACAATATATAATGTTATAAAAAAGTCTAAGCCTGCATTCTAAAATCTCTCCTCACAACAATGTGTATATAATATTTATTTAACATTTATATCACACTGGATAATCTTTTTAAAACAAAACCATTGTATCCATCAGGACCAGGGATCACCAGTTCAATCTGTCACTGGTACCCTAACCGTGAATGTTATAGATGTGGATGATTGCTGGCCAGTTTGTACATCATACTACTATCTGGCATCTGTGCCAGAGAATTCTGTCAATGTATCTGTGGCAATGTTACAATGTAATGATGCAGACAGCATGAGTAATCTCACCTACAACATTACAGAAGGTTCTTTTTAATTATACTTTTTTTATATAATAATTTAACATTTTTACATGTTCTAAAATACTAAAAATAAAAGTATTAAATTTTTTAAAATTATATACATTAATACAGAAAATGTGCCAAATTAGTTTAGTTACAGACAAAGTGTAATCTGTTTATAGTGTCAACATTTAACATATAAATTTATAATGCTAGTGTATCATCACATCAGTAAAGATTAATTATGTTCTTCTTTTTAAAATATTTAACATTGTTACAAGTCCGCTAATTTTGTTTTAGTCATTGTGAAATATAAGTTAAAATTAAAGCATCTACATTTAACAAAAAATTAATAAATAAGTCTAGCATAATCATAACTGATTTGTTCCTTGTCATACAGGAAATGATGGCAGTTTTCTCATGGATCCCAAAACAGGAGCCATCAAAATTTCTCCCAATGCTTCTCTGGATTATGAACAAATTAAAATCCACCAATTAAAAGTTATAGTCACTGATGGAGCTCACTATCAAACAGTTGAAGTGATGGTAAATCAAGAATTTATTTTCTTGTTCCAACTTTTTAAAAATGTGTACATTTTAGGCCAAGGGTCATTCATAAATCACATTACTCTCCTAGTTAAGTTTTAATAATGTATTAAAGTTATTTTTTATTTATATTAAAATGTATATAAATGTATATGTATATATTTTTAATTTAAATATTTTTTAAAAATTAACATCTCCAGGTGAAAGTAACAGATGTGGATGAGTATAGTCCAGAGTTTGTGCCATCAGGTCCTGTGGTCAAGTCGGTGCCAGAAAATATAAGCTTGTATGATTTGATTTATCAACTCAATGCTACTGATAGAGACTCAGGGGATGGTGTCAAAGTGTACAGCATCAGCTATGGAAACACAAAGAAAATGTTTAGCCTTGATTCAACTTCAGGCAAATTGATTGTAAGTTTGCTCTTATGTTTTTAGATAGTATTATATTTAATCATTAATAGTCTAAAATTAATTTCTTTTTAAACTCTATTGAATGACTATACCTTTAGCTTCAGAATCAACTAACAAAATAACAGTTTTCCTACTATAAATCCCTTAGTTTTTTAAAATATACCTTTAAATTAGAAGTAAACTCTATGCTATTTCAATGAATAACACATACACAGATTTGTGTGTCTACCAGTTAGTGGTCAAATTTAGCTATAAAATGTTCTAAACAGCTCCAAGAGCCACTGGACTATGAGAGAGAAAAGTTTTACAACCTGGCACTTGAAGTCAGAGACTCAGGGAACTTGACCAGCACACTCATTCTGACCATACTAGTAACTGATGTGGATGACAATGATCCAGAGTGCACTGATGTGTTTTTTACTATCTCTGTGAAAGAAGAGGTTAACATGGGAACACTCTATACACCTCATTGTTTTGACTTGGTATGTAAAGATACTTTTTAAAGTTTTTGTTCAAATGTTTTCTTAACATTTAAGCTCCATAACATTGTCTAGTTATTTTTCTGTTTTTCAGATATTTTAATGTAGGATACATTAAATATGTTTCTGAAGGTTAAAAAAATTGTAATAAAATAGTTGATTTTTTCTAATGTGCTCAACTAGGATATAGTTGCAAGTCCAGTCTTGGAGTATATTCCAGTTAATGCACCAGATGAGATAAAAATTAATAAAACCACGGGTAAGCCTAAATACCTCACATTCATCATTGTTTAAAATCAACTGATTTTTATATATGGAAAAAATTTTCTAATTAATGTGGTGTAAAAAGGTTAGTGTATACAGGTATGTACAATTACCCTGAGTTATTTATGTCTCTCTGAAACAACAGGGGAGGTAACTCAGATCAAGTATTTTGACTATGAAAATGCAACAACTCATGGATTTACTATTGTTGTGAAAGAGTTGAATGTGGTCAACCCCAGGTCAATAAAAATAATGCTAACAGTAAATGTAGAGCCAGTAAATGAATACGACCCAGTATTTCAGCCACTGAATAATAATGGAACATACTATGTTGCAGAGAATACAAAACTAGGTAATTCTAACTTTTAAAAAATTTCTTGAATAGAAAATAAAGGATATTTAAAAGTAAAAGCATTGAAACATTTATTTATGTATAATAGCACTATGCCCACATAGATTTGTCGAGTTGGGGGTTTGGTGTATAAATATTGCTGAACTTTTAATTAGTATTAGTCTATAAACTAAGTATAAACAATACATTTAACTGTATTTGACTTGTGTTTGTACTTGATATTTTCCTGTGTCCTATAATAAAAAAATTCCTTCCCAACCAATACCCAATTAAATAATCAGATCTAATAATAAAATGAACATATGGATCTAGATGAAAATGTTATATCTTTAAAAAATTTCTTTTTTATAATATAGGCACATCAATAACACAAGTGTTAGCTTCTGACAGAGATCAGGGTTTGCAACAAGGTAGTGTCAGGTACTACATAGATGGAGGCAACAATGACCATGTTTTTGATATAGATGAAACATCTGGCAATATTACAATCATAGGAAATGTAGACAGAGAAACATTGGCCAGGTACCATTTGACTGTCAGGGCTAGTGATGATGTGCCAGGTAGCAGTGCACAAAGAAATGGTAATTATTTAACAAATTTTGTATAATCTAAAACTATTTATCCCTGATAAATTACATATATTATGTAACACTAAAAATAAAATAATTTACAATTTGACTTAAAAATAAATGTAAGCTAAAAAGATTATACAAGAATAAAAAAAACTATTTTTAGCTTACAATTAACCTTTATTTAACGTCAAAACTTGTTTATATAGAATATGTGCATTCTTTTTCTTGATTTAAGCTACTGTTACATTGGATATTCTCATCACTGATGTCAATGACCACACACCCCAGTTGATACCACTCATGTATCATGCTGAGGTTCTTGAAACAATCAAACCTGTGGTCACTCTACTGAACTTCACTGTGCAGGATGAAGATGAAGGGAACAATGCTCTGGTTTACATTAATATAACTGATGGAAACTTTGAGAACAAGTTTAATATTGTTGGTAAACAGAATTTACTTTAATCTATATTACACAAATGGTGTTTAAATATGAGCAAAGCAACTATTTTGTGAACTTACAAAACATTTTCATTCTTTAATTGAATTTTTTTATTTTTGATGAATATAATTTTTACTGCAATATTTTTTAACAGGTTTAATTTTAGTTTAAGATTTATTCTATTGAAATTTAGCAGATTAATCATAGAATTAAAATTAACTGTAAATTACCTTATCTTTAAGGTAGAAAAAAACAACAATTTCACTTCAATGGTGATGTTAAAATGTAATTTGAAACTACATATTCAAATTACTAACTGTACAAATATAATTCATTCTAATGCAATCAATTTCCAGGTAAAACTTTAGTATTGAAAGACTACCTAGATTTTGAAACGACCACACTGTATGATCTGCAACTGGAGATCAAAGATTCTGGTGTGCCATCTCTCAAATCTGCAGGGAGGGTTATTATTACTGTTCTACCTGTAAATGAACAAGCTCCACACATGAACACTTCTCATGATACAATTTTTCTACTGGAAAACATACCAATTGGAACATTAGTTTATGATGCCAATGCTACAGGTACAAACATGTAACATGGTGTTTGATAGTTTGTTTTGAAGTAAATACAATATTGTTTTATGATGTCTGATAATTCATCAGTAAATTCTCTTAAGTATTAAATAAATGCTATATCTTTTAATACAAAAAATTATTTTAGTTGTTTCTTTTTTGTTTGTTTTTTTTAGATTAAGAAAGATATATTCTTCTTTACAAAAAAAAAAGTTACAATTGCAAGTTGGTTTTGTTTTGTGGAAATAATTTAGAGGATGCATTAAAATTATTTTTTAATCACCTCTGCTCAAAATTTTTAAAAGCTTAGGTATAAAGTAATTGATGTTGTAATAATTATAATAATTTAAGATCAAGTATGTAAAGTACCAAATTTGTTATAAGTTAGAATCAAGTATTTATCAAATATATCTTTTTTCATGCAGATTCTGATGCAGGGGTTGATGGAGAAATTGTTTACAGTCTGGCAACCAACTCCACAAATGTTTTTATTCTTGACCCAACCAACGGTCAACTGTTTGTGGGGGCGCCAATGGACTTTGACCACTTACCAAACACGTATTCCCTTATAATTGTAGCCACAGACAGATTTGGTGCCTCCGATATCACGACCTCTACCATATCTTTGAGTATCATCCTACAAGACATCAACGACAACTACCCTGTGTTTGCTGCATCTGTGTTGAACTTAACAGTGAATGAGAATGAGAAGTTGGGTGTCAGTGTGGGCAGAGTCTTGGTAACTGACGATGGTAGGATATTTTTGTATCAACATCTTAACAGTTTGTTCTGAACTGGGTTTAATTTATTTATGCATTTGTTAAGATTATGTAGTATTTAATTTAATACTTTTAAATTATCTATTGCTTTTACCAAGATTTGGTAATTTTGAAAAGATTAAATGCATTTACTTTGATTATTTAGCTTTGAAATGTTTTATTTTATTTACCTTAAGGATTTGGCACTTATAAATGTTTTAATGCATTTTCCTTGATAATTTAGGACTTTTAAATAAAAAATACAAAACACCGTATTTTCAGACTCAGGGAGCTTTGGATTTCTTATGTACAATGTAACTGGTGGTAACGGCTTAGAGTTTTTCAACCTCAACAATGTTACTGGGGCCTTAGTAACAAGATCAAACATCGACTATGAAACTTATAAAGTGATTTTTTTTTCTTTGTTTCATTTGTTTTAAAATAAATTATTGAAATAGTTATAAAATTGCTATTTATTTAAAATCAATGTTTAGAAATTTGGCCAGGTTTTCAAGTTTAGTGAACATATTATGTTGAAATGTTGACCCATGGTGTTGTAAGTTTAGTTTTAAAACAAGTTGGAATGTTGTCTTCAGGTGCTGTAATTAAGTGAACATGTGTTTGAATGTTGACCACAGGTGCTGTATCTGGCAGTGGCAGCTTATGACGCAGGTAAACCTTCCTTGACATCCAACTGTTTGGTCAAGATTCAAGTGGTCAACAAAAATGACAATGACCCAGTGATAACCCCACCAGATATGGCTGTGACCATCCCTGAGACCATCAGTCCTGGGGATACAGTCCTGACTTACATCGGCTTTGATAAAGACACAGAAATTTCTAGATTTGAATTGGTTGAATACAGTGATTATTTTGCGGTAAATTGTTTGTCTTATATATTTTTAAAAGTGATTTAACTTTACTGGTGACTGGTCATAGTACTGATTACACTATCCCCAGTGGCCATTACTTTCCCTAATGTGAGTTAGATACCCATCAGAGCTGGGTGGACTCATGGATATCCTCTGGATTTGAACCTAGATTCGAACTTGAGATTTTTGAGTTAGAAGTCCAGAACTTTACCACTAGGCCACACCTTCCCCTCCTTTTAAGTTTGTGTTTTAAATTTATAAACAAATTGTAAAATAAATAAGTGATCTATTGTTATGGAGGAGAATAATTCAAATGAACAAACTTGATTCATCCTGAGCACACGCAACAACATAACTATTTTAACCTTCATTTTATAACTTTATTTAACCTTTAGATTGACCCAGGCACTGGGGAACTGAGAACAACAGCAGTCATGGATAGAGAAAATTTTAAAGAGTGAGACAATTGTTTGAATATAGTTTGTTTTTAGAATATATAGTTATTTAAATAAAGATTTAAATAGACATACACATCATGAAGAGGAATAATATTTATAATTACTTTTGATATACATATATATATATATATATATATATGTATATATATATATATATAATTTTATTTTTATTTATTTTTTAATCTAAAAAATTATTTAAAATTTCTTATCAGGTTTGTTTTAATTTAATCCATAGGCTTGTCTTACACATTAGAGTAATAGACCATGGCACAGATACTGACCCTCTCATTCGCACCTCTACGGCTACCCTGACAATTCTAATAGATGACCAGAATGACAACAGTCCAGTTGTCAGTGGTACTTACAACAAGGCTGTGCCAGAAAATATTAACATCAATGAGGTTGTGTTTAAAATCAATGCGTCCGATGCTGACGAAGGTCCTGGTGTCTTTATGGGTTTTTCAATCATCGAGGGTAACACTGGTCAAGATTTCCATGTTAATTCTGAGGGTTATGTACAGGTAAAAATTGCTGGGACCTACATCATTTGTTGAAATACGTTTTAGATAATTAACACCAAGGTTATTTATATTTTATACACAGCATTATTTTTTATTATAAATTCCCATTAACCCTAATTTTTACTTAATTGTGTTGGAGGGAATCCCTTCAAACACTAAAATTAAGAACGAAGAAGAAGAAAAAGACTCATTTTTAATCATTTTTAAAAATACATTTTAATTTTTTAATCCCTATCAAATTTATATCAGAGGGGACATTCAAAATCTGCTTCTCCAACACATAATAAAATTATTTTTCAATTAAATAATTTCTAGGATAAATGTTATCTACGAATAGAATATAATTCAAAGTTTTCTCTCTTCCTTAACCCCATAAAAATTCACATTATTTAACACAGAAGAGATACTTTATTAGAATATTTAAATGTATAATTTTATAACCATATTTCATATTTAATATTGTTTTTAAAAATACTATTAGTGGTTTAAAAAACAAAGAACAAATACTTTACAATGTATCTAGGTATCAAACCCACTGGACCGTGAAAGTGTCTCTCAGTACAAACTACACATCAGAGTGACAGACCATGGCGTCCCCCAGAGGTCAACAGACCTGTATGCCATCATCAATGTCACTGACATCAATGACAACAACCCTGTCTTCACACCAGCCTACTACACATTCAACATCTCAGAGAACTCACTGGTCAACACGTTTGTGGGGGCAGTCAATGCCACTGATGCTGATGAGGGGTTGAACTCAGAGCTTAGCTACAGTTTTGACTCTTTCTACGTTGGAAAGTCATCGCATTTTGTTGTTGATAAGATAAGTGGGGCCATTAGAGTTGCATCAGCTGATCTTGATAGGGAGTCTCAAGCATTTTATAAGGCAAAACTCAAGGTACATTTTGATGTATTTAATGCATGTTTTATTGTAATCTTTTGTGAAACAGAATAATTAAGACAGTCAGTAAACTAATACTAAAATATTAAAGGGTATAATTTTATTTATTGAATTTTAGCATTAATGTAATATTTGTTTTATTCAATTTATTTTAAAAATTAGATAGTTAGTGACTTACTTGTCTTGGTCCTCTTTACTTCTCAACCATACACCTCCACTTTGTCCAGTCCCAGGCTGATTAAGTGAATCAACGCCAGAAATACATTGTTTATTATGATAAAAAAGTACCCTTTTGAACCATTTGGTCCAGGGTGCAGGTGAAGTAGAGTTCACCTGTTTTAGTGACCTCAGCATATGAAGGGATTGTGTGGTCAGCACTATGCCAGGCCACATTTAATTTCCCTGATGTGGGACAGGTACCCATTAGAGCTGGGTGGACTCAGGGACATCCTAAGGACATGAGCCTAGGATCCAAACTTGAGACTTTCGGGTTATCAGTCAAACACATGTACTATAACAGCTTGATCTATAATCCTGTCAATAACAATTAATTTTTTTTACTATAAATAGCCCCTAATCCACACAGCCTAAATAGAAAATAATATTTTAAAACTTTAGGTGAATGATGCGGGTGTGCCCATCTCCAGATCATCATTCGCAGAAGTTGTAATTTACATCAACGACCTGAATGATGTGGTCCCAGCATTCACCAAGTCTAATTATAGTGTGTTGATTGACGAGAAAACAGCTGTCAACAAAACTGTTTTAATTGTCCAGGCTGTGGACAGGGACTTTGGCATCAACGCAGAAATTGGTTACTTCATGGATAGCAATTTGTATGATGGTTCTCTGGCCAAAAGCTATTTCAATGTAAATATTTTAATGGCAACAACTACATTATTTAAGATCTAAATTTACTACAAATTTTTATAAAATCATTTTCAAATCCAAATAAATTGAGTTTTGTATGAGGATTTTAAGATCCAAATATATGAAAAGTTTTATACAACTATTTTAATATACAAATATACTAAATGTTTTATATTATATTTCAAGATCCAATCACATAAAGTTGTATAAAAGTATTTAAGATCCAAATATAGCCTACTAAAAGAATTCACTAGTAGAAGGTATTTTAAAAACTAAATAATCTAAATGAACCCACTAATAAAAGCTGTTCTATTTCCCTAGGTTGATTCAGAAACAGGCAGTGTCAGCATTATAAACCTGATCAGCTATGAAAACTGTCAGAGATTTACTTTTGTCGTGTATGCCATAGATAGAGGCACACCCCCACTCACAGGGTCTACCACAGTGTTGATAGATATCAGAGACATCAATGATAACAACCCAATTTTCAGGTCAATTGAACTCTCATATTTAGAAGTTTTGAAAATGATTGTTACGAAAATTAGAGTATAAAGTTTTATTCTTATAAATAAAAAAAGAAATCTTAATAAGATTTCTTTTTAAGATTTCTTCTTTATTTATAAGGATTCTTATGTTTTGAAGATTTATTCATAAATTAATTTTATTGAAAAAATAATTAATTATTTTTTATGATTTTTTATATTTAAAAAAAATGTTTAGCCCATCATTTTACAACACTGAAGTTGCATATAACGGACAGTGTGAGAAAGTTGTGGCAACAGTTACAGCTGTAGATGCAGACTTTGGTCAAAATTCAGCTATTTCCTACTACACCCAGGAAGAGATGTTCCTCTTCTTCATCACACCTGAAACTGGTAAGTTTTGTTTTTAATTCATATTTCTTTAGGTTAACTCACATGCAGTCATCAATAATAATAATAAATTTGAGATTGATTGAGTTTTTATTCTAAACATGAGTATTAAATATTAATCATTATTTTTATTTTTTTATCTTGTATTATTAAATAACGAAACAAAATTAATATGTTGATTATTATTATATTATTCATTATTTTAATTAATTAGTTATGTATACTTTTTTGTCCTCCAGGAGCTTTGAACCAAAGAGGTGTAGCTCCTAAAAGTGCCAGGTTCACAATTGAGGTTCATGCAAAAGATGGAGGTACACCAGTAAGGAGGGCGGAGGTGCCGGCCACAGTTAGAGTGGACACTTTTGATCCTAATCTCTATGTGGTCACATTTAGACTTGGCATCAGCAGGTTCATTTTTATTACTGCACAAAATATTGTGGTCACGTTTAGACTTGGCATTAGCAGGTTCATTTTTATTACTGCACAAAATATTGTGGTCACGTTTAGTTTTGGCATTAGTAGGTTCATTTTTATTACTGCACAAAATATTCAACACAGCTGTGTAGTCCACAAATCCTATAATGTTGTTCAGAGATAGAAACACTTAACTAAGTTTCCAAACTACATAACCATAATAAGCATTTCATCCCATCTTATTAGAGTCTAAATTATTAAAATAAGCAAATAGAACTCTATTTAGCAAATCTATAAAGTTAAGACATTTACTAGTTTAAACAATTTTTAGCAAAGCATTAAAGCATGGTAACTAGCCATTTCAGTTGTGTGTTGTTTTTTTAATTCCAGGACTTCATTCTTTGCTCATGTTGACTCATTCTTGAGCCACCTGCAGAGTGTTATCCAAGCACACTATCCCACCGCTGTGGTGAGATTGTGGTGTGTTGAAGAGTATGAAGGAGTAGCTCATCCACCAGTCAGTGGAGTAAGAAGATTGCTTGCAGATCAGTGAGTACAATCACACAATACTTGTCTTACTGATTGTTTGGATGGTTGGTTGGACATAGAGCTCATGGCTGCTAATTGACAAGTGTCGAGTCCTGCTCTGATGGGGATGTGACCGACGTTAAGTAAAGTAAAGGCAGTAGTGTTGACCACATTGTCCCTTCATATACCTTGGTCACAGAAACAGGTGAACTCTACTTGATCTTACCCATAAACTGCCTGGCTCAAAAAGGGTAACTTAACTTATTTATTTTACTTTACTTACTAATTGTTAAAGAAAGTACTTAAGTGCACAAGTGTAGCCTACAAATTAATTATTTTCTTTTGAATATGAAAAATGAGAACATAATATGTAAAAAAACATTAGAGTATTATTCATGAAGAAAAATATTTTCCTTAACTGAGAATGTGGAAATACTATTAAAATAAAGAAATACAGTTGAAATTTCTAAAAGAAAATGTGCTATGATTTTGTAACATTTTGTTGGATTGTTCAGACCTATAGATGTTCATCTGTATGCTTTGCGAGACAACACCACCGACTCTGAAGCAAACATCAACACTGAGAAAGATTTCCTACAGCAAGACGAGTTTCTGTCTCTGGTCAGTGCCAACCCTCAAGGAGACCCCGGCTCTTCTGTCCAAGGTAAGTTTTGTTTTGGTCAGTGTTTAAGAGTGGTGGATAAAATTATAAATTCACAATAGAAATTTCTGTAAAAAGCCTTTGAAAAAATTATGATGGCATCAATATATTGATCTTAAACTATAATTTTCATTAATTCCAATTTTGCTTATATTAAACTGACAATTTTAAAACATCAAAATTAACATTTATAATTATGTTTTGCCAGGAAGTGACTGGGACTATTTTGATATCATCAGAGTGGACCCATATTATTACAAGCCAATAGGATGGTTTGATACAACAGCTGGGAGAGTCATCACAGCTGTAGTTATCTTCCTTGGATTGATTCTTATTGGATTTCTTTCTTACTTTTTGTTTCGAGTATGTTCTAAGTTTTGGAGGTGAGGGACAGGTTCTTTTAAACCTCATCACTTATATCTTGCCTTATTTTTAAAATACCTTAGCATAATTAACAGATTAAAAATGCTTAAAATATACCATAATTATTTATTTTTTGTTACAGTATTTAAAATTTTAAAAATCTTAAATGTTTGTCTTATATTTTAGAACTTTCAGCAATAACTTATTTATAAATTCAATTTTTTTTAAATTTTTAAACAAAGGCAAAGAAGAGCCAAGTCCAAACACCATTTACAAAATGATTCAAAAGAACCCACCAAAGAAGAAACAAAGAAAGAAATGAATGGCACATCTATAAATGATCTCCATCAGACTCCACCAAGTAAAGTTTTTTTAGCTTTTAAGTTAGCATACTTGTATTCCCGCATTTAAGTTAGCATACTTTTTATCCCATAAATGCATATTTTCTTAGTGCCTGCATAATGATTTCTTTTCAACAAGAAATAAATTATTTGTTTTACAGTAAATGTTGCAACTGTATATCCAGAACCCGATTATGCCATAGATTGGGTGCCAGTAGCTGGTGAGTGAAAATACTTTTTCATCTATTTTTTAACCAGTAGTTTTAGTGTATACTTTTTTTTTTAATTAAACAATTTATTTTCTCAAAAAAAAAAGAACAAATAAAATAAAATTACATGTTTATTTTGAAAACCATTCATTTGTTTATTAATTATCAATAATTGAGTTTCTTAATAATTTAATTTCTTAGATAGTCACCAGGAACAAGCAATGAAAATTGAAAAGGTAAAATTAATTATTTATTTTTTATGAAGAATTTAATTTTAAAAAAGCTGGTCAATTAATTTTCATTAATTTGTCCTAACACGTACCTATTGCATTTCAATTTGTATTGAAATTTGTATATTCCATATAAAGACTGACCAACTCAGTTCATTTGTAATCCTTTCAACCAGTGGTTTTCTTTATAATTCTTTTACAGCATTCATTATTGAAGGTAAACAACTCAGTAGTAAAAGAAGTTGCATCCACCACCACCAGCCCAAGGGCCATAATCATTAAAAGGAAGAGTGATGATCCACAAAACTCAGATGCTCTTAGACATTATAAAGGGAGAGCACAAGACAGAGGTAGCCAACCTTGTTCTCTTTCCTTCTCCAGGCACTTGTTCAATGTTGTTTAACCTTTGTTTTTAATCATTTATTTTTTCCTCAATCCCAGTGACTGGCAAACTTTATGACTTCAACACCAAGAAAAATCAGCGCCAGTGGGTAGCATGAGTGGGCTCTACATTTAACCCATTAGCACATAAAGGGAATGTTCTATGTTAAATAAAGAAAGTCTTCATGAATTTCATAAATTATTCTAAAAATAGAATTCTTGCATTATTATAAGATGTACTCTTATGGATTCAAAAGCCTGTTTATTTTTACTATGCTTTATAGCCTAAAAGTTACAATGAAGTTCAAGAGAATATTTTTTATACAATTTTAATTTTGTTTTCACTTTACAATTCTAGTTTATCATTATATTAATAGTTACACTTGAAAAATCAGATGAAGACCTTTGGCTGTAAAAACTTATCTCTCATTTTCTTTAATGTAATTTTTTTCTGTAAATTTTTAATGATGATTCAACTGTTTCATTATGTATGTAAGCAACGCTGTTAATGTTTTAAAGGAAATTTATTTACAAAGTCCAATGTGAGAATATTTTGCTACCTTTATTTTGGTTGAAATTATTTGAATATTTTATATTATTATAAATGAATAAAATATTTCAACTAGTAACCACATTTTTCATCTTTACACTAAAAAGTGAAATAAATCTCTTAAAATAAAGTCGTGGTTATGAATTTTCATTTTTATTTAAACACAATAAATCACTCTGTTTATACATATTGTGTATATGTACATCATGTTGCCAGATTGGTCTGTGTAGGAAACAAATGAAATCTCAATCACCTGGCTGCTCATAATATCTTCATCTTTTCTCTTATCCAGTCATAGTAGTGAGAAACGTTGGTGTAGTATCCATAATGGTTCTCCCTGTCACATCCTACGCCCCAGGATATTATCCCAGTTAGGACATAACGTCCATTGAATTCTAGTACAAACGGGCCTCCACTGGAAATTAAAGAATATATTTTTAAAAAGTTGCAAATATCTGTACATGAAACTTAAACTCACTTATATTGTTGACCAAATTTCAGATCGGATACCTGAAATTTAAAAAGATGTTATATGACAATTCTTTACTTTAAAAGAATTTATTGTTGATATTTTTAATGATAACGTAAAAAAATATGAATGTGTTAGAAAAAATATGATAGATACAGTCTGACAAAATTATGCCAAGGGCAAAATAATTAATATCGCATATAATAATAAACATAAAATGTGTATTGGCACAATGTGACTTAATATAAAAACAGGACTGTACAACTTGACTTAATAAAACACAACAGGGGGAATCACTTCCAATATTAAAAATTAAGAACAAAGAAGAGGACTTATTAAAAACAAATCTGACCTATCACCCTGGCAAGCATCTCCTCTCATGCTTCGAGAATAACCAGCACAGAACATGCCAGTTGTAAAGGTAGTGTTGATCACAGCAGTTCTTTCTCTACAGATGTCAGGGGACACAATTGGGATCTGTCAAGGGGACAGAAGTGTTATTCTGAAAAAAGCTTGTCTAGAGCTGTAAACTGTTGATGGGTGTATGTAAAAGAAGAATATTTTGTGCAATGATTGGTTTAAACTAACAAATTAACACTGCTATAAAATGAAATGTTCGATCTTACATGCATTACAAATTATCACAAAATAATTTAATGCTAATTTAATTCTGATTTTATTCACAATTTAACATTAAGGACAGCAGAGTAGTTTATTAATAATAGTGATGAAAAAGAAATTATGGTTGAATAAACAATTAGGTAAACTTTATTACACCATCAAATTTTTTTACCTTGACTTCATGGAGGTGAGTCGGAACATAATACTGTGCATTGTTGCCACCACATCCTGTTATAACTCCTAAGTTACCTAATCATAAAAACAAAACCATTATATATAGAAATAAATTTTGATCAAGATTATAAATAACTCTATTCAATACATTTTCACATTACAATAAAATATAACACTAAAACACAGAAACCTATAAGTGAGCTATGTTAAAAACATAATAACTATGTTTAAATTCAATAACTTACCTGGCTTGAGGAGTCCCTCCAAAAACTGGGGAGTCTCCAAACAAATTGGCATAATGTCAGCCGTAAACTCCATGGGGACATCCAGTTTCAACATCGCTATGTCATTGTTAAAGCGAGTGTCATTAAAATTCTCATGTAAAGTGTAGGTTTTAATTTGTCTGGAAGAAACAGCATTGTAATTTATTCACCACAGATTAGATATATATGTATATATATATATGTATATGTATATATATATATATATATATGTGTGTGTGTGTGTGTGTATATATATATATGTGTGTGTGTATATATATATGTGTGTGTGTGTGTGTGTATATATACATATTTATTTATTTATATATATATATATATATATATAAATATATATGGAACAGATTAACCATCAACTTTGAGACTACCTTTCATATATATATATATATATATATATATATATATATATATATATATATATATATATATATATATATATATATATATGTATGTATATATAATATACATAATATAATAGCTGCTCAGGTTTAATCTAGTAGATTATGTTCTCACACTGATGATAAATTAAGCCTTTGACACACCTGAAACTACCACCGTTACCAGCACAGTGGGTTGTACCTAGGTAGACCTGTATGTGTCTGGGGTGGAAAGGGTATCCAAACATCATTTCAAATTGTGTAATACAATGTGCCGCAGTCAGAACAATGTCTGTGGAGATCAGCGACCCTCCACAGAATGTTATGTGCTGAAATGTAAACAATGGGTTGGGTGGATTGTTGACCTATGGGGTTAATAGGTGTTTTGTGGAACTGAGTGATGATAGGCTGGTTTGTTGACCTGAGTGGTGATTGGCTGGATTGTTTGTGAGGTGGTGATAGTCTGTTGGTCAACATTGCAAGTGATCACTGATTTAAACTTTTAAAAAACCTTTTTTTTTACTTTGCTAATGCATAATTTTAAGTCCAAATTCACTGCATTCCACCATCTAACTTTCTATAGTTACAAAATGTAAAAGAATATTGCAGAATTATGAACTTACTCCTTTATCCTCTCTAAGAATTACATGCCAAGGAGCAGAGCCAAAGGCAGCCTCTTTACCACTGCTAATTCTTCCCAAGCCACCCTCATAGGGTTTAATTCTTGGGCGACCGCATTCTGTAAAAATGTCATTTTTAAAAATCTTAATCCACTTTAAAAATTTATTTATTCTGATTATATAGAATATATACATGTATATGAGAGTATGTGGAAATATGATCTGAAAACTATTTTACACTATAAAGAAAGTAATGACAATTAAAGCTATAAAACTAAAGAACTATTATAAATGCTCTCAAGCAAAGATGGTTGGAAATTTCCTTATATATATATATATTTTAAGGTTAATAATATTATTAAGATTGTTTTAATTCAATAGAATATTCAGTAAATCACTAAGTGATTTTAACAACATAAATAACAGTGTATGTAGGCCTACCTAATAAAATACCCACCTCTACTCTGACCTGTACCTTCTACGTGAAGGTAAGCTGAGACTTTGGAAAAACATCCTTCCTTTGATCGAGCCACACAGGTATACTGACCTGAATCAGTCTCTACGGCTGAGCTGATCACCAGGTAATTATTGACAAGAAGCTGCTCATTTGATTTTACAGTCAAATAAATTAGCATCAGTCATTTATTATTTTAAACACCTGATTTATTAGGTTCTACCTAATTTATTTTAACTCTTTGTTAAGATTAAATATATCTGCCTTTCTCTCATATATGCCATTATAAAATATGTCTTGCCAAATCTGGCTAACATAATTCTATTACTACCACTTTGAAACATCTACTCATATAGATGAATAATTACAAAAATTACACAGGTTTTAAGTTGTGATTAGTGAATTATAAAATAAAATTCCTACCCGAATTCTCTTTCGACCCTTGTCAATAAGATTCCCATCTTTGCGCCACATAGTAACATCAGCATCAGGAACGTAGCATTGGAATAAAGCATTCTGACCTTCCTTTATGGTTATGTTGTTTGGAGCTATCAGTACATCTGTTAAAAATGTTACATTTTTTTATAGATTTTGTCAGTAGAACTTTATGTCTCTGGCCAGTTTTCTTTCTTTAAAAACTTCAACTTCTAATTTATGTTGAGAACATTTGTTTAAGTTGATGAAAGCTTCCTTAAAATTAAAAATGTAAAGGCAGAAGCATGGGAAGTAAATATATGAAGTGGTAAGCCTATTTATAGATGAATACATATTTATAATTTAAATATTTTTGATTAACATCTATTAAAGTAATAGTTAATTGATTCAATACAACATTTTTATTCTTAATTTAGTTTTTTTTTTTGTCTTCCAAGTAATTTGAAATATTTTTTCTTTAAAAAAAACACATTTTCAAAATATCTTACAATGAACATTTAAAAACACATTTTCAAAATATCTTACAATGAACATTTAAAAACAAGACTCACATAAATTACATGGCTCAATGAGAGTTAGCCACATTGAACTCTCCACGAGATCGCTATAAGTAGATGTGGTTGCCATGCAAGTGTAGCGACCGGAATTTTCATATTTAACCTCAGGTATAACAACCACCCCACCTGGGTGGACCTCAACCCCAAGAGATGAATCATCAGGGGTAATTATTCTGTCATGAAATAGCCTTGAAAAAATAAAACTTTTGTTAAGAGAGTTTCATTAACGTTCTCATTTAAAATGTAGGGATTAATCGTCATGAAATAGCCTTGAAAAAAACATTTTTCAATTAGTTATTAAAAAGATATGACACTTAGATTAAAATAGAAACATATCATCAGGATATATTCAACTTCAGGATCGCATCAACTTCAACAATAATTGATAATGAGCTGTCCATCAATGACATCATGCTTCTAGGGGGGGGGGGGGGGGGTAGAGACTTTTGTGATGACTGGGAATGATTGGTGGTTCAAAAAGTGTGATTTTTAAAATAATGTTAGAACAGAATTTTAGCTGCTATTTTGCATTTTAAAAAAAACATTTGTTGTAAATTGTACTGAAAATTGATCAATAGAGCTACTGTTGACTGGATTCCATACATTTTTCAAAAGAAATTGCTGTTTTAAAAAACAAACGTTAAAATTTTTAGATAGGCTGGTAGGCATAACACCATTTTAGGTTGGGGAACAGGATTTTTTGTGATAAAGTTTGAATATTGGGCTTGTGTTGGTAAATATCACTCTTTAACATTGTTCTGTCATTTATGAAGGACACCTAATACAAGAAACAATTTACTTTCAGGTTCATGCCACACTAAATTCAAATAAAAATGACATCAACAAAATTCTTTAAACATTGTTTTTTTTATGCTGCTTAGCATGTAAGTCCATACATAAACACTAACCACATTACGTGAGCAGCAGGATCATTTACTGCACACTCCAGAATGGCGCTACTTCCTATACTCAAAGACATGTTGCTCACCATCTTTGTAAAGTAAAGAGCTCCACCTTCTATCAGCTAGGAGAGAAATTTTTTTTTAATCCATGTTAAAACACTCTTCACAAGTTAATGGACATATTGAAATATACATGCATAAAGATAGCAGCAATTCTAAAATTCTCTTAAACAAAAGTTGTTAGCTTAAAAATATATATTATTTTTGGTTAACTTAAAAAAAAAATTGGTCAACATTTATTAAATGTATATGTGTTAAAGCATGCTAAAACATATCAAAGGATTATCCCCATTGATTTTAGTATAGCAAACAAGAAGTCATTTTAGATCTATCATTTATCTGAGAAAAAATATACATAAAAATGTGAAAGAAGTTGTGTTGACAGCAGCACACAATAGTTTGATGTATAGCAGGGGTCAGACTGCAACACACAATAGTTTGATGTATAGCAGGGGTCAGACTGCAACACACAATAGTTTGATGTATAGCAGGGGTCAGAACATTATTCAGTGGATAATTAAATTACCTCCTCCATGTCATTACAGAACTTTCCAGAGAATCCATTTGGACAGGCACATGACACCTTGGTACCATCGTCCCGACAAACTCCTCCATTTTCACACACGATGTCATCACAAGTCGGACGCATTTTTATTTCACATAATGTGCCAGTAAACTTTTCTGGGCACATGCATCTATAATAATATGCATCAAGTCAGGAATAAATTAAATAAAATCTAAAAAAAAAAATATTACACAACTCTTAACTAATAATTACAAATACATGAGTTTATTTCATAAACACATACTTTAATTTTAATACTTGGTTTATATGTTGTTGTTTTTTTAATTTAATATCTAAAGATATAAAATCTTACGATTATCCTTATTTAACTATTATTCCATTTATTTGAAAAACAGAGGGTACACTATTAATTTACTAAATTAGTCTCTCTGTCTCAATCATTGAGCATGCTAAAATGTTGAACAGAGTTTAAAGGGATTTAATCCTATGGCTTATATAATGGTAAAGTTCATGGTTCCTTTATTGAATGCATAAATGATCTTACATCCAATCTATTGAACCATCTACAGCCAAAACTTCTGTACAGTTTCCACCATTTTCACACTTTGCAGGACATTTTGGACCTGATGATGAAAACACAAATATTGCCTTTTGGTAAAAAAAAATTAAAAACTTGTAATTGTATGACTGCAATATATTCTTCAACTGTACACTACAATAGTGGTAATTATCCTGATATACACACACAAAATAAAAATTATAAATGTTCTTTTTTTTTTAATTAAATAAATTTTAGAGTAAACCCCAATCATTAAAGACTAGTATTTTTAATTAGGTGTAGGTGGTTGTAATGTTTAGCCTACCATTAATGACTGGAGCTATGAGAACTTCTGCTAAGTATCCCCAGCTGTTATCTGTAAGATCAGTTCTAAAAACAACATCAAGGCCTTGACCTTCCCAGCTGAATATTGGGTCATGCAAGGAAGTGCCACAAAACTGCTGAAGTGGCTTGAGTAATGAATACTGAAGATCTTTTTCCTTAGAGTTCGCTAAAAGAAATTGTTCAATACATTAAGCATGCAGAGCCTTTGTTTAGAATAAGTACAAAATATATTTATACAAAAGCTAAACATACTGAAATGCTCAATGTTGTGTACAGATTTAACACACCACAACTTCCTACCTTCATAAATACTGAGAGAGTCATAGCCACAGTTCTCTGCCTCTTCTACGCTGAAGTTTAAGAACTTGATCAAGAAGCTGCTATGGTTCAAACTTCTAAGTTTTGTCACACAAAATAAACTGTTTGGGTATTTCAAAGGGTACCCAGGGGAGCTGATATTGGCCAACCCAGAAGTTATTGTAGAATTGCAGGCTGAAAAACAGGTTAATTTATTGTCATTTATTCAGATGACTTTTTTTTTGTACACAAAAAATTATATAATTTTGGTAAAACTTCTATTTTGACTATTCACTTTACATAAATCATAAAATTAAGTTCTCTTTTCATGGCAGGTGACTGTAGATAGTCATTAATTTTTAAAAAATGTATTTATTTTAACTATTTAATAAAATAGCTATTGTGTAAAAAGTTATTTTCCTTTCTTAGAAAAAAATTGAATGTTTTAATAGCTTTTTGAAAAAATAACACATACATACCACCTATATTCCTGGGAGTGGAGATCTCAGTTGCTGGTAGCTCTGTGCTTGATGTTGTAGTTTGGACTGTTGTAGTTGGGATTGTTGTTGGTGGTATTGTTGGTTGTGTTGTTGTTGGTGTTGTCTGTGTTGTGGTTGATGTTGTTTGTGGTGTCGTTGTTGGCACTGTTGTGGATTTTGTTATTTCCTGCGTGGTTGTTGATGTAGTGGATGGTGCGCTAGTGGTCAGAGACACAAACTGTATACTAGCATTGAAACCCCTGGTTTGTACGTTCCCATCAGAGACAAATTTTAAAGTTAAAACATTGCTGTCGTGATGTAAGCTGACTGGGGGATCAGATCCGCAGAAAACAGCAAGCAAGTTTTCATTCGCTGTTGGGAAAAAAGAATTTATTTTATCCAATGAAATTCATTTACTAGAATTTCACGATATCATTAAGATAAATATTTACTATTTAAATGTTTAGTTAACAGGTTTCAATAATAATATAGAAAAAATTACACACTAAAACTTGCTCCCAAACTTACTTGTGGTAAGACCACTATAAACCTCCAGCCTGTCATAATCACACGGAGCTGTCTCAACTTTAAAGTCGTAAAATTCTAAAATAATATGAGAATTCACTTCAGCCTGAAAGATACACAACCTTGTTTTGGAGACGCAGGACAGTAAAACTGTAAAACAAACTAATGTTGACATCATCAAAATTGTTTAAATCAAATGTCATCAGGGATTCAGTCTCTTCCCCCATTTTGTTGAAGCAGCAGCTTCTTTCTAAATTATATTATTAAATTAGGTCAAGGGCAGGTATATTAATATTTTAAAATATTTTTCAAAAAAACTTTTTAAAAATTACTTTTTCAAATGAAAATATGTGACATCACACAGTTTACACATGTCCATCCCTTCATCACACAAGTCCAAAGCACCCCCCTCCCCCGAATGAATTTTACTCATCAGATTTTAAGGTAAAGATATGTGGCAATAGCAAACTACACTTTTACTTTTAGATAAATATATAAAAAGGTTTCATAATAATCTGGCAAGGAAGTCTAGCTACATTATATTTAATTATTTATTGATAAATCAACTGTATCCTTGCCTTAATTCAAACTACATCATTGATAAATCAAGTCTATTCTGCTATAGAAGCTTAACTACCTTATTGTTTGTTACAAGATATGTGAATTTTTTTTAAAAGCCTAAAATTTAAAAATAACAATGAAAATGTGAATAGGCCTACCTGGATTGTGTAGAAACAAAGAGAGTTCTCAGGATATGGTGTAGGGTAACCTGGAGAAACCACAGGACCTTCCTTGTTCAATGTCACATTACAACCAGTCAACTGCTCAGTGGTTAGGGCCACTGTTAAAATTTAATGACAACATCACAGTTACTATATATAATATCTGTGCAACATCCCGGGGGTAGCAAGTATGCTATTTTAGACAAAGTCACTTCATCTCATCTTACAAGTTCAAATGATGAAATTGATTTTTGCATATTTTTTTAACAGGGGAGGTAATTCATGTTTTTTAAAAAAGGGAAATAAGTAGTATTGGGATTGTTCAAATGTAAGAACTTATTAATATTATTGCACAGCCAAAACTTGTATATTAATTACAGCTTCAAAATTTTGTATCAAAACATGGACTTGCCCTAAATGCAATTACTGTTATATCATTAATAAGATTTTATTTTAATTAAAATAGTAAAAAACTGTACAAGACCTTGGAAAAGTTTGGGGGTGAAATAATTAATTGTGAAAAAAAAATTAATGTTCATTATTACATAACTTCTCAGCAACAACTATTTCTCAAACACCCTACTCAAAATATTGAAAGATTCTACATCAACCTTGAACAAGTATTGGGAATCCATTTTATTGATTATAATAATGTATTTGTTATTTTCAGTATGGGAAATGTTTAATGCTGCTTTGACTCAATAACTTTTCTGAAAATAAGTCTACTTCAGAAAGCTACTTTAACACAGTTAAAAGGAAAGTCTTGGATTTTTTTTATTTTGAAGCCTATTCAGAAACCAATAGGGTGATACAAAAGATGAAATCAATAGGAGTACCTCCATCAACCAATTCATTCTTTTACCCTCATTAGTTTTGTTCATTACAAATAATAATCCTCATATAGTTTACCTAATGTATACCTTTATTTACAATGTTTTTTAAAATGTGCTCCTATTTTGAAAATGCTCCTATGGGGAGCAGCTCCCCTACAAACTTTTAGGTTAAGCCTCTGCACTGAACTATTCAGTTGTATTGGAATGATAATAATTGAATGCTATGAACTATGAGTAGCTATAACTATATTGTATTAAAACACCATCTTCGCCTGTCATAAAAAAACATTAAATAATAATCTACTGCTATGTGTGGCTATAACTAATACAGCCATCCCCCTATAAAGGTAAAAGCAATTACCATAGGCTATTTTAAAGCCTGGGTCCACACCACTGGCATCGCTATAGAAGTGGAGATGAACCGTGTTGGAAATGGATGTAAATTCTAGTTCTTCTTCACCACAGTATCGAGCACGGCCGTATTCTCCATCTAGTCCGTCTGTTATATCCAGGAAATCCCACCTGAGAAAGTTTGAAAATGATGGGTACACTGAGCTCAATACACTAAAAGTGGTGTAGATAAACTTCACTTAGGCCTAATATACCGGAGCCAAAACTTTTCAATGCCCTTTTAAAATCATGGCGAGCGAAGGCTTAATAGTACGAAGGATGAGTCAGCTCATTTCTTAATCGGTCGTTTAAAAGAAAAAAAACATGTAGATGACTATTAAATTGCTACCCAGATGCATTTAGTCAATTTCTTTTGAATCTGATGTCTACTTGCAGTATTCATATATCTAAAGGGGTCATCCATAAACTCATGCCCCCCCCCCCCCCCCCCCTTTTCCAAATGACATAGGCCTTCAATGGCCTACATCATAACAAAAAATCGGACACTTATCATCCCTCCAGCCCTTATAAATTTTCCTTTATTGAAGCAAACCATGAAACTATGTATGTGTAAAACGTTAAGTAATCTTAGTCAATATTAGTTAATAGGTTATATAGGTCTATATAAATAAGAATAATAAAAGTTATATAAAAATAGTAAATACGAAATATCTGCTAAAATTGAAAAATGGTACATTTATTTTTAAAATGCAAAACTGTGACGTTGCCATTTCTTTAAAAAAAAAATTCCCTCATCACACATTGTCATAGAAATTTGACACTCCCGACCCAAAGAGTGAGACGTCTTTCATTTAATTACTTATAGATCTACTTCTAACTAATGGATATCATAAATTGTAATTAAGGGGTCATCCATAATCACGCTATTTTGACGATTATTACCTGCCCCCCCCTCCCCTCCGTCACACGTCGTCACAAAAAGCTAGACCCCCCCCCCCCTAAAATGGCGTCACACCTCAGCCTTCAACCCCCTCAAAATTGCTGTTAATTTTTTCTTAAAACATCGATATTTTCCCAAAATCTTGTCACAACTCTGTCAACATAGAGTATTTTAATAATTCCTATTACAATTTATTAAAACAGTTTTCTAAAACGCGGAATAACGGTTACTTGTTTCCTAACATTACTTTTTTATAATGCAAAAAAGTGACGTCACACCATATGACTCCCCCTCCCCCTCATCACGACCGTCACAAAATTACGGACCCCCCCTCTCCCCTACGAGTGTGACGTCATTTATGGACGACCCCTAATGCGACCAGTGTTTCTTCCAGACTTTTTTCTCCGGGGGGGGGGGGGCGGGGGGGGGGGGGGGCAATTGTCATTTTCGGGGGGGGGGCGGTAGACTTTCTTCGGGGGGCGGACACTGTTAAAAGTATATATTTTCTATATAAATTATATAAATTTCATTTCGTTCGGGGGGTGGGGGGCGGTTGAATTTTTTCGGGGAGGGGGCTTTGCCCCCCCCCCCCCCCCCCCGAAGAGATGCCTGGAAGAAACTCTGAATGCGACAGACGGTAAGTAACGTTTACCCAACATTTTTACACAAATTGCTAGCATTACCAATTATTTCTCTGATAACACTATTCATTTAAAAAATCAATCATGTAATAAATAAAGCGTAGAATCTATATAATTAAAAGTTACATACATACACTGTGGCTGGTGTTCAATCGAAAAGATCTCCGACGTCAGCTGTATTCGACTACCAGGTGGACCAATTATCGTCCAAGTACAGTCAATATCAGCTGGGTATGGATTCGGGAATAATGGAGACTCGATTACTCCCTCGCCTGCATATTTCAGCTCACCACAAGCTGGGAGGAAAAAAGAGGGGGGGGGGGGGGGGGGCTTAAAAATATATAGAACTACAGGTAATAAGCTCTGGAGTTTAGATTTCGGGGTATTTTAAAACGAAATTCACTTGGTGTGTTGGATGTTTTTATATAATGTAGACATAATCCATTAAGACGTCCCATGTAAATAATCAACAATATTTCAGACATTTTTCTTCGAGGGATGAGGATGGGGGAATGGTGTGGACCTGTGGCCTGTGGCGCTTGAAACTCGTAGTGGGGGGGGGGGGGGTTGCATGGAAAAAAAATCCTCTGATATTTAGTTGACAGTTAAATGTTCACTTTAACCTGAATTATATTTTAAATGTACGTCTTATTTCTTGAGGTTCAATCCGCGCTAATTTAATTCTACTATCAATCTTAAGATTTATATTTTCTCGAACGACATGATTGTTGCATGGTAAAACGAACTCAAAGGCTGAAAAAATATCTATAGTGAGCTGGTCGATTGTTGGTAGGGCTCTACAAGTTGCGAGACTTCTTCAATTTAATGGACCATGTGACGTTCGGTTTTAAACTTGTGTAGTCTCTTCCCTCTGACCCCTCCCCCCTTCTTCCTCTCTCACGCTAATTAAGTGACGTCATTCATTCCCATCTTTCACAAAATCACTTCAACCTCGTCACACGAGCTGGGATAAAAAAATTAAAATAGATGACCTTCACATGAGTTAAGGGGAGGGAAGCCGTATATTTAAGGGGAAACAATCTAAGAGAATTTTTATTGCTCATGAAAAAATACATAGACTTACGAAATGACTAATTAATTTAAAGTGAGTATTGCTAAAAATAAATGTCATAAACCTCAAATTTAAACTTAAATTAACTCAAATATTTAAAATATGACACGTAAGTAGAAGTTTGAATTGCATTTGAATAAACAAAGCGATTTAGCAGGTAGGACTACGACGATTCACATACAGGTGTAGTAGATTTAGATCTAGTGGAAAGGTAGGCGAGGATTGAGTGTCTTCTCGGCTGTTGCTTTTGTTAAACTAAATATTTACGTGCTGTAAATGTCGGACAACATCACGTGTGGGTGTTGTGAATCTACCTGGAACAGATCATTCCAGAATTAGATAATTGGATGGGAACTGAAAAAGTTTAGAGATTTGAGGAAGACTTGGGGGGGGGGGGGGGGATAGCTGTTTAATACCTGTAATGGGAGAACGTTCAATAAGAGGTGGTGCGTGTTGGGGGGGGGGGGGGCGGGGAACAAACAAAAGAATTCTTTATTCGCTAACAAATGCCTGAGTCCACATACACGTTGTATTACAATTCTGTGGAGGGATAACTCTAAAGCATTCCTTTTTTTTTAAGAAATGAAATCGTTAGTTAAAGCAGTACTGTTCTGAAGCTGAAGCATTTGTAGCCCTCAACATATAAGGGTTTGTCCATAGACGTCACTCCTCACACTCCTGGTGGTGGGGGGGGGGGGTGTAATTTTGCGACGATGGGATGGAGAGAGGTAAAAAAATCGTAACGCCCCCTAAGAAAACCTCATGCTTCAGCTTCGATTAGAGAGACGGTTATAAGCGAGGGGGGGGTGGTGATCGGTTTCTATTTATAGGAATTCAAATATAGGGACCACACCATGAGCACACATAGTTTAAATTTAAAAAAATAAAAACGGAGAAACAATTCAAGATAACCTCACCTGTTTCTTGGGGCAACTGAGTAAAAAATCCCATCACGCAAGAAATCAACAAAACAACTATTGATACACATCGGAATAAAATAATGTGAAACGACATATTTCTCAACTATTACAATTTAAAATCACCTGAGCAGAAAAACAATTCCGGTGTGTTTTTAATTAATTCCCAAGTTTGTAATACAACATGGTCATTCTGTTTTTTTTTTACAAGAGGGCGTCAATTTTTGAGGCAATTAAAAAATATTCGCATCACGCCCATTTCGTGTAAACAAATTCAACGACGCGGTCCCACAGCTCATAGACACCACAGCTACGCGATCTCCGCGTGACTACTACATTAGCCTCGAAACCACTCGTTACGATTCCTCTACACTTCAGCCAACAGCACAAGTTGAACCACTTCATTTCGTCGAGAGTATGACCACGTGACGTCAGCCTGCTCACGTTGCGCTCACTCGAAAGCCAAGCAGCAGATCCAATTTTTTTTTTCCTTCTCCCCCCTCGCGCAGGCAGATTTGATAAGGCAGGGGATATTTATCTAACATCCTGTAGGTGGCAGGCTATCACAAACATAATGTGCGTAAAACACTAGCTGTCGTATATTTCATTCAGAGGTTTCAATTAATTTTAATGAGCAGAAATCTCTAATCAACACTTGGTAAAATATTATTCTATCAAATGTAAGATCAAGTGAAGAATTAGGACTGAAATGAAAGATTCCGATATGTAGTAAATTATACAAATCACGGGGATTATCATTTAATGTGAAGCCATACCATACGTAGACCGAGAGCCTGGTCTATGTTTAGCAAAGAAATATTTTAATAAAATGTGCAGGTAATTTGAATATTTCAAATAATTGCTCAGGGGAGCCCACTTGAGTAATAAATCCAAGGGAAGCAATTTAGTTTTTATTCCGTGATCAGACACAATTTTTGAACAGCAATATGTATTTTTAAATTATTTTTTTTTGCTCCGGGATTTTCCGTTACTAAATTAATGTTGATATTGTAGACTAGGCACTCAGGGAAATAGTTAAATCAGGGGGGACTTAACTGAGAACAGAACATTCACACACAAAAGCTCCAGAATTTTGAACTATTCCATGAGAAATTGAAAGTGAAACTGTTATCTCAATAATGCAGCAAGCTAAAAGTGTAAAATGTAAAGAAATAAAAAATGGTTTACATATATTTTTATTTTACAGTAACATGGTCATAAAAATTTAGTTACAGAAACTCAGAATTGCATGGTGTAATACAAAACAATAGTTCAGATAGCCAAGACAAATATTTATATCATGATGAAAATGACAAGTCTTTGTGTCGTATGCACTGCAATTTTTATACTATTGGTTTTATAAATTAAAAAAAATGTATTTTTGAACACACACACAAAATAAACGACCTGAACTAAAATGAGATGCTTCCATAGATGGTTTAAAACATAAATCAAAAGTTTATGATTGAAAGACTAGCAAAATTTCAGTATGACACACTTAAGGGGGGACCGGTACTCAAGATCGAGAGAAGAAAACAATTGTCAATGCCATTTGGTCGTCAAATCTATTCCTCATATCTGACCCAATTGTTGAGAAAAAAAACGTTTTCGCCAATTTCTTATACTAAATTATTTAGCTTGGTTACATGAAACCAAGGAGGGAAGTTAAATATGGATCTGTGCTGACATAAGCGCAGTGAACGTTTTAATACTGTAGCTTACTAGTGTGTGTATTTGTTATTTTTAAAGTAAAAATCAATGCTTCAATCATTGAACTTGTATAGTACTTTCAAATTCAATTTGAGAAAAAAAATGTAATTAAAAAAATAAACTTCAGTGCATTACAAAATATCCCATAATTTAGCAAAAACAGGAGAGACCCCAAAATGCATATTCTGCTTTAAAAATAAAGCAGTAAAGAACTTTTGAATGTTGTCAACAATAGAACAACTCCATAAACAAATTTTAGTAAAGAAAATTTGCAACAGGGTGGAGAGGGTGAAGAAAGGAGAGAAAAGAGTAGGCATAGGGAATATATTTTAATTGTTGTCTATGTTTAAGTTAACAAATTTCAGATTCAAGTCTTCATTAAATCTGGTTTCTTTGCCTTATTACAATATTAGTTTATTTTTTAATACAAATAATGTAAAATTCAATGTTAAACAGTTTGGAAAAATACATCCTAAATAAATCATTTAAAATCTTACTCTGGATTTGTATTGATTACAAAAAAAAATACATATTTTTACAAAACCATATTTAGCAGGAAGTATTTTGTCAAGTCAAGAAAGATACATCATATAAAGGTTATCGCTGACATAACATAATTCTAAAACCCTAATGTCCATATCCTTTCTCAAGTTTTCAAAAATATGATGATGGCTTGTGCCTTCCCAGTTAAATTACTATATTACTTTAACAAGTTCAAATTATACATTAAATAAACGTAAAACAAATTCTGGCGCTAAAAAGATCCCTCTATGGGCTGTAGCACCACTGGCTATGATGATCATACATTTTAAAAATTACAGCAAATTTTTATTTAAAAAATGTTTGATTTTTTTTATGTCAAATTTTTAAATCCATGAAATAAACAGAACAATGGTATAAATAAAGAAATCTTGTAAATATAGCAAACTACTGTCTCATCTGTCTTACAATTATTTTAACAAAATAAAAATCATGACTCCCCTATATAACAAACAATACACAACTCTCTAACGTGATTCAACTAATACCCAGCCGTTTTGCATTAGCTACAAGCCACTGGTGATAGTCATTCAACTTGTGATCTGCAGGTTCAACCTGAACAAAACATAGAGAGGGAAAAAACATCTTTAGATTGGAAAAATTGAAAAAAAAATTTTTTTTGGCTATTTAAAGAAAAATAAATACAACCCATTAAAATTTTTTTTATAAAAAACGTTTTAATAACAAGCTTTTATGTAATAATGCACTAAAAAGTAGAAAATAAATTATAGACTACAATTTAAATAACTATAAAGAAAAGCCTGGGTCACTTTAGTATCTATTGGATACCTTTACTAATGTTAAGGAAGACACCCAAGCTTTTCTTTATAGTTATTTAAATAGTAGTCTATAATTTATTTTCTACTTTTTAGTGCATTATTACATAAAAGCTTGTTATTAAAACGTTTTTTATGAATTTTTTTTCAGTACTTTACATGTTTTATTTACAATAGAGTAACATGACTAAAAGCCATTGCGCGCCTACTGAACGTGATGGCGCAGCCATTGAACGTGATGGCGCAGCTATTGAACGTGATGACGCGTGTGGTGTGGTTGGATAGACATGCCTACTAATTCGGTCCAAATTTTAATTAATTCATAAAAAATTAATTAGGCATCCAATTAAGTCAAACTTAATTTCAGATTGCATTGTCTTCATGTCTTGACCCACGTGCCAACTATGAATCGTATCGGTCAAGTAGAAGTGACCGAATTTTCACTCTGGCGTTTCGATCTAGACAGACTGACCACAGACAGACTGTCGAGGAAGTGAGTTAAATAAATAAAAGCTTGTAAAAATAGTTGAACTTGCCTGCTTCCATTCATTAACACAAAATATCCTGTAGGAATCATTGCCATATTTGCCAATTCCATGGAGCTCTATGGGGTATGACCATTTTTTAGTTAGGTACTCATCTATTGATGTAAAGATTGAAATGTAAAAAATATTTATGAAAATGTAAAGTACGGATACTTTTGGAAATACATATATATATATGTATAAATAAATAGATTTAAAATTTTTAAACATATAATAATAAATAAAATTGATGGTAAAAAGAGATAAGCTTATAAACATTCGGTTTCTAGAGAGGGTGATAAAGAGTTTGCCTATTTCCATGAACTAGGCCATATGACCAGATAGTGTGGTCAGTACTATGGTTGACTGCCTTTACTAACGCTGACGTCAGGTACCCATCAGAGCTGAATAAAAACCACCTATAAACTCTAAATTTGGATCTGAACCTGAGCCTTTTGTGTTAGGAGTCATACTATCTAGTGCCCGGACTTGCTGTCCCACACCATATTAAAGATAATGTTTGCCTTGTATAATGCTCAGGAGCGTAGATAACCCCGCTTACCAGAGAATCTGATGATTGTCTTTGCTCTGGTGTAATTGAGACCAATTGGAAACAACAAGTTAGCCATCTCTTCCTCATCAGCTTGACAGGCCAGCTGTGGTAAGGGCCAGCGGTTCAGGAACTTCCACAATGTTGGGATAGCTTGCCGACCTAATGGATAAGTGATAGAGGTGGTGCTTTAAAATGTTGGGATAGCTTGCCGACCTGATGGATAAGTGATAGAGGTGAATGTTTTAAAATGTTGGGATAGACAAGTGATATAGGTGGTGCTTTTAAATGTTGGGATAGCTTGCCGACCTAATGGATAAGTGATATATATAAGGGGGTTCTTTAAAATGTTGGGATAGCTTGCCGACCAGATGGATAAGTGATAGAGGTGGGTGTTTTAAAATGTTGGGATAGCTTGCGGACCTGATGGATAAGTGATAGAGGTGGTGCTTTTAAATGTTGGGATAGCTTGCTGTCCTGATAGACAAGTGATATGGGGGGGGGGGGGGGGCTGTAAAATTTGGTGCAGAACAAGATACCTAGTTTATGGGTGGGTGCTTTACAATTTGGAATTGAATAAATGATCTATGGTAAAAACTTGAACAACAATTTTACATTATTTGTATGTAGTAATTTAGTATTTAATAGCAAAAATAAAAAGTAAAAACATGGAAAAAGTTACTCGTAAGACAGAATTTAAGAAAACTATGTGTTCATTCTAATGAATACCAATTCTGTTGAAAAAAAATATACCTGTTGTTTTATTGAGTAAAATAGTAGCTATCAACAGCTTCCAAGGATCATGGAACAAGGACTCTTGCACAAGGCAAAATGGAGATCTAGGTGGAATCCATTTATCTGTTTGTCTTAGTTTTGGCGGGGCCAACCCTCCAGACTTTTTAAAATATTTGCTTTTATTTGAGGCTTCAAAGGAATAATTTTAAAGTTAGACATGAAATAATATAACTTTTTTTTCAAAGGTAAATACCTTTCATAAACCTAGAAAAAGTATTTATTTATCTTTAAAAATGAGTGTCACAAGGTACTAAGAAATTTTTAAAAATAAAAAGACTTACCATTACCCAGGATCATTTCCGCTGTTATTTCACATGGTTCTTTGTTTGTGATGCCATTCTGTACAGAGAGGAACTCAATCAGGGAGTTCTCACTGTCTTCAAAAGGCAAACTCTTCCTTGTGTCACCTGACCGGGGCACCACCTGATCAGGCTCCAACTGCCTCTGGTAATCTTCCCAAGACATTTCTTCAGGTACTATTTTACCATGTGAATCATCTCCTTCGGACGGTAGGGTTTGATCTTGCTGGTTAAGTGGTGTGCTTTTTGTGAATTCCCCGCTTTTACTTTTAGGTGGTCTCCCTCTTTTTTTGGGAGATAAATGTGGTGAACTATGCTGCGATGAGTTTGCATTGCTAGAATCTTGTGATTTATTTAACGAAGAGCCTCCTTCTACAGGTGTTTTGGCTTTTGCCGGCCTGCCTCTTTTCTTTGGGGGAGGAGTTATTGAGGGAGAGCCTTCCGAAAGAATCTCATTTTTGTGTGGTTTATCATCATTACTAGGTTTATCATCATTATTAGGTGTATCTTCTGCGACTAATCTCTCAGTGTCTTGATTCAAATGAACAGAATCTTCTACTGTTTCTTCTGTCTCCTGATTGTGAGTAATTTGTGTATCTATTTCTTCAGATTCTTTCAGCTTTTCCAATTCATCTTCAACGTGTCCATTCTCTTGTGGTAATGGTTCCTCCAAGTCTAGCTTTTTTCTTTTCACTTCTTTGTCTAAGTCTTCTTCAATCTTCCTTTTGGGAGTTTTAGATCCAGCCGTGGCTTCTGTTAAGTGGTCCTCAGGGTGTTTGACTGGGGTCTGTTTTGTTTTAGGCCTACCAGGGCCTTTTTTCTTGGATGAATGGGAGGAACTGTGTGATCCATTTTCATTGGGAATGGGGGAGACAGCAGAGCTGGGTGTTTCTGCTGTACTTGTTGTCTCGGTTTCTTTGACTTCAACTTGAGGTTTGGGTATCAGACTGATCATCTCCCCTGTTTTGAAATAACCACTGGTTTCAGTTTTCTTGGGACGGCCACGTTTCTTCTTCGCAGGTGGGGGCGTGGCGATGGTGTCATCTTGGCTGGAATCGACAGAGAATCCCCTACTTTCATTCAGAGGCGAGGTTGTCAGCTCACTTCCATCTGCCAGATCTTTCTTGGGTTTTCTTCCACGCTTTTTGCCAGACGGGGCAGGAGTTGGAGACTTGTTGACCACCTCAGTGGACTCCTCCCCGGAGCCCACGTCAGGGTGATCTGGCTCCTCGTCCCCCGAGCCACCAGAAGGTGCGAAGTAAGATCTGATCTGACTTGTTTCTTTTTTAGACATTTTACTTTTACCAAACCCACTCCCAAACGGCATTTTAATGACCAATTTCTGCAACGGCTGCTGATCTTTACCTTCCTCAGGAGCTACTTCCTTCTTGCCGAACAAACTTTTTTTCTTGCCCTTTAGCTGCTCTCCGCTTTCATTAACTGACAACTTGGCGTTTTTAAACAAGGACTTGTTGTTTAAGAATCCAGTCTTAGCTTTCTTCACTCCACCCTCTTTAACCTTTAGAACTTTTTTTTCAGACTGAGCTTTTGGTTGTGCTCTGGGCCTAGCCTCCACAACACTGTCCAAGTCTATCAACCCTTTCTCTTTTAGCTTGTTTGCGTTGAACTCAAACAAAGCTAAATCCACGTCATAATTATTTGTTTTTATAAAGTTCATTAACTCTGTTTTAGAGCGCACTTTTCTGTTGTCAGGACTGAAATTTTTTTTAAAAGTAAAATTCATGCTGTAGATTTTTGCAAGTAAAAAAAAGTTACAAAAAAAAAGCAGTTACTACAGAATATGAAATGTGAACTAAAAAATGAATTATACCATACCTCCAGATTTTAAAAATCAAGAATCGAGTTCAATAAATAGAAGAAATAAAAATTCTACAAAGCTGAATTGAGATCTGCCTAACACTTAAGTTGCATAAGAATATAAAATAAAATATTACAGACTAATCTATAATCTATGGCTAAAAATTTGTTTGACAACTATTTAATATGAAACATTCTTTCAGTTAGCAATAGCTAAATAAATATTCTTTAATAAATAAATAAAAATAAATAAAATAAATAATAAAATAAATATTAATGAGAGAAAAAAACAGATGCAGGCGTCCACCTTCCTATATATATAGGTAGACAATCTTTGGGTCACTAAAGATTTGTAGTTGTAAAAATTAACCATGTCACCAATTAATAGAAACCAACCTGTAATAGTAAATATCATATTTGCCAGCAGAAACTCCAGACAGTCTTTGGACAACCTTTAACCTCCAGCCATTTTCTAGCTGTTTACATTCTTCATTGGGCTTTTGCTTGGGCGTGGTGGTGGTAGGTGTTGACTTGGGACTAACAGATCTCGCTGTCTTTGGAGTGTCAGGTCTTTTAGATTTTGGAGTGGAAGCTTTGGCTGGTGATTTAATAGAGGCAGAGGTCGCTGGTGTGGATTTCTTCTTAGAGGCTGGCGTTTTGGGTTTTCTCCCCTTGGGAGTGGCGGGTGCTGATGTTTCTGTAGGTAATTTTTCTTTCATTTCCCGTCTTAAAAAAAAAAATCAAACATTTTAAACAGCATTAAAATAATATGCAAGTTCATTGTGCACAATAAAATAAAGTAATTGGTGGAATCAAACACTCTCTTTTTAAAAAAATATACCTTTACTTATAAAATAAATCTTAAAAAAAAAAAAACCCAATTAAAATTGATATTTTTCTTATGATTTTTTTCCAGAGCTAATGTTTATTCTTGTGAATATTTTTTTCTCTCTACACACACACACACACATATATACATACGTATATATATGCAGATACATATACATTATATATATATATATATATATATATATATATATATATATATATATATATATATATATATATATATATATATATATATATGGAAAGAAGAGAGTAATAACTTGACACCAAAACGAACTGACATAAAATGATACATATGATATACGGTTTCCTTCATTTAATTTACTTAACACTCAGCAGCCAGGGAAAGTTATTTAAAAGAGAAAAAGTAGCTGTAAAATGCTTGCAATGCAATTTTAAAATGAACACTAAAAAAACTTAACTCACAATTTAGTTGTTACTTTTCTTTGTCTCTTATTGAAGGCAGCAGGTGAAGCGGTGTCGGATGAGACATCACCTTGGGGGTTCTGGCTGGGTGCATCCTCCCCAGGCACATCTCTAGATGCTAAAGGATCCTCATCTGTTGGTGAGTGTGAGGCGAGCTCAAGGTTCTCTGAGTTAACCTCCAGTGCGGTGGGCTCAGTGATAAAACCCTCAGATTCATCCAGCCTTTCGGTGATCACTTTCTCTGAAAACTGTTCAAATTCAGTAGAATCTTCTCTAGAAATATTGCCCTCTGGACTGATGTGATTGTTTTTATCTGATGAAATTGAAATTTTTTCCACACTTTCCGTCTCAGAAAAGTTCTTACCGGAATCCACATCTTCCTCTTTCTCAGATTTATCTTCAGCCAGAACACTATCCTCAAGTTCTCTGGGTCTAGCGTTGTCAGGTGTACCATCAGCACTGTCCTCTACATCAGGTGTACCTCCAGCTCTGTCCCCCATATCAGGCGAACCCTCAGCTCTATCCTCCATATCAGGTGTACCTTCAGAACTCTCATCAATGTCATGCGTACTTTCTGCCCTATCCTCAGCCTTTTCCTCGTCATCCGATGTGCCTTCTGCAACAACCTTATCCCTTGTTTCCCCATCACTGCTCTGTGATACAATGTTCTCATCTCCTGTGTCCACATCCTGGGTACTTTCCTTATATCCCTCCCCACTAGGGGATTCATCACTCTCTATGTCTTTCTGAGAACCATCATCAGGTGCTGCTGGTGATTTCTCGTCACTTGACTCTTCTAAGTCAACACTAGCTTGCTTTACTTTTCTTTCTATTGTTTCATTTTCTTCTTCATCATCATCATTAGACACTCCTTCAGCAGCAGGGGTTACATTATCCATTGTATTTGTATCAGTTTCCTCTTCAACCAATGAGCTTTCTTCCAGAGCCTCTGACTCTTGACTAACATTATCCAAATCCACATCATTATTTGTGGAATCAGGAACAGAAACACTCTCATTCAGAATTTCTGTGTCATCACCAGATAAAATATCTCGGGCATTGGCTTCACTGTTGTCTTCTGTTTCCATATTCTCAACAGCCGTCTCCTCTGCACCTAGTGTCTCTAAATTTTCTTCGGCATCTTGATACACAGAGTCAGCAGACTGATCATTCAGAGACTCTGCCACATCATCTACAGTGTTGTTATTCTCACTGTTTGTGCCATCACCAATGTCTGAAGATTCAGTCACAGCTTCTGTATCTTTCCCTACAGTCTCTTCAACACTCTGATCACTACTGTCCATGTTCTAATATGTTCTTGATGAACTGAAACATTTTTTAACAGAACAATGTTACAAATAATAACAAAACAACAGAATAGATAATAATAATAGATAATATTTAAAATTGAACTTCACTTTTATTTCCCCCCACAACAAGTAGTATCAAACACGTGCATGTGATCATAGTGAGTTCACACAAGCCTCCATTGTTACAAGGGATGTGGGTTAGTCTAGTCCTCATAGTTATCTTTAGCAAGGCTGAGATAAAACGGTGAGTTGAAATACCACAAGAAAAAAATCACTAATGTTCGTAGAAGATTTTTATTTTTATGGAAATCAATATCATAACTCTAAAATGCAGGCGTCAGCACTAAAGCATTTAACTTAATTATTAATTAGGCTGAAGCAACACCCATTTTCATCAATCAATGAAGAAAGTGCCTGATCTGATAGTAATTTTTGTAATTATTTCAAAGTAGGTCTTAGTAAAATGCGAGACATGAAACAGAGAGCTGGTAAAATACAAGAATGGTGTCAAAACTGCCTGTTGTATGACATTTTTGTCTCAAATCCCCCCTCTCCCACAATATGTAGGCTTTATGTGAGTAAATTGCGTTTACACCTGCGAAAATCGTACTGCTGTCGAATTTCTCCATGCCAATGATTTACATTTTACATCAACTTTGGTGTAGACTATATTTAAGTTGGTATTGTTATAATGCAGCTGTTCGCAGTAAACGCATGTGAAGTCCAATAAACGTAATGTTCTAGTTTTTACAGCACCCCAAATGAGTGAATGATCGAAGAACTTCTTTCTAATGTGTCATATTGAATTTTATGTTGTTCGTAACAGCCTGAAACAGTATCTACCGTATCTAAAATTAAAATGTTCTACTTTGGGCCAACATAAAAATGTATTTTTGTTTCCTTCTACTATTTATTAAACGCAATTTATATCAGTCTGAAACTTTTCGCTGAAATTTTTCAGATAGGCCTAAATCTAAATATTTAATGATAAATTCACAAAAAAGTAGACATTGTCAATACTACCTGTTGACTATAACTCTCAAGCCCAGTTTCCTAATGTTTAAGTTGCATGCAAGGTAGTAGGGCTTGTAGGCCGAAGCTTATGTGGACTAACAATGACACAAATAAGTATGTTTTTCTTATTAGTTGGTTTGGGGAAATGTAAGTGTCATACTATAAATTTTATGACATATGCTCAATTCCCACTGTATGGTAGAGAGCTAGAATGTAAACCGGTTTAAGTCAGTAGAATGTCCCAGAGTCCACCCAGCTCTGATGAGTAGCTAACACACATTAGGGAAAACAAATGCTACTGGGAATAGTGCTGACAACACTACACCTTCATATGCAAAGGTCTATGAAACAGATGGATTCAATCCTGCCACATGTGTCTTGGGCCCAATGGGAAAGTGATGTTTTATTCCCTGTAAGAACTCAAAGTGACACCCATGTATCGTCCAAGATTGGATTTTTCTCCTGCTATCAAGAAAACGTGAAGTGTACAAGAAGAAAAGTTATGAACTAAACAAGTAGGTCTAGAGTCTAGATATAACTCGGGTGTTACGGTTTGCCTTTTTTTAAAAATAAATTTCTTGATCCAATTTAATTTTTTTTTAAATATGAAAAAATCTTAACATTATTGCACCTATGATTGCATGCTCATGTTTTCTTGTCAGTGGGAGTAAAATCCAGTCTCCGATCGACGGGTCACTTTGGGTTCATAAAGAGAATATTATTTTAGAATATATTTTTTAAAATCTATCTATATATAGATCTAAATTTAAAATTCTAAACATTGTCGCCTGCTTTTTGCCTGCTCACATTTTCTTGTCTGCATGAGAAAAATAATGGTTTGAACTGTCACAGTTCACAGTCAGTGCAAATAAAATCCTTAACATAGGTCATAGCCTGAGCAATAGCTATATGACAAACATGATAGAGGTCATTGTGAGTTCATATAATCTTGTCAGTGAGAGAAATATTCAGCACATTGTTAATCTAATGCAAGACCAATACCTTCTAATCTTTAACAATTTGTATTGTTGTACTTGTTGAAAGAGTAGAGGTATAAATATATTAGGCCTATTTAAAAAGTGTTGTTTATAAAAAAAAAATTGATATTTAGGCCTAGGCCTATATGTTGAAAAAATAAATTGTAAACGCCGTTAACAATACAAATTCTTATAGCAACAATACAAAATAGTTGCAGCGACAGCTTATAGCACGTGAAGTTCAAAGACGATTTATTGTGCGGCTTTGGTGTTCCACACAAAAGAAAGAAGTTGATAAATCATCAGCACGACCGAAAAATATGAAGTAGGCCTAATGCTAATAAATAACTAATGTTTTTGATGTCTGCATCTAAAGTTCATTGTAAATCAGGTGGGTATTAATTATGCAGACATCTTCGCATTTATTTACCACCACCCAGAGCATATCAGGTTGTGATGAGTTCAGGACAATTATGTCGCATAAACTTCTCACCATTTTGCTTTAGGTAGGGATTTTGGTAAAAAAACACTAAACATCATATAAAAATAAAAATTACATATTCTTGTAGAGCTCAACTATATGAAAACAAAACAAAAAAGATTTTCTGTCTAGCTCAAATAGTTTTTTTTTAGCGAATTTTTTTGTGAGGGGTGGAATGCCCTTGCTTTTGCATTGGCCAATTGTGACAAGTCATGGTACACCTGAATAAATTGACCATAGTTATTTTACTTGCAGTTGTATTTTGTTCATATTTGCAGAGTTGAGCTAGAATGATATATAGAACTTGTATATGCTGTTGAAATAAATAAAAATAATACAGAAGTATATTTTTGTGTTGGCTTCCTTCCATAACCCCAAAAAAACTGTGCTGCGCAAATATGAAAATACTTCTAAAGCAATGTTTTACAGTGAATGAAAGAACTACAAAGTTAGCAATCTAAAGTAAATGACTTGAACACTGAAATGTGCATATAACTGCATATAACTGCCCCATTATTTTGGGCAGGTGAAGTAGAGTCCATCTTTAAAACATTTTGTTATAAAACTGTGCTGCGCAAATATGAAAAAGTTTCTAAAGCAATGCTTTATATAAATACAGTGAATGAAAGAACTACATAGTTAGCAATCTAAAGTAAATGACTTGAACACTGTAATGTGCATATAATTGCCTTATTATTTTGGGCAGGTGAAGTAGAGTCTATCTTTAAGCCATGTTGTTAAAAGTGAACTGAAGTTATCTGATCAATGTTTTTATGTGTGTATTGTGTATGAATTCTGATTTTCAGCACATAAATATAACTAAGTAAGGGTAAGTAGAACTTGAATACTTAAAATTACAGTTAGCACATAGCTAGTGTAGTGTATTCTAGCAACAGACAGGTAACCTATGTCTGACTCAGCAAAATTTTACTTCAAGCAAAACTAGAACCAGAGTTGAAAAAATGAAAGACAGGTAGATCTATATTAAAATATGTTTAAAACAACAAGTAGGAGATTTGTTTGTACATTACATAAGAATACTGTTGTTAGTGTATCAAAACTAAAAGCCGGCAGATCGGGATGAAGAAATATAACATTGGAGTCAATGGGGGCAACGTGACCTACTTACGGTGACTACTTTCAAATGAGTATTTACTAATGTCAAAGTCAAAATATCCAAAAATAAATATCATTTCTATAAAAATGGGATGTATCTGCTTTGGAAACTTTCATTATCTAAATGGAAACTTTTCAAAAATCGCGTTTTTAAAGCATTTGAAGTTAACCTTTATACCGCGGTAAGACCAAAGCAGAGACAGCATGCAATCAGATAGCTAAGCCATCAAAACAACTGGAAAACCATTCTACTTTTCATTTAACATTAGGAAATGACCTTTTAAACTTAATTAATTACCATAAATTAAAAACTTATTAGTATGCAAAACTAAATCTCGTGCGCCCGGTATCAGAAAGTAATGGGAGATTTCGGGTCATGTTTTTACCGCGATCTCGGCCGATACCGACAAGCCTACTTTAGGCCTACTCGCAATTTACCAACACCCTCATATTTTACCAAGAAATATACAAAAATAATAGGACCTGATACTAGAGACACTAAAACACAACACATAATTGCTAGATACAATGACCTCTGCTTGCTAGCAATCTTCCCTTCCTTGGTGTTCTTAATGATGAACACACATTGGATAAATTCAATGTAATTGCGTTCTATCGATAATAGGTTACGCACAAAGCAAAACCTTCTTGCCGGCGACGGAATAATATGCATGCCAATTTTTTAAATATTAATTTAAATAAATTAAGATTTTGTGGAAATCCATAGCAAAAACATAAAATTTAAACTTACTACTGTTAATAATTTATAGTTAAGGGCTTACTTAATTTAGCCTATTTCACTATAACAATAAAAATACTATTATTCATAGTAAAGCCGCCATGATAGGATGTTTGTATTTGATCCACTCGTTGTAATGTTTTCACTCCTAGATTCTATACCTGGCCAGTGTACTCTTTAAAAAGTTCATATCTAGCCATTTTATATAATAAATTTAGGTGGAAAAAAATAATTTAAAATGCCGTTAATATATCAATTTGTTTTAAATTGGCCCTAGGCAAAATTAAAATTACTTGATTCTGTTTAATTATGTTAAACAGGCCTCCGTGTCTAATATTCCTACCGTATTTATTATTATAATTGTCATTGCGACACTATATTTTATTATGATTTCATATCTCAATATCTCAATGAAAATTGTAATTATAGAATTAAATAAGTTTATTCCGAGAACTTTAGGTTTTTATACGCATATTATAAAGGCCTACTTTTCATATAAACTATATTATTGAAATACAATAACTCATGTGTTGACACATTAAATAAAATACCTTTTTTTTTGTCACAGAATCGTAGTTCAAATGAAATAATTATTTACAAACATTGGGATTTAATAAATTAGATTCGAATTTTTTTTTACAAAGAAATCATTTTACCAATAATTACAAAGAAGCTAATTTTGAAAATGATATATTATGATTTAATACACCGATTGTCTATAAAGATCATTTATTTGATAACATAGTATTACTTCTAACGGCGTGATACTAAGAATCATCTTCTTTTCTGTCAGTTATAATCATTATTCTTTTAATGTATTAATTCATGTTTAGTATAATAAACTAAATATGTTCATGCATGTATGTTTTGCATTTTAATAAAACAATAATAATAGAAGAGCCTATAGACCTAGTATTAGTCAATACTAGTATTTCTCTACACGCATATTTTTAAATGGTTGGAAAAGTCCAAATTGGTAGTATTGTTCATGTTTAGTCCTCTGATTTTCGGTCCAAATAATTTAATACATTTACTTCCGGTGCTCTAAATTTTTCGGTGTGAATGCTTGAAAAATATGTTTTAATGGGTACTAAAGTGAGAGATTCCAATGCAGAAAACAACACCAGACGTTTTAAAATTAATCAGAGGCAAGAAATATACTCTATACTTTGCAGTGGTGGTCGATTTATATTAAAAAATTTAGTGTTGTAAACAGACAAGAAGCTACAATTTTCTAGATTTAGCCAAGAACTGCAGTGCACCCCCTCTTCCAGAAAGTAGTTGCAAAGATTAGTTAGGCCCTAAGTTAAAAGAAACATTTTTTATTGTCATCCCCTCATTTCTAATAATCTATTTGATGCCATGAGTTTAACAATAACAAAGATCACTTTGATCCTGTAACCACATTGTTTTAAAATTTTTTGACCTGCATTTTATTTTTAACTTACCTTCTGACAAGACTACTCACACACTCACTACTGGATCAAGATCTACTTTTTAAGTTACTCTAACTCCTCCAAACCACCAATATGTTTATACCGGTGTCCGATAATGGAATCTTCTTTACAAAAGGGGTGTTAAGTTACTGGTAGTTAACTAAATAGTAAAATACACACAGGGCTGGCTAATGTCAATAGTCAATGCTAACCGTGTCCCTAACCTCAACCCTGGTCCTACCATACACCTAACCCTAATTTCCAACCATGAAATAAATCTTGATTACAATACTACCAACAACCCAACACCCAGTTTTAAAAGAAGATTCCATTATCGGACACCGGTATCTATAATCATCCCACCAATTCTACCAAACTATCAATTTTTTAAAAGCTAAATCATGTTACAGAATAATCAGAACTATTAGCATCTTTAGTAATAATACTTTAACACTAGGCCTAAATGACCGCCTAAGAAAAAAAGGTTACAACAATTTTTGTCTGACAGCAGACTGGAAATAACCTCTTACCCAAAACAATGGTAGGAAAAAAAAGGGTATGCAATTTTGACAGTTTACACCTCAGTAATTCTTCATATACAAAGCATAGGGGACTTATTTAAATCTGGCAAAAATTCTAAATCCAGCTTTATCAAAATTTCAGCGTTTTACGAGTAATTAGTCAGAAAAACTGGGCTTTGCAATTCTGTCTATATTTCTGTTTGTGTATCTGTGAACACAATAACTTGAGTCAGCTAGGTTGATGAAATTTCATATATAAGTATTACATCAAATTTGTAGTTCTGTATCAATTTTTCAGCAATTTCCATAAATAAAACTTATTCTACTTGAGGTTTTTCAAGAGCCTATAACTTGAGTACTGTTTCTGGTAGATGCAGAAATTTGACTTATAATTAAAAGATCTAATTCTCTAATTCACGCTATTTCAGATTTCTCAAAAAACATATGAATTTATAAAGTACTAATATTCCGTACTATTATACATGCATTGTTTGCTGTTCACTTGGTGTGCAATTCTTTTTTTTTCTATGAGATTCTATTCTGTTTTTTTAAAGTTTAAATATGTAAAAATTGATTAAAAAGCATGTATATTTATCCCCTATAGTGTGATATGAGAATAATTGAGAAAGTTTATGGGAGATCACTCCCGCTTTATTTAAACTTAATTGATTCCATCACTAAACCAGTAGAGGCCTTAAATATATGGGCGTAGATCTGCAGATCATCCTATTTTACAGTCTTAAAATTATGACGAAAATCAGTTTTTATTCATCCTGAGAATACAGCCTTAAAATTATGACGAAAATCAGTTTTTATTCATCCTGATAATACAGTTTTAAAATTATGACGAAAATCAGTTTTTATTCATCCTGAAAAGGGAAGCTCTCTTCTCTTCCCCCCCCCCCCCCCCCCCCCCCCCCACACACACACAATGGAACTACTGAAATTTATAAACACCATCAAGTCTGTGTAAGTGTATTTTTAATTAGTATAGTTCAGGCATATTAAAAGTATCTCTTGTGTTTAGTCACACTCAGTACCTAACTCAAATTAACACGAGCTTATTTTTAAAATGAAAGAGTAATTCAGATTAGGGTTAGCATAAACGCTAAGGTTAATGCTTTGTCCAAGACACATGGGGCCGCCACAGAAATTTCCACTTATTTTGTCTGTCACAATCTAGTCTAGTGATAGTAGCAAAAATTTACCCTTCTGAATGACCCACAGATGTATAAATGAAACATTATGAAAAAAAATTAAGTAAATCTAAGTGTATCACTTTGTCAGTAGAGCGGTAAGCTCATTTAACTAAACACCTGTTGTTGTTTTTTTTGACTGACTGTTATCTTTAGAACATATGTATTAAAACTCACAATCATTAAAACTTGACACATATAGAACAGCCATTCAGTCTTGTTTGTGAGTATACTATGTATATATGTGTGCGTATATAATTTAACAGAAATCAACACAAATTCACAACCTCTATCCAACACCGATCCTTGCTCCTCAATTAGATGTAAATATCTCTTGTGATACTGACTTCTGATTCAAAGATCTAAATTTTATGATTAGTTATCACCCTTGGGTCCAAGTATCATCTCCCATTTCTCTGTTAGGTATTGTGATGTCCAAGAAAATCTCGTTTCACATTTAAAACCTCTCTATTATATTTAACTTAATGTTGTGGAAAAATTTCCAAAGCATTTGCATGCTTTCCTAACTTCCAAATTTTTAAATAATCCATTTGATATTTTGTTGTTATCACAGTTAAGACATACAATATCAAAAGAACAATAATTTTTCCCTGGTATAACAGGTGTTTATTTAACTTATTGATATTTATTAATTCATTATTTATCAGAAAATCTAACTCATAATTTTATTCCATCTTTTCTATGTAGGTATTTTCTTGCAGCTTGCTTTAGTTTAATAAAGTAAAACACAATAACAATCATGGATGATTTTGGAGGTAAATAAATTTTTTTTTTTAAAATGTAACTTGATTTTAAAATTTTTCAAGAGTTGAAAATTGTGTCTAAACAATGTATAATTACCTCAAGCTCAAGATGATATATGAATATGTATAGGGTAAAGGAGGGCGTTAAGAGCCACACTTTTTAGCACCTGTACATTTTTAAAGATTTCTACTAATCTAAGAATTTTTTAGTATTGAAAATATGGCAAAATTATTCTAACATATCTTACACAATATAAAAATAATAACAAAGTCTATTAAATATACTTTAAATGGGTTTAATTGAACATTTATTGTCATACCCCCAAAATCAGCATTTGGGGTGAAAGGAGCCGGGCATTGGGGCAATAAGTATTATCTCCTAGTTTAGACTAACTCCGCAATAAAAATAATTAATTTCTAACCCCAAAATAGTTAATGCTGTGTACACACACTTTAACTGATACTAGCTATCACTAGGCCCCAATGGGCCCAGTCTACAATTGATACAATTGCAGGTGTACATAGGGCCTAAAGTCTAGTAGTTTACAGTAGGCACATTAGTATGCCTAGTGTGTAGCTGTCCAGAGTTAACATTCTTGTATGTAAAAAGGGGTGGTACTAACTAATCTGCCTTAATGCTTTCCCCTGGTAAGCCATGTGTGCTATACATTACATAACATGACATGGAGGTGAGAAATGTTGAGGGGAGAGCAGTGGTACTGGTTTCCCCTTTGTTCTCCTTGCTGGACCCTGAGGGCCATAAATTACATAAGGAGATGCTATCTCTGGTTGGCTGAGATCTAAGAACTAAGTCCATGCTACCTACAAAGAGATAAGTTTTATGGTGGGTTAGATACAGGTGGGGGCTGGGTATCATGGGGGTGAGAAATTGTGAGGGGAGAGCAGTGGTACTAGTTTCCCCTTTTTTCTCCTTGCTGGACCCTGAGGGCCATACATTACATAAGGATATGCTATCTCTGGTTGGCTGAGATCTAAGAACTTAGTCCATGTTACCTACAAAGAGATGAAGTTTTATGGTGGGTTAGATACAGGTGGGGTCTGGCTATTATGGAGGTGTGAAATTGTGAGGGGAGAGCAGTGGTACTCATTCCTCTTTGGTCTCCACCCTGCTAGACCATGAAGGTCATATTTTACATAACATGCCACCCCAGATTGTCTGAGATCTGTAACTGTAATCCATGTTACCTACAAAGAGATGAAGTTTAATGGTGGGCCAGAAACTGGTGGGGGCTGGGTATCATTGGGGTAAGAAATTGTAAGGGGGGAGCAGTGGTATTAATGTGTCTGTTTACTTCCCTGCTGGACCATGAGGGTCATAAATTACATAACATACCACCCCAGATTGGCTGAGACCTAAGAACATTTATTCCTGTTACCTACAAAGAGATTTAAAGTTTTATGGTTGGTTAGAAACAGGTGGGGGCTGAGTCGGCTGTATTGCCCCTTAGGGGTAATAAGTACAAGTACCATTTTAAAAATTACATTGCTAACATCAGATGGCTGAATTTTTACTTTTTAGCAGGTTAGAATTGTATTTCTATCATTTAGACACAAGTCTGTTTAACAATTAATACATTTTGTGTTAACTATTCCAATACCAGTGTCATATTCAGTGGTCTAATAAATGAGAAACTCGCACATAGGGTTTCAAGAGCCACATAACAGTATCTGTTATAACTTTTCTAAACAGGCAAGCTAGTGAACAAAATTAATGTATTCATGAAGATTTAGTTATTATCTAACAAATAAAACCATTATGGTAATGATCAGTCAAGTTTTACTCTGATAATGATAAAAACTTTATAGCATGGTAAAATGGGACAAATGTCAGCCATTTTGTTTTGGCACCAATAATCACTTTGCAAAAAAAATTCACCAAAATAAAACTATTCTAGCCATAGCTATAAAAATAGTGTTAAAATGTACAACAACCAATGCTCTAATATAGGAACTAAGAATGGGCTTGAAAAACTTATTTGGTTTATTACAAAGTGAAGTTTCCCAAGATATGTCTATTTGGAAAAAAAGTTCACAAAATGGTTTTATGGAGATGAGAAATTTTAGGGAAAGAGCAGTGGGATTAAATCCTGTCTCATCCTCTCCCTATTGGACCAAGTGGGTCATAAATTACATAAAATGAATCCTCTGTTTCTCTGTTATCAAAGAACAGCAGTGGTTGTTACCTCAGAAGTAGATTAGCAGTGTTATTGGGGGTTTTGTGGGGGTGGGGTGTTGATTGGGGCTTAATACCACACGGCTCTTAACGCCCTCCTTTACCCTAACCATAAATAATTTATCTGTATTTTAAAACATTTATAATATTTTGTAGAAGAAGAAGTTGTAGAAAATCCTACCTTAAGAGCAGCATATAATCTGGAACCACTTCACCAGAACCAACCACTTCGCTGGAACTATGATGTAATTATTTTTAGTTTTTCTTAAATTTTATATAAATATATATATTTAAGAAGCGAAACTTTTTTATTATTATCAGTAATTCGCATCTGAAAAGGAAGTAAACGATGAATTCCAATTTTTAAAAAACAATTTTTTTCATAGGTTCATGTGATTGGGGAGAAAATATATGACAAAGTCATTCATTTATGTGAAGTCTGTGAACTACCTATTTTAGTTTATGGGCGCATGGTAAGTACTTGTCCCTAAAATAATAGAAAACTATTTATACCTTACAATGATAGCTGACGAAATGTGTTCTTAATCTAAGTATATTTTACAATTCAGATTGCTGTGTCATGTATAGACAGTGCAAACCTACATTACTGTAATAAGGGTTAATTATTTAATGCCAGCTTTAAATCTGTATTACCAGCACACAATAGTTATCTTGTTTTTTATTGCAGCCATGACTTGACTATCATGCATTATAGACATAGTTCTTGATACACTACTCAACCAGAGCTTCTAAGAATTCTGTTATTTTAGCTGTGATATTTTATATAATTGTGTGCTTTTGTATGAAATAAATAAACCATCCTGGTTGATGGTATTTTCAGCTTAAGATTTTGTATTGGTATAGTAATAAGTAAAAGTTTCTATCATACTGCATGTTTATTTATAACTTGCATAATTTTAATTTGTAGAGTATATTTTGAGTTAAGGAAACTGAGTACAATTGTATAACCTCTAATGTTGTTGATTTCAGCTACCGTGCAAGCACATTTTTTGCTTTGATTGTGCTAGGAAATGTGATAAAGCATGTAGGAGGTATGAGCTTATTTAATCTTTTTATTTTTATTTTAGTAGAATATCTTAAATTTATAAGTGTTCTGTTGGTCAATCAAATATTTGTAACACATTGTTTCTCCCCTTTTCTCCAAGGATAATTATTTACCTGTTAAACATCATTTTGAAATCGTATTTCTTTTTTTGTCTTTTAAATTTTTTAATGTTTTACAACAGAACTGACTTGTTGATAGAAAGTTTAATTTTATTTTATAAAAGGAGATGGTATGTCTCTCCATTTGAACTGATTTCATCTAATTCATGTTAGATTTTCATAGAAAAGCATTGAAATTCAACATTTTGTAATCCAAATTAAATTTATCTTTACATTTGGAGGATATACTAAAACAATTTTCTTGTATTCGAAGGGTTATTCGGACTTTAAAAAATATTATGCACATTTTTAGTGAAAGACATTTAGTTTATTTTCTGTCATAATCAACACATTTTTTCATTGTGTAGATACTGTAATTTAAATTTTTAACTAAAGAAATAAAATACTCTTATTTTGACAGATGCAATGCAAAGGTGCAGAAAGTTGAAAAGTCTGCATTAGGCACTGTGTACGTATGTACACACGGGGCTCCTAAGCACAGCACTAAAGGTTGCAGAAGGACTTACCTATCTCAGCGTGACCTGCAGTCACACATAGCCCATAGACATGTCCCCAAATCTGGTAGTACTAATAATAACAAACACCAGCCTGTGGCCCCCCTCTCTCAGCCTGGCCCGATACAGATGCCACTGACCCAGCAACAGGCAGCTCAGCAGGCCACACAGAAGCAGCCACCTGCCCAGGCTATTCCTATTCAAGCTCACACCTCAAACTTGTCAGTTGCAGGTTCTCTTGTGCCCCCAGTTTCTAGCTTATCATTGACGCATTCACAGCCCTCTGGGCTGGTCACTGCTCAGCACACCAGCCCCATCCCATCTCACATACCTGGTTTGGGTGATCTAAGACCTGTCACTAATGTGTCCCCCGCCGTTTTGACTCAGAACTCTCCGCTGATGCAGCCTGCGCCAAGTCCTAACAGTTTACAAGGTATTGGTATGTCTTACAATGCAGCGCCGCCAACAAATCCTGACATCTATAGACCTCTGGACATGGCCGCGATGGGGCAGCAGCCGCAGCAACATCAACAAAGCATTGGGATGTCTAGCATGCACCTGCCGCCTGTGAACAGTATGCAACAGTACGCCCAGCCATCCCAGTTTCCTGTTTCCCCTTCTATAATGCAGCAGATGAACAACAACCAGCAGATAGCATCTTCTATTGCCAATGCAATCCATCAGACTACTCTTTCACACCAACACCCACCTCTTGCTGGACCCCAAAGCTTAGACTCGTATAAGCCACCAAACATCCAGTCCCCCATACAGACTCCACCGTCCCGCACCAATGTCAACCTGATCACAGTGCCAATACAAGATGAGGGTCAGTACAGGATTCAAGACGAGGGCCAATACAGACCTCTGCCGTATGTCAACACCTCTATGGCCAATCAAGCCAACAGCCAGACATATCCCCCGCTTAGAGCTAATTTGACTAACCAATCACAGGGCTACTCGCAGCCTCCTTTGTCTTCAAACTCTTTCTCCAGTTCTAATAGCTATCCTCATATGGGAGGAGTTCAGACTCAGTCTCCAAATATTGATTTTAACCACTCCCAGAACATGGTTATTGGCCATAGTCAAAACATGGGGGGTCAGCCACCCACCATGAGTGGGCAGGCTCAGAACATGGGTATTGGTCATTCCCAGAATTTGGGGAGCCAAGGCCAAAATATAAATATTGTTCATCACCAAAACATGAGTGGTCAAAATATGGGAAACCAAGGTCAAAACTTGGGCGTTCATGGTCAGACTATGGGAGGCCCCTCTCAGAACATGGGTGGACCACCCCAGAACCTTGGCATGGCCAACAATTCTTTAGGGATGCCACCATACAATTTGCAGGCAAATAATCCTGGGAACTTAATGAATCAAAGACCTGGAATGGTGGGTGGGGTTCATGCATCAAATGGACCAAGGGTGTTGTCAGGTTCAGTGAATAGAACTCAAGGGGGTGGACTTATGCCGACACCTGGTGCAGTGCGGCCTGGAATCAACAACCACTATTCTCCAGCTGGACACTGGCAAAATCCACGCGTAATTCAACCGAGAATGACACAGGGACAACCAAGACCTAGAAGTGATAGCCAATTTAATACTAGCGGTTATTATAATTAAATGTCAAACTTAACCAAAGTACTAGAAGATAAAAGTTTGATAATTTTTTTTAGTGAATATATTTTTAAAGAAATTGGAAATTTACCCAGTGGTAATTAATAAATATGATCATTGTTGTTAAAGCAAATTTAGTGAGTGAAAAAAAAAATGTTTACGTGATTTGAACAATGACCTGACAAAGCTAGTCTTTGCTCAGTGGAAATTATACTGAATTAGATATGGTAAATTGTTTGCTATTTTAAAGTGATTTTTTCTTAAGTGTAATTTTGAAAATTTGTGTGTATTTAAAATGCTATTTCCAAGTCCCAGGAAAGATTTTATGAATATAGCTGTCTTGTGTAGTTTTTTTTATTTGTGATGATGGTTACAGACATGTTCCCTGTATGACAAAAGTTTTTATTGCTGAGATGATTAGTTTAAATTGTTTATTAAAATAATTGTCAATATGAAAGCTTGTTTCTGTATTCTTTTAATAAGAAAACTCAGATGACAGAAAAGTTGCCAAGAGGACAAAATTACATAATTATCTGTTAACTGATGAGTAATTTTTAAAGATGTTCTATTTTTAAACATTTATTTTAAGGCAATTGCAACCCTGTATTTATTTTTAGTTTGTATACAATTTTAAAAATACTGTAATAATACTTTTAGATTACAAAACTTATCATACTTGTCCCATAAAATTTTCAGTTGGTTGCCTTTTAGTAATGTAAATACTGCTTCAGTAGCTTATACATTTTATACCAAGGTCAATGACCCTCATCTGTTTTACAAAGGCTCCATTAAAATGTTGATGATTTTAAAAAATTTACAATTGAATTTTTTAGTACTTTCAGCTAGTAAGAACACCTGTAATCTTTGATCTTTCAAAGATTGAACAATTTGGTAGGTTAACTTTACTGCATATCAGAATCAGAGTGTTTATTAATAAATGATATCCTCCACCAATATCTTAAATGCAGTTCTAGCATTTCAATTTTGCCCCCCAAGGTATATTCTTGACAAGTCTATACTCAGCGTGTTATGGATTTTCTAATGCCCACAAAATTATATTTGGCCTATGCAAAACAATGTTTACAGCAATTTAATTGATGTGCCTAAAACTTTTTGACAGGTGATGTGCTATTATTAGTCACATCCCTGACACCAATAATGGAAAGAAGAAAGAAATCAAATACACTATTGCATTGTTTGAAAATTTTCCCTGTTGTGTTACACTGATGAATTACAATAAAAGCAATTAGGAACCATTACTTTTTCTAGAGAACATGCTCAAGACAATCATTAAAATATTCAAGATGGATGATATCCATGAGTGAACATTTTTTAAATCCAGAAGGTAAGTGTAATCCACTCAGGATGCCTGTATCCAGCATAACAAGACAGGCCCTCAACTGGAGTCCACATGGCAAAAAGGAAAAGAAGCAGACCAAGAAAGCGTAATAAGTATATCAAAATTAAATTGTGTCCTCTAAAAAAAAGTAGCATATTTTGAAACTGTTGACTTACAATTGAAACATGAAAACAATTAAATTAAAATACTTTATTTCTCAAAAAATATTGCCAATCATATTTTAGATCTTCACAATTCACACAGCAAGTTTTGGCATTATATTTTTCAATTAAAATGCATCGCTGAAGTTACAGAAAAAAAAATGTTTTACATCAATGGTTCAGGGTTGCATCATGTAAACTGCAGTTTTGAACTAATTACCACTAAAACATACTTTTGCTATAATTCAAGTATTTAAACTACTTGGGAGACAAACTTGTATCGTTCTGAAAGTGATTTGATGACCTAAAAGTTAATTTAATTACTAAAAACATTAGACAATTCCTTCCCAGCAGTGAGCAATGAGGTAAATATACATGTTGACAAGAACAGCACAAGTAGATACAATTAACATGCCCACATAACACAGATTACAGGGATAATTTTCTATAGTTAATTTTCAGTGTATAAGCTATTATAACAGCTCTTACAAGACAGCCTGAGTGTTTTTTTTTTTAAATGCTGAATTATTTTTCACATTGGTATTTTATTCACTCCTTTATGCAATCTCAACAAATAAGACCACAGATAAATAACGTACAATTTATGCTAACAATTAGATCAGTATTTACAATTTATTATATTTAAAGTAAAGCGTGTTTGAAAATAAAATTAGGAAGAGTGCCAATATTTAATTTAGTCAAAAAGTAGATGTAGTATTAGTATTACTTTGGATGAGAAGGGCAATCAACTGTGATAATGTTTTGCAGTGAGTTTACATTTTAAAAACAAATGTGCAATATATTGTATTACTTATTCTAAAGCAAGTGCAAGGGGAACAAATATTTTTCCCCCTTATACAAAAATTTGTATGAAATATTTTTTGTTTTGGTTCCTAAACACCTATTTATTTTTGACACTGGAAATGGGTTGCATTATAAAAATGTTGACTAATTTCAAATCAATCAGACAAGTTCAAATAATAAATCATCAAGTTCCCCGGGGTCGTCGTCATCATCGTCATCATCACCGGCATTGTCATCACTGCTACCAGGGCTCAGCTCCACAACTTCCATTCCATTTTCTTCATGGATTTCATCTCCATCATCACTGGTATCTAACAAAGGAAAGAAATTTATAAAATTTGTATTTGCTCTTTAAAAAATGTATAAAAATTAAAATAAATTATTTTAAAATATTCTAAAAGAATGGAAATTTTAAAAAAACAACACTTTTAAACTCTGTGGTTCTGTCTTTTAAATAAAGGAAAGATTTTCCTATTCTCAGGTCAACACTTGAAGTCAAACCTCTTTAATTACCTGATCCGGGATCTGAAGAAGCATCCACAAATTCTAAAACTGAATCTTCATCATCTTGGTCGGGATCATCGTCATCATCTTCATCATCATAGTCGTCTTGGTCATCATTTTGGGCATTATCATCATCATCTTCCACCTATTATAATTAAGTCAAAAGTAGATGTTTTAATTACTATTAACTAAGCTAATTGTGAAGTGTAACCGACGGAAATGATAGTTCAATGTTTATTCAGAGATTACAATTTAGGTATGTGAAAGCTACAGATGTCTATTTTTTTTCACTCTAAAATTGAAAGATTTGTACATGGCTCTTATTGTATTTCTAGAATTAGAACATTTATAAACTAGATTGGTTTAAACCCACCTGATCTTCCGGCTCTCTGTTCTTGCCCAGCTCATAAATACGACAGAATGCTTCTTCTGATTCAGTTTCACTGTGTGAAGTATTCTAGAAGCAAGTGTTAAATTTTGTCAGTTAGGCGAGGTCTGATAAAGCACTACAGAGAACAGTTTTAAAATGCAAAACGTTGTTTCTAAAGGTACAACAAATGAATACAAAAGTTGCTTTTTATAAAAAAATGTTTGTATTTCAGCCTTACCTCTATTACACCAATTAGAAGATCATTTCTGTCTATAGCAAAATCAAAAATGCTATTTGTTTTCAGATCAAAAGTACCTGATGGTAAAAAAAAATGTAATAATTTTTTGTACTAGTGCACTCTGAATGTTAACTATTTTTGCTTTGCAGAAATGAGGTTAAAAAAATTTTAAAATAATAAACAAGACAACAACGTGAAGAAAAAATGCTATTGAGATACAAGTATAAAAATAAATTACCCATATTACTGTAGTCAATGGCATCAAATGTTCGTAAAGTTGAAGAATAATCTCTTCTTGTCAACATGTCCCCAGAGTTTTCATCATCCACTCTAATAGCTGCAAGTGAAAATATTTTTTTTTAAATTGTTCACAAAATTGAAATATTAGAAACTTCCTGATTAATTCTAATTTAAGATTTTAATTTATTTAAAAAAATAATATTAATGGTCACAATGGAGTTTCAAATGAAATAGAATCGTTTTACAAAAAAACAAACCACTACAAAATTTATTAACAACAAAAAGACTCACCATAAATAACATCTCCATTGTGGTTAAATATAATCTGACACTGATCCAAGGCTGGTACAGTATGAATGAGACGAAAAGTCCTAATATCCCACTAAACTTCAGTTAAAGAAAAATCTCCAACACATGAACAATGAACACAATTGTCAAACCCACCTTTATTGAGTGCATTATTCATTATATAAAATGAGATAAATCCAATAAAAAATATTAAGAAAAAAGTATCAGAAAAAATTTGTTGCAAAGGATACAATTTCAGAATTTATGACAACTTCAAGACCTCGCGGATGAAAGCAACCACTGGTATACTGGTTGAACTTGTCAAATTTGTAAATCATTTTTCCAGAGCGAACATCCCAAAGATTGCCATCATTGAGCACCATGTCATCAGTGGGGTTAAATGTGGCCTCATTGTATTTATAATTATTTGCTTTACTTTCATCATAAAATGTCTGAACTACTGATCCTGTTGAAGTGTCATAAATCTAAATGAAGAAGAGAAAATTATTCCTAGTTAGAACTTACTAACAAAGCATCTACTGTGATGTTGCTAATAAACAAATAAATTTCCAATTATTGTATCAACATTCTATGAAACTTAATTTTAAAAAGTTTAACTCTTACTTTAGCCACCATTTCTTTAGTAGCTATGAAACGATCTGCATTCAGATTGGCCAAATTGGCAGTGTGTTCATCAAACCGGTATCTGAAAACAAAATTACGGTATATATTAGTACTGTACTTAATAATATGTTTGAAAAAGTTACAAATTTGCATTTGAATAAGCTAACAAAAAAACCCCAAAAAAAAACCACATACTTTAAAGTAACATCAGGGTTGTTACGACTGAATCCCCAGAGGGCACAGTTTTGTGACGCACCCCAAGTACTTGTGAACAGAATATCTGGGTTCTGAAAGTAAAAAACAAAACTGAATTATCACCTTTCCTGTGTGTAAGCCATGTCTATTTTCTCCACATCTTCCTTTAAATAAGGTATAAAAAAGTGTTTGAGTAAAAATAATTAATTTTAAAGGTTTAAAGGATTTATTTACTCCAAATGCATTACTACATTAGGTATAATAAATGTTTTAGCATTAGAGAAATATTTTTAAAAGACAGCTATCTTACCACTTTAGAAGTAGTTATATGAATAATTGGAGATGAATGACACACAGTGCTATAAAAGTCAGTCTGAAAAATTTGATAAAACATGTACAATTTTAAAATGTTAATGGAACATAACAGTAAATAGTTTTTTTTTAAATTTGACACTTAGTTGACATAATGACTATTAAATTATACTTACACCACTGGAGGCAATATTCATGACTTTCAGATCCCCAGAAAATGAACCAATGAATATGTTATCTGCACCACACTGTTCAATGTTTAAAAATTATGTTTTAAATTGCAGCTCAAAATAAAAACTTATAAAACTGAGTATATATTCAAAGCAACTTAAGAATACATTTTACAATGCTTTTGTTTTAAGATTTGAATGTTACTTGACACACATCAGGGAAAGTAAAAAAAAAAGCTTACATCAAAAGCACAGCATGCAAGTCCGTCCTCACTTCCATCTCTAAAGCTTGTCAAAGGACAAAGTCTGGAAACATTTTAAAAATTAAAATTATTAGATCGTTTCATACAGAATATCATTTTCTACAGCACTTAAATGAGACTTAAGGTAGAAGAAGTAAATGATAACTTGCACTTACTTGCTGTGAATAAACCTCCTGTCAAGGAACTGCCCCTTTGAGCCTCCAAAAGGTGGTTTGATCTAAAAGAAACGATTTAAGTTAAGTTAGAGATTTGTATTGTTGTATTAATCTTGTTGAGTAATTTAATATCTTACGTGCAGTTAAAATATTTAAGAAACTACAAGCTAATAAATTCTCACCAAAAAAAAAAAAACAGCCTTGCAGATAAAATATTTGAAAAACTTAAATAAATCTTTACCTGTCTGTCAAACAGTCTGGATGTTATAGAGAATGCAGCACTTGTTTTGCCTAAGGGTTCTGGACATCTGTGGGGCCTAAATCATGTATACAAATTAAAGCCATGTATAAAAGATAGCCAGTAGTGAACTTATTTGGATCCCATGAGAATATGTTTATCAATATGTATGAGAAGAATGTAGTCCCCTATCCACATAACATTGAATGAGCATTTCAAATAGATCTTACATTATTTTATCAATGCACTGTTATTGTGAATTAAATGTTACTTCATTAACAAAAAATTCTATGGCCCAAGAGTCCAATAAATTTTTAATAAAATATTATTTTTAAAAATAATTACAGCAGTAACTTTGAATAACTTACATAAATAAAGACATGGTAGGGCAAGTGGAAATTGGCTGGGGACAGAGGGCGTGTTGTTTCCGTAAATATTCTGTGACAATTTTATCCAGGGACACATCATAATCACTAGCCTGTTTGCCTTTCAATCTCCCTGAATTCACTGCTGGTACACTAAACCCTTCTCTTTCTTTCAAGAATCGTCTTTTAGACTAAAGTAACAAAACAGAAAAATGATTATTATTCAAAATGTCATTTATTTTAGTTAATACTAAATATTGACTATAATCATATTTTCGATTCAATTTTTTTTACTGCATAAGTAAATTAAAATATATTAAAAGAAAATTGAAACAGTTTCACTCTTCTTACTTTCTGAAGCGGAGTAGGTTGATGTGATGAAGGTGTTTTGCTTAGTGTAAACTTCATGGGACCTGGTGTGCTACAGGCCGACGTTGTTGCAGATGGACCTGGAGTTTTTATCGCTGAGGTAGATGGGCCAACAACTGGGGTCAGTGCTAGTGAATGAAAAAAGTCATAACTGTCGTATAATATAAAAATGAATATGCATGTATCATATACATAATAAAAAAAGTTTGCTTTTTAAAAAATGTTTGATTAATCATTATTTTTAATGAAATATCTTATTCAACTATTTGTTAATTCTAATTAATTTCTAAATACATACTAATTATTAGAAAACAATCAAATCCTGTTGCAAGTAGCTAATAATATTACACAGAAATAAAACTTTTTTACAATAATTATTTAGATAAAAACATTTGAAAGAAGTTAATCAAACCTTTTTCTGCAGCCACTGAGTTTGATAATGCTGTAGTTGGGGTTGAAAATATTTCTCTATTAGTTTGACTAACCAAATTAGAAGAAGTTGGGTGACTAAGCTGCCTACCCTGGAAACAAAAGATTAAAATGGGTAAAATTCAGGGTAAAGTTATCAGTGTTTATTTAACTATAAGATTTATATTGTTATGACAGAAAAAAAGCAACAAAATATGTTAATTGCGGCCTGAAGAAAGTCAGCTAGTCTTAACTGATGTATTTAATATGTTGTTGAGTACCCTGAGAAAACCAAAAGAAAGAACTACTTATCCAGGTTACTTACAATTTTCGGAGTATTTGGTGAATATAAATGCAGGCCAGTGGCATGATGTGGTGGAGGTGTGGAACAACGAGGAAGATTTGCTTCTTTTTGTAAAGCTGATGCTGCTTCGTGAAGACCTGTTACAAAATATATATATATATATATATATATATATATATATATATATATATATATATATATATATATATATATATATATATATATATAAATAATAAAGAAATAAAACGGAAAACAGACTTTAACAAAGTCCTAACAACAAACTTATTCAAAATTATCTATTAGTCTAACAGATTCAACAACAACTTTTCCCAGATCATAGAATAGTTTGGTTGAGCAGCAGCACAAAGTTATGGTGGTTTTGGGCAAAAACAAATGACAGTATAAAAATACTACCATTATATGGGTCTTAGGTTCTCAAAGTTAAGCTCAAAGTGTAGTCTTTTCTAATTTCCATTAAAATGAGTTCACACATGCATGAATAAAATATTTCTAAAAGAAAAAGGGTTAAGGCATAGTTGAATTTAGGTGGAAGAATACAACTAATTTTACAAACCTTTAGATGAAAGATGCTCATGAATAAGCTGCAGTAGTTCTTTTTCCTGGTATACAATTTTTGTTTGTGCAACAACACCAGCCTGTCAAAGTGTACAATGTTGATAAATTTGCTAGATACCAATTACTATTGACAACTTATAGATGTGGTAAAAAAATGTTCAATAAAAAATGCCTGTTGAGAATAAGTGGAAAAACAACAATGGTAATGGAGGTAATGCAGATAAAACCTTACTTTTCTAATCTCTTCTAAGGTGGAAGCCCCTAAAACATTGGCTTGTCTACCAGCAATTTTCTCTAAAAGTGTTGAGGCATATCTACAGAACTGGTGATGGATATGGCGCCTGTCAGACAGCACTGGCTCCTTCATTAAGCCTATAAAATAATAATCAGTTAAAAATCTTGAACTACTGTTAACCTACATGTGTTTACATAAAAAAAAATAAAAAATTAAATATATACTTTGTAAATGTCCATTATTTAATGGAGGCAGTTTTCCAATAATTTGCCTGATTGTCTCTGATCTTGCCATGCCCACTAGAGCTTTGCAAGCAAGCATCCTCAACTGGTCTGCATCTATCAGAGGTGTCTTGACATTCAAGGTTTTCAACAAAACCTGTAAAATTTATAAATCAATTTAATTAAGAGAATTACTTAATCAGGATAGTGACCGGTGAACACAATGTTAAGGATTTCTTAAAAATGAAATTAATATTCAATAACTTCCTATATCTAAAAAATGTCTAAATAAATTGCTCAAATCTTTACTACCATAATTCCATTGTTGGTACGAATATTATGCCACATCCATGAGAGAATATCATCATCACCATGAGCTTTCTTACGGTTGCCGTGGTATCGGACAACACCACTTCCAAACTGTTGATAGTTTTAAAAAAAATTAATGTTTATCTAAAAAAAAATAGATAACAAAGCAAAAGACATCACTTTATATAAACTAAAAAGCTTTTTTAGTTGCAACTTAAGTTTAAAAAGCAGAAATTGATAATTAGCTGAAGGTAAAATGTGAACAATGAAATGTTCTTTATTTACTTACTCTTTCAACAGGTCCACACACACAGTTGACCAGCACTCTTAAAGCAGCTTTGGTGATCTCTGGATCATTTATCACTTCTCCCTCAATCAACCCAATTATCACACTGAAAAATCAACAGTTGAACAGAGTTAGCAAAATTTCTTCCAACAGAAAGACAGATCCTAATGAATGTACAAACAATGTTTACCTTAGTATTGGTGAAGTCATGTGATCTGGCAGATCAACATTACCACACAACAGCATTTGTGTTCTGTGAGAGACAGAACACATGGCTAGAACATCTAAAGCTGCTACTAGAGTTTCACTCCTGAAAAATAAATCATGGCGATACACAAAATAGAATGTATTACGTTACATCTTATATATTGGTCTGGAATTAATTTTCCCACAAAATGAAACATTTCAACTAAAAATAGCAATTATGCATTTTGTTTGATCTTAAAATTTGTATGCTATGAATTTTTCCCCACAGATGAAGTATTTCAAAACACAATAGAATGTATGCTTTATGTTTTATACTAGATATTTGTATATAATGAATATAATTTAAAAGATAATATTTCAACTCACTTTCCTTGATACACATCCCACTCTGGTGATAGAGCAATAAGTTGACAGAGAATGTTGAGCCCAGAAAGCTTGTGGATATTGATCTCTGGTAGCCAGTTAGATTTTGGGGGAAGATACTCAAGAAGGATATCCATGTTTTCTTCCATTGTAAATTTACTGCCTTTGACAGACTGTAAAATTTTTTAAAAATTTCCTTAAAAAGTTCAAGTTTTAATCAGAGGTCTGCAAAGTGATTGAATCAAGAGCCATTTTAGATTTAAACTAATGATAACATATCATTTTTGTATTATAGGCTGCAACTCTACATACCTTGCTTTCCTTCAAAGATGAGTTGCTGCCATCATGATGATGAAGGCATCGCAATTCATCAGCCTTCAGTGTAATATGTACTTCAAAGTACTTGCGCAGTGCATCACAAACAAGACGGGCAGCTTGTCGCATTTGATGAAGTTCATCATCTGTCTCATTGCCTTGGCCATCAGTGTTTAAGAGACTTAGAGTACTGATCTGTACAAAAAAAAAGTTCAATAATTCCTTTTCCCCAGCTCATCTTATTTGAATGATCTTAATTAAACATTGCTTAGGCATCTCAGACCATCCTTGTGGTCAAGAGCTTGTCTAATATTTGAGTGATCTACAGATTTGAGTGGACTACAGATTTTAGTGAGATTTGAGTGTACTTACAACATTAATTAGGCGTCTCAGGCCATCCTTCTGGTCAAACAGATTGAGGATGATTTTGTACGGAAATGACTGAGAAAAGAAGAGACAGGCATGGCATCGACTTGAATCATGAGAGCACTCCATCAACCAGAGATTATATCTGTAAACAGATGAAGAAATTGAGAAAATTAATCATTAAAAAACAAGTACTCACTGACAAGCAAAAAAAAAATCCTATTTTTAAATTTTAAAGAAAAAAAAACAGTACTATTCTACTAATGAATAAAACAGACAAAATACTAAAATACTCACGAGACAACATCGGATAGTACACTCTCAGGTAGCATGCACATCTGTGAGTAAATAAAAAGGTGTGAAATTTAATTTTTATAATAGGGAGGTAAACCTAATAAGTATAAATCAATAAAGTAATTTACATGCATAAACAATTTTTTGATAATAATGTAACAAAACATGGTACATTAAAAAAATAAATAAACACTATTAATGTAATCATACCCTTTCTGTGGCATCCTCAAAGTAAGTTATGTAGTAAAAACAGAGTGAGACACCAGTCGCAGCTATAGATGGTCTGTGTATTTCCAGCAGCTTTTGTACTCCTCCCTTGGTTATGAACTCAGCTGCAAATTTCTTGTGGCACAGGATGACTGACAGAAACTTTTTAAAGTAGAAAGCAGGTATATTTAGAAAAAAGTCTGATAGATTCTCAAGTTGGACATACTTGGTATTTTAAACTTCAAATAAAGGGATTGAAGCAAATTATTATTTTTAAGTGTCAAAGCTATTTAAAAGTGAGCCGTTAAGCAATGTAAAATAACATGCATATTAATCTATATATATCAAGCCACTAGATGATTTAAAAGAAATTAAACACTAGAGACTTACCCTCAGGGCATCAAATGCAAGCCTTATATCTTTATTTTCATTTAAGTTGATGTAATGAAAAATCAGAGTCATGGCATTGTGTTCAAGAATTGGGCTGAGAAGCTGAAAATGAAGATAGGTTTTAAAAATTAGGGTTGATGGTAAAAATAGAGTTTCTACTAAAATGCCAAAACCTTGTAACTTGTTAGATAGTGTAAAATTTATTTGTGGAAGTAAAACAAATGATGATGTATTTAGTATCTATTTTTGGTGAAGTAGTACTAGTTAAAACAAATCAAGAAAAATAAAATAATGTTCATTAAGAACAAGAAAACAACTAAAAACATACTTCATGATAATCTCCCAGGGGAGTAAGATACTGCAGAATTAGTCGTTGCTTCATAGGTATAGTAAGAGGCACCAACGAATAAGACCCAATTACAAGTGGTCTCATTTCTGCCCAACTGCTATTGCTATGATCATTCTCAAAAACTGTACAGAAAAATAAATTAATCAAAGTCAAGTTAACTGCGTTTTTAATTTGTTATGTATTGTAAATTATTTCAATTATTGTTTAAATTCTGAATAGCAAGACCTGAGTTTCATCTTGTAATTAATGAAGATCTTTAAAATCAAGTGCACAAAATTTACAAACTTTTTTAACATGCACAGACTTACATGAGGATCCCTCTGAGTTAGATCTCAACTTTTTAAAAGGATAGAAGTCACCCCTGCTGTGACTGGGAGACAAAGCCCTTTTAAGACTGCCTCTATAGTCTCCCCTGTCTGAAGATGGCGGCGTACTGGAACCTAGAAATACAGCATCATGCGACCATCAGTTAATGCTAGAAAATATGCTACCAAGATCCAATGGAAGTACTTTGATGATTAATAAGTATGTATGTTATAAACATCCTGTAATATATCAATCAAAACCATAGAAACAACTTGGGTGATTAATATGATAAGCTATAACATGATAACTTTTATGCCAAATATCCATATTTTTACAGCTTACACACCAAATGTAACGACATCCTACCTTTAATGGATGAAACTGGTGATTTTGATCCATCACTTGACACCAGAGAAAAGTAGCGTTTTCCCGGATCTTTATTTTCTCCATCAGCAGAGTCAGTACTAGGACCATTTCCTTCTTGCTCTTTCTGTTCTTTCTCTTGTTTAATAAGTGCATGAAGTCGATCTAACATAATCGGAACCTTTAAGGAAGATTTATAAAAATACTCAAATTTTTCAGGATTATTTTTGCATACATAAAACATTCTAAAACCTCATTTTTACCTCATTACATAAAACAAAATAGGCCACTAGTTAAAGACAAAAAACAATTAAATCTTACCAAATGCAAACTCTCCTCCCTAAACTTCACTGCAACATCATTCAGTTCCATAGCTCCACTCAGTAAACCTGTAGCATAAGACCTCAGAGGTTCTTCTGCAAACTCAGCCCAGTAATAGAGCCTTTCCACTACTCCTTCCTAATAAGCAAACAGTTGTCAGATGATATTTCATACAACTAAAGGAAAAGGTCTAGAAAAGTGTTACTTTTTAATCAACTGAACACATTTCATTGCATAAAAAAACACATTGTAAATTGTTGATTTTAATGTTTAGATAAAATTCCATTTTTAAGTTAATTAGCCTGAATCTAAACTAATCTATTAACATATAGATCTATAAAAACTTAAAATTATTGCCTTTATAATCTAAAATTTATGATAAATATAACTGCTAAATTGCTAATTGAAAATATTATTTTACGTTTTTTTTTAAATACAGAAAAATCACCTACTGTCTCTCTAAAAGGAACACTTGTTTCCAAACCAGGTAAAAGATTTAACAATACTCTGCATGCTGCTGTAAACAGTACCCCTCCGTCTTCAAACCTTCCTCGTAGAATGTATGTCCCAACAATCTAATAAAACAGCAACAACAAAAAAAATGTTCACCTGGTATTTGTAGATAAAAAATATCTAACTAGCACAAATGTAAAAAAATCTTTAAAAACCAATAATAATTATAATTGTAAGCACATCAAACATTTTTTTACCGTGTTCATGAAATCATCATTCTTGAAAATAACTTTCATCATCTGCCCAAGACCACATGCTGCTATCTGACGACCTGCAAATATTGGTTCACCAGATTACAAGTTGTTTTGGTTTAAAAATCATTGTGACATCATAATGAAAGTTTTCTTTTAAACTGTGTGAGAAATTGAATTTTTTACCTGGTGGTCTATCGTCAAGTGGATCCGGGTCCATTTTATAAAACTCTTCTGTTTCTTGTTCCAACAGTTCAGATAACCTAAAATTTAGTTAATTTAATTAACTTTTAACTATAATTCAAATTCAAATTATAATATACTATATGAGAAGCTATGAATTATAAATCCAACTACTTTAAATCTTAGTTATATATGTAGGTAACTGTGCTATACAAAATTCTGACAAAACAATTACTTTAGTTTGTAAGAAAAATATTTCACAATGTATACAAGCGATTGTTTAAATTTATTAATATTTCAACTATTTTTGAGATAACTGTCTTAACAATGTACTAGTAGTAAAAGGCAACTTTTCCCTACTTGTTCAAACATGGTACAGGATCAAAGGTGCCTGCCCCACTGTTCCTATTATTCCATTCATCTAAGGCTGTTTGGAACTTGGCCATATTGTCTGGCCCTGAACCCTGGTTAGCCATTGGAGTGGCTGAATCTTGATTGTTTTCAGCCAGTTTCAGCTCTTAAAGGAAAGTTGGGTAATATTAAAAATCAGAAATAATAACAGCACACCTCAAAAATATAAATTTTTACCAAATCTGGAACTGAATAATACAACTGGTGGAATAACATTTTTAATGTAACTAATAATTCTATTATATTATAAAAAATAACCATGCTAGTTGTTGTATTTCTAGGGTTAACCATAAGAAATTGTCGGAGTTAATATTTGGTAGATATATAATGCTGACCGTGCAAGCAGAAAGAAAGACAAGGGACAGCAGTCTTTCCTAATTTTAAATTAAAAAAAAAAAAAAACAAATGGAACATTTTTTGCTGAAAATTTCTTTCTGAGAAAAAAAAACTGCCCAAAATGTGTAACTTAATTTTAGAAAGAACCTTATTGCACTTTTGTAAAAGGGTAAAGAGTATAATAAAAAATACAGCATTAGTTTAGTATCATAAACTTGTTATTTTCCCCTAAAAGTTTCAATGGTCATTATTCTTAAGTCAATCTTTACCAAATTTAAAAAATCTATTTAGTAATTCAACAAGTTTAAAGTCTATCAAAGATAATAAACATATAAGTGATCAACTTGGCAATCGTCCAGTTGTTGCATAAACCATATCTAAGTTTTTTAAAAATTAAGAATTCTGTGGTAGTGGTATCCAGGAATAGTCGTACAACTGTATTATTTAATAGCCTTTCATCTCACCGCTTAGTGGAAACAACCAAAATAGTTAATAGTAGCTTGTGGTTGTTTCAGTTTTGTCTGAGAGTGGGTGCCTCTCTGAAAAATTTTTATTATTCAAAGATATTGGATAATAACTCACTCTGTGGCAGAAGGATTTTTCATTTTTTGGTTTTTAATTATGAGTGCTAAAATATTTACACCAGTGCTAATTTTAGCTCTCTGTAAGAGATAGCTGGCTCAGTTTCACGAATAAATACAAATTAGATAAAAATAAAATAGAAAGTAATTTTATCACTGGAATGTATAGAATTATATACAACTTGAATGTTTGTATAGAATACAGTTAACAAGGAATAATACAATTATATCTTACTATAACAACAACATTCATCAATACTACTGAAGGAGGTAGATTTAAAAAGCAGCATTATTTTTTATCAAAAATACTAACTGAAAGGCAGTGAATTTAATTCCCATAGGTAATGACCTTGAAAGACTGTTGGTTACTATAATGAGAACTGCATTTAAAATAGAAAATAACTTCAGTAGGCCTATGGGGTGCTATGGCATGCTAGTACTTCTAAATTTTGAAGTATCAATGCAATCTTAGGTGTTAAATTACCTTAAAACTGTTCCCATATTTTTACTACGAGTTTAAAGTTTAAATAACCCCACCCTTCATAGTTTATGGAGGTCGACGGCTCACTGAGAGTTCATAAAGTGAATATTAATTTAGACTATATTTTTAAAAAATTAGATATAAATTCTAAACATTGTCGCCTGCTTCCATTTTCATGTTTGCGCGAGGGGTAAAAGTCAGTGCATACAAAAACTTTGAGCAATAGCAATATGACAAACGTGCTTGGGATCATTGCGGGTTCATATAATCTTGTCAGCAGAAGAAATGTTCAGCCACATTGTTAATGTAAGGCCTTCCAATCTTTAACACTTTGTATTGTTGTCGTTATAGAAAGCGCAGAAGTATAAATCAACAATTGATTTTTTTATTTAATAATTTTAATTATAAAATTTAAAAAAAAAATAAACAAAACTGATAGGCTACTTTTACGATGACAAAATATATTGTAGGTTATGTTAATAATAAAGTTCTTTGCAGCAATACAGCAGCGGCTTTGAGCAGTTATGTTTAAAGGGGATAAAATTGGTGACTTTTGGTGTTCCACATAAAAGAAAGAAGTTCATAGATCATAGACATGCCTAGCGATGGAAAAGTTGGAAATTATAACATTACGAACAAAAAAATCTTTGGTTAAAAATTTCTTGTAAATTAGATGCGGTATAATTTTTGCAGACATCTCCGCATTTTACCTCCAACCAGTATAAATATCAGATGGTGGTAAGATGCAAGACAAAAATGTCAAGTGACCGGCAGTTTTAGCAATTATCAACATTGCCATTTTGAGTCATGCTATTTACAAACACCCGAAACAGTCCTTTCTTAAAATCTTTGAAAAAACTGAAATTGCTATCTCCTGTTTTAATTGGGGTTATTTTGGTCCATTTTGAAAAAAAATTCAAGCATCGGCCAATAATTTAATAAAGCGACAGTTGACCGAAATATGAAACTAGCCAAAATGTAGTCTACTGTTCTTATAGAGTGTAGATCTAGTACATATCAGCTCTAGATCTAACTTGATCTAATAATTACATCATAGATCTATATCTAGAGTAGAGTTTATTTAGATATATATAATATATAATTCTCTTCTTGGAGACCCTAGAAAACACCAAGCTGTAAGTGCGCTCCCTACCACCCCCACATGGTCTGGTGAGCTGTGGTTCACGCTAAATGTTTACAATCGTAGAGCCGGGTTTAGTGACGGCTATTAGGGGCAGATAATTTAGTTTGAAACGATTTTAAACTTAGGGGAGGTAACTAAGAGGAGGCTGCTTTCACAGGCGGGGTAGGGGAAAGGAGGGGGGGGGGTATCATCCTTAACGAGCTACTGATACTGATAGTGTTTTAAAGCAAATATATTCAGTGGCAGCATTGGTACTGTCGAATTCACAAATTATGAATTACTGAAAAGTAGAAAATAAAACAACTAAATAGCGGCGTATGATACGCCGCGGGTCGGCTCGTGTAATATAATTCACATGCGGGACATGCGAAATCAAAAGTAAAAGTAGAACTTGGTGAGAAGAGGGGGTATTGGGAACACTTTACTTTGGTCAGCTCTGGCCGGCCAATATTCATTTAATTCAATTGACTTCGTGGCTCAAGTTAACGGTTACCTGTGTTTTTTATAATTTCAGCCTATGCTAACTTTGGAAAATAGAATTAAGTGCGAAGACAGAAAAACCATCAATATGATTATCTGCAGAAAGCGGCCATATTTGTTTTCAAATAGTCCGTGCCAGATTTACAAAAAATGTTAGGCTAAATGTAATATACAACTATATTTTTAAAATTTATATTACAATTACGTACATCTAGGTTTAGATTGTTGGATTAAAAAAAAAAGTTTCGTATATTGTAATACCCCCAGACTGCGACTGTAATGTGAGATTGGTTTTCTTTATATTTTGGATTTTATCGTGATGGGGTGTGGGCAGAGGCATAGCGACCCTTCCCGGCGCCCGGGGACGGACAAACTTTTCGATTTGCACACCCCCTCCTCGAACTTTTCATTTGCATCCCCCCTCAAACTTTCAATTTGGCGCACCCCCCCCTAAGGTCGGCGCCCGGGGACATATGTCCCCAGTAGCGTAGCGGGGGGGGGCATATGTCCCCGGGCGCCGACCTTAGGGGGCGCCAAAATGGGTTGGAAAAATAAATTGAAAGGTTGAAGGGGGTGCAAATCGAAAGTTTGAGGGGGGGGTGCAAATGGAAATCTCAAGAGGGGGGTGGGTGCAAATCAAAATCTTGAGGGGGGGGGTGCAAATCGAAAAGTTTGTCCCCGGGCGCCGGGAAGGGTCGCTACGCCTCTGTATGTCCCCCCCCCCTTGCTACGCCTCTGGGTATGGGTCTAGGTCATTGTTCACACATTATAAATGTAATTAAATAGATGCATTTATGTTACTTTTACGTATGGTTACTACACTTTTGATTTTTATTATACAGGGGTGATTCTACAAAAAAAAAAAAAAGGTTAACAAAAATTGTACTTGTAATCTGTTTTCTATAAAAATATAGAATATGACAGAAATCACACACAAACTACAAGAATTAAAATCATAAGAAAAGACATATTTCTGTCTTCGAAACTATTGTCTAAATTGTTTTAGTAATTCAGATCGTCTATACATTATATAACCCACTCTTACCCCATTACCAAAAAAATACCTCCCACTCTTTTTATAGGTTTTTTTTATAGGTCATAATTCCTAAAATTCGTATTCTTACATATATCTATTATAGTCAACTAAATTTCTCACTCCTTACACAACGTTTAAACAAAAGTAAATTAGAGCAAAAAAGATCTCACGGTGAAGAAGTTTTACTCATATTTATCCCAACTGGCAATACATTAAATTCACCATGTGCTCACTGAACTAATAATTATATATTACAAATAGGGCCTAGAGTCTAGTAAATAAGTAATGTCTAGGCATATAGATCTATTATTAACTTAATTACTAAATCCATATATTAAATGCTCACATCCAAGATTAATTTTATTTTTATTTTCGAAACTAGATCTAGATCTATATAGAATATAAATCTAGATCTAATAATGATGCTTCGTTTACATTTAAAATACGAATCCAGCTTCCCCTCCATATAATGAACCCACAACCCTTATTAAAGTATTAAAAATATTAGAGTAAATAAATAGACTATACAGTGTGTCTTATGATTTCAGATGTCTTATTTTGTAATAAAAATAATGGTTGTAATGCAAATATATCAGAAATTGCTTTAGAATAAGTCCCATTTTAAAGGGGAGAAACTTTTCTATGCCGGGTTAATTTTGTAAACAAACAATCACGTGCATTTTAATAGTCATGTGACTATCTTTACTAAAACAGACAAATTTACAAAAGAATAGTGCCCTCAGTGAGAAATAAAACTTGAGTATTTAATGATTTAATCTAATTTAAATCTAAAATAAAAATATTGACCATGTTAATAATAGAATGCATTGTAACCATATAGATCTAGTTTTATTTTCTTTTAATCTTAGATTTAAAATAATGAAACAGCTCTAGAATCTAGGCCTAAATAAATATTTTATTTGGTAATCTATCGTTTTGGGTACGTAAAATCGTCCGCGATTTGTAATGTGAAAAACAGGTGACTCCTTAAATTTTAATAATTATTTCACATTTTGAGGAGGATTTATGTTTTAAAAAATTTAAAAATGTTTCCTTGATTCATTTATGTACCTGTTTTTAAACAATTGAATTAAAACTTTTCCGTAATAAATGAAGACTAGCGATGTTTCCAACAGATGCAACCATGCTCATTTACTATAGCAGCCATCTTGTCTAAGTTTTATTTTTATAAGCTTTTAGCGCAAGATTCAGGCGGAAGTCACTCTATTTTACAAATGGCTGCTGTTTATATAGCAAATCTTGCTTGCAGACACTGCTGTTTAAAGTTAATTTCGGGCCTATATTGATATATTTAGCCATTGATTTAGGTTTATTATTCATTTATCTATAATATTTGACACAAACATATCACAATATACTTCTATTACAGCCTTGACAATGAGGTAACGTTTTCGTACATTAATAGCCGCGGGCGATTTTACGTATTCAAAACGATAGATTACCTTTTATTTTTATTAGCACTGTTCTGATCTGGTAGCACTCAGGCTCAGACACTCTAGTCTAGACTAGTGACTAGAATCTAGACACTCTTCTTAAAATCTTAGCCTTAGCAGTTTTTTTTTTTTAATTTTATTTGTTACTTTCCGTTGTTTTGTTACGTTAATTGTCAATTGTTAGATCTTCTCTAGCTCTCTCTAACTCTAGCCTATCTAGTCTATTCTGATCTGTCAACTATAAATAAAAAAATAAACTACTTAAAACTTAACTATAATGACTTGGTTACTTTATTATTATTATTTAATAATTTAATTTATTTATATAATATATATTTTTAATTTAATAGGCCTACATGACACTACTCTCACTACATGTTTACTAATTGTTTTGATTTTATAAACTTTAATTCCCCCTAATCTATAATATAATTATTAATTACTATCCTATATTATAGGAAGTTTATACTATATATATATATAAAGTTTATACTATAAATTATAAAAACATTAAAAACTCTCAAGGTTTTGAATATGCCATAACATCTAGATATTTTTAAAATATTATTTTATTTAGGCCTACCTACATTTAGGCCTATAGCTTAGCCTAATTATTACTTATTAATTAAGTAATCCAATCTTAATTATTTAATTATAGAATCTAAGGAATAATTTATAATATAATTACATTTTATATTAAAATAGGTCTAATGCCCTAAATAAAATTAAATATTCCTCTTTTCATGCTGCAAGCTTTTGTTCTGTTCACCTGTTTTATCCACACTGTGTATTGTTTACATTTTGCGATAGCATCTGCCTTTGTACCCTGTTGACTTTTTGTCTTAATTCTATGCATTTTCATGTAATTAGGGTTATAAATAAAGGTAGTAAACATGGTTGAAATATTGTTGCAAGGAGTTGCGAACTTCAAATCATATAAACTATGTAAATATCATATTCCCCATTTCACACTCATTTATAAGGTAGTATGAAAAAATGCATTAAATACTAGGTAAATCTAGCTTGGAATTAAATATTGCCTACTATTTTATTACAATTAAGTTAAAACATACATACTCTAGACTAAATGCTTTAGGCTGATTCTAGCCGGAACAAACTACACATGCACAATGGGGAAAAATTGTCTTCCTTCATGGCAATGTTTTTTAAGTACTTTGTATGTGTATATTAACCCAACTGTCCCTAACCAAAAGTTCTTTCAGGCATAACTTCGGGAAGCAGAGCCCCCGACCTCCCCTCCCTCTCCCAAAAAATTCAAGTGCCCCCTGGTAAAGTCTAATTCCCCTGTCCCTAACCCTAATGTCTTAATGTAATTACTTAATGGTAACCCTAAAGCCTTAACCTTTATTTCCTGTGATCACTTTTCCCAACAATCAGTTTGTACTCCTAGTCACTTGTTAGTAATTTATTATTTGAGATTGGGTCTAGAATATTTGTGTATGTATATCATCTAGTTACAATCTAGACCTAATAGAACTTTCCAGTGGCGTAGCCAGGATCGTCTCAAGGGGGGGGTTCCAATTTTTACCCGGGGACAAACTTTCGATTTGCACCCCCCCCCTCAAACTTTCGATTTGCATCCCCGTCATACTTTTTATATATACCGAGGGGTCTATGGGGGGGGGGGGGTTATGACCCCCCCTAACCCCCCCCCCCCCCTGCCTACGCCACTGGAACTTTCTATATATATTTTGAGATGATGATAATCTAGGGCACAGCACACATTTTAAGCATAGTAATCACATTAATATTGGAGGATTTAAAAAAGAAAATCCAGGTATCATTAATTTATCATTATTTCATTATTAGAATTAACTTTGAAATATTTAATTTCCACAGTGAGTCAGAATTGTTTCTCCTGTGCATGGTGTGGATATTGGCATTCTCACAGCTTAATGTGTGTGCTGTGTTCAAAAGTCTAAGCTATGACTGAAGTACTCTTTAAAGTTATCATCATTGGTGATCCCACAGTTGGAAAAACATCTTTTGTGCAGAAATATGTCAATGATTCTTTTCGACGTGACTACAAAATGACTATTGGTGGTAGGCAGATTTAAATGCGTTAATTGAAAAGTAACTATAACAGTTTTTTAATTTTTTTTACATTTTATACTTTATAAAGTGCATATATTGTATTAACTAATTATATATTTTCAGTTGATTTTGCATTAAAAGTAATAAAGTGGTCAGACAAGTGTAACATAAAACTTCAACTGTGGGATATTGCTGGTAAGGTTAATTTTGTTGCATAATTTAATGTGCTTTTTCAATCTGTAGTGTACCATTTTTAAACAGTTCTGTACAATATCACACACCAATTTATTTGATAATCTTGTTAAAATTATGCCAGACCTCAAACTAATATTATATTGTTGCAATTAAAGGCTTTGTACTTGAGCCAATACTCTAAGGACATGGATTTTTATTAAATTTTAATTTGTATGAAAGTCCAATATGCAAGACGTCAGTTAAGTCTAATGAGGGGTAAAAATCATTGACTAAATTAAGAAATAGGTATTAATATTATATTAGACTTAACTTCTCAGCTTGTATGTTCCTTTCTTCTTTTAATGGAGAAGCTGATATTATTTGTCTAACTATCTCATTGTTATATATGATTGTAATGCAAACAAGAATGCAGTGGTTATTTGTTCAGTAGTTTAGGGCTAAGAACTCAAATATTCCAGGTCAAGAACGATTTACTTCCATGACCAGGGTATACTATAAAGATGCACATGCTTGCTTGGTTATGTGTGACCTCACTCAAAAGAACACTTTCCAAAACTCAGTCAAATGGAAAAAAGACTTGGATCTGAAATGTACATTGGTGGATGGCTCTCCTGTCCCATGCCTGTTACTAGCTAATAAGGTAATTATGTAGATAAAAATATTATTAAGTATTTTAAAGGTACAAACTACAACCATACTAAGGTATTGTTTGTGTATTGTCAAGTTTTAATTTCTAATGATTGTGAAATTGTATCTATAGTCAGATATTAGTGATCATCGAGAGGTGACACAAGATGAAATAGAAGAATTATGCAGGGAGCATGATTTCATTGGCTGGAGCGAAACTTCAGTAAAAGATGGCAGTATGATTGAAGAATCAATGAAGTACGTTCTATAGATTGGCTTTCCTGCTTAATATAACTTGACTCTTAGGTTTTTTAATTTTTGTTTGTACAAGTGGTAGTTGTTTTTTTCCCCATTAATATAGAAAACTTATTTTCAGTTTCCTTATAGAAGAAATGATGGCTAAGCATGCAGAACTAGAAGGTTTCTCTGAATCATTCCCATCATCTGATTCCAATTTAAAACTAGGAAAAGATGACGGAACAGCCTCAAATTCATCAAAATGCCCATGCACTTTGACATGACACTACATTTATATATATACATACGGGTCAAAATTTTGTAGAGGCCTAAAATATCTAGATAAGCTCAATAATATCAGTTATATGATAATGTTTAAATGGTTTTTTATTCAAGTAAGACAACCATCCACACATACATCTTAAAAATGTTACAACTTACTTTTAGAACATTTTACTTATGCATTGCTTGGTGTGGCATGCTAGTTTTTATTTGGGTTTATTATTTTCTAGCATATGACTGCAACTGTAATGTGAGATTGGTTTTCTTTATACTTTGGATTTTATCATGATGGGGTGTGGGTCTAGGTCATTGTTCAGATTATAAATGTAATTAAATAGATGCATTTATGTTACTTTTACGCATGGTTACTACACTTTTGATTTTTATTATACAGGGGATGATTCTACAAATGTTATTTTTGTTTTATGTTATGTGAATTTCAAAAGTGCCATTAAGCTTCAAGTCAGTCCATGTAAAGCTTATTTATACCTCCTTTTTTTTACATTGTGAAAATGAGATCAACGGTTAACAAAAAATTGTTGTATCTTTTTTATGTGCCAATTTTATTAGTAGTGAATCACATAAGATAATGTAATTTCCTTTCAATCTCCAGTATTTGCTACTTTTATCATCATGTTGGAAACATTTAAGTGTATTTTTTTCCATTGCAAAGCTCTAATAACTTTTGTTTAATCAAAACACCAAGGTATTGACTAAAAGATATTATTATCAATGTGAAAACTTTTTATTTTTTCAATACTTGCAGCTGTTATATTTCAATGTGCCATAAATGCCATAATGAATGTAGTAATAGTAATCTATTTTTTAAAAATCTGGCCACATTATTTTCCCCTTCTTTTTGCTAAAGCAATAAAGTTATACAATGTTCAATTTTAACAAAAAAAATTTCAACTGCTTTGTAACATAGTAATGTTTAAAATTGCTAAAATTGTAACTATGATATTCATCAAATCATTAAACTGCTTTTGTAACATTAATTTTGAATTTCTAAATTTCACTGTAACGTTTCTCAAATCATTTATTTTAGCACAACTAATGAACAAGCAAAAGATTCTTACTTTAAAAAAAAGAGATTACCAGATAGTCATATTTTGTATTGTGCATGTTATATTAATGTATTAAGATGTTACTGTTTTTATATCTTTAATAAAGTATTGGAATATTATTTGTATTAGCTTGTTTTAAAGTCTTGCCATCCATAAAATCTCACACTTCTTGTCCAAAAATAAGTACACCAAATGGGGGAAAAATTGAAGGTGTTTTATTTCAATCCCAAGTGGTGTTCTGGCGATTACTGGTGTTGCCAAACAAATTGTAAGCACTTGATGTTCCAGTGTTCTTGTAATTTTAGTCAGTGTATCAACTAATGTCTTTAATTTGACTCCATCTCCTCCACATCCCGTTCCATGACCACTTCCACCATTTGTTTTCTTTGTTTGAGGCCAGCTATAAATATAAACAAAAGAATTTTAGAATGGCTGACAGATCAGTAATAAAGTTATACTAATAATAACTAAATTTAAATTAACTAAAGGCAAAACTGACTTTGACTTAGGAGTAGTCTAGTCTGATTTACCTGCAGGTGACTTGATAAGATGTATATTTTTTTCCACTTCCCTTCTGTCTGCTTCTTTTCTGAGCTCTTTTCCTTTTTTTAATCTGTACATAATTATGTGCACAATATAGTTATGTATAAAATCACTAAGTCATTGCACATTTAAACAGCTTTTAAACAATACTCTGGAGAATTTTAAACCACAAATTATTTATACAAAGCAGCCATCAGGTTTTGAACAGAAGGGGAGTTTAAGAAAGGGAGCAGAACTATATAGCAACACATTAGCCTATACTACAACTAGTATAATGATAAAAAATTATGTGCAAGGTAGTTATGCTAATCATTTAAGTCTTGGTCACCCACCAATTCCCAGAAAATTTTAACTGGCTGAGATATTTTGCTTGTTCAATTATTTATTTTAAGCACATCTACAGTTATGGTAGAGGAAAAAAGAATTCATGAGTGTATACTGGGAATTAGAAATCTAAGTTCAACCCTTTGTATTCAACTACAACATTTACCTTACTGCCTCTTCACACAGCACTGCATTATAAACACTAAACACAGCAAATACTTTTTAAGAATGCTAAATGATTAAGAGAACACAGTATGCTTTACAAAAACAAAGGATGGCTGATAAATTAGAGTGACAACTACTTACCTATTAGCAATGAAATGATTTTGTCTTCTTGTCCTAATTTCTTCAATTCTTTTCATTGCTTTCACTAAAAACATATAAAAGTAGAATTAACTGATGCAAACAATAGAAAAAGAAGTAACATAAAGGAATTATGAAAAAAATCTAACTTCAAATGAGCAATAAAATTCAACAAAAATACCTGTATTCTGCCATAATTCTTTATTGTATTTTACAGGTTCATTTCTCCTCTTCTCAAACTCTAAAGATGCATCAACTGTAAGTTCCTTTCCAGCAGCTTTCCTGAATGCTTTAGTCCAGCGAGCCTTGCGTGGGTTGCGCTTCTTCTGGAACGCCTTATGACACTTTGAGCGACAAAATCTAAATATCTGAAAAAATATGATAGGCCTAATTAAATTTTTTACTTATGCAGAAATATGTTCAGCCTAATAAATAGCATATCAAAACTATTATTGTGATTAGCATAATCTTATTGGATGTCTAATAATAATGTCTAAAAAATGTGTGTGTTAGGCTGTTAGGGGAGAATGTTTACACCGGTGTCCGATAATGGAATTTTCTTTAAAAAAGGGGTGTTAGGTTACTGATAGTTAACTGAATGCACACATGGCTGGCTAATGTCACTGCTAACCCTGTCCCTAGCCCCAACCCTGGTCCTACCATACGCCTAACCCTAATTTCTACCCATAAAATTAGTCGAGATTACAGTAACAATACTACGGTAAAACTCCATTTCAGCGTATTTTATTCTCCGTTGCTTGTTCACCTCCAGTTGAGCGTATTTTATTATAAACACGATTTATTTTTTTGTATTGTATTTTTGTTTTAGCAAATGAATAAAAATGAATATTTAAAAAACACGACTTGTTTATTTGTATTGTATTTTTAAAAAAAAGGTATTTGTCTCATGGTGAAACTGATACACTGTTAATCATTCTGTTTTATATTTTTGTATTTATGCAATAAATGTACAAACTCTGTGTTTTTTAATTTGACAGTTTTGCTAAAACTGAAAAAAAAAATTTACTATAGAGTTGTATGTTATTTAAATTCATAGTAAATCTACCATCCTTCCCTTTTTTGTAAGAGTAAATTTCTGACTTTTAAAAAAAATTGATGTGGGGTCATAGATAAATGACGTCACACTCGTAAGGGAGAGGGGGGTCAGCAATTTTGTGACGATGTGTGATGAGGGGGAGGGGGTGGTGTTTCAGATGGTGTGACGTCCCTTTTTTTGCATTATAAAAAAAGCAATGTTAGAAAAAAAAGTTTTAGCCGTTATTTCGCGTTTTAGAAAACGGTTTTAAGAAATTGTAATATGAATTGATCAAAATACTCTATGTTGACAGAGTTCTGACAAGATTTTGGAAAAATTATCGATGTTTTAAGAAAAATTCAACAGAAATTTTGAGGGGGGGGGGGGGGGGGTTGTAGGCTGAGGTGTGACGTCATTTTAGGGGGGGTCTGACTTTTTGTAACGACGTGTAACGGAGGGGAGGGGGGGAGGTAAAAAATCGTAAAAAAGCGTGTCGTCACAAAAAGCAAGACCCCCCCCCCCCCCAATGACGTAGCACCATCCGAACCCCCCCCTCATCACACACCGTCACAAAATTACCCCCCCTCCCCCTACGAGTGTGAATTCATTTATGGACGACCTCTAACATTATTTTTTTTTAAATGACAACGTGAGTTGTCACACTTTCTCTAACACTCCAAGCCATCCCTCACCAAATTCCACCCCCCCCCCACCCCCCTCGGCCCACTTTCGGCAGCATCATTGTGCCTTTTAATACTTTTATTCAGTTTAGTTGAAATTGGAACACTTAATTGTACAAAGTGTACATCTCTATTTTTGTAACCAACAAACAAAGCACTTCAGTCAGTCTATTTGTTGTTTTTTATTGATTTGTTAAAACAAATATACAATACAAATAAATAAGTCGTGTTTTTTAAACATTCATTTTATTCATTTGTGAAAACAGAAATACAATACAAAAAATAAATCGTGTTTTCCTAATGTTTTGGTGTGTTTCGGTTGTTATAATAAAATACGCTCAACTGGAGGTAAACAAGCAACGGAGAATAAAATACGCTGAAATGGAGTTTTACCCAATACTACTAACAACCCAACACCCCTTTTTTAAAGAAGATTCTATCATCGACACCAGTATCTATAATTATCCAAGATTCTATTATCGGACACTGGTATAAAAAATCCGAATTTAATGTCTTAAAAAAATTTAAAATCCGAGTAGTAGTGAGTAGTGCGAGTAGGCCTGTGGGTTAGTGTCAAGACTCAGACTCACCAGACTGAATTATGATATTATCGTTTTTTTTTAAACGAGTAATAAGGGCCATGTTATATACATATTTAGCATCAATGGCATTGTTAACTAATTAATTAGTAGCCTAGGCTTAGGAGGATGGGGTGGGGGCCTTGTATCCAATACTTTAAACTTTAAAATTGTAAGTTTACAGCAGTGATTGAATGAGTGGACTTGAATAAAAAATGAAACTTCCCATTATCGATATCTTCGCAAACTTTAACTTATTCTAAATTAAACATGAAACGTTTTACGAACCTTGCTGTCGTTTCTAACAAAATGTATTCCGTGGCCTGGATACATAGGAGATGAACAGAAAAAACACTTTTCAACTCTCATTTTCGAGTATTTTTTTAGTCAAACTTAAATTAAAACACCATACTGTGAAACACCGGAAGAATAGAAAGAGTTATCTACCCTGACCCCAAGAACCGCACACATTGTTCAAGCGTAACTTCATTGGTCTAAAATATTTACCCCACAAAAAAAAGTATAAAATTGTTTTTTAGGATTCTGAGGTCAATGATCCAATCCTAATGTTAGGCTCAGATTGTGAAATTTTCAAATTTATCGTAGTCAAGTTAAAGATCAATTTTCCGTAGATACTAGAAAATTAATATCGATAATTATTCTAAAGATCTAAATTTTAAAAAATAAAACAAACTAGATCTAGTAGAGACACCCTGAGAAGTATTCAACCGTGGACCCAGTCCGACCCCACTATGATGGCTAAGTCCGTCTTAGAGGCGTAGCGACCCATTCCAGCGCCTAGTACGAATTGAAAATGCTACGCCTCCACCCTCCCTCACACACACATTTGAAAAGGTTGGGCGCCTTTTTCCCGTAACTATCCCTGTTTACCTTAATGTCAAATAATTGATGGGAAAAAAAACTAAACCAGTTAGGAAAGCAAAGCAGTAGTATATTTTCTTAACTTGTTAATTATTTAGTAATGCTGCTAAGAAAGAGCCTTTTTATTTACTTTTTCTACCCCGTTTGACGCCCTCTAGGAACAGCGCCCGGGGCGGCAGCCCCATCCGTCCTCCCTAGCTACGCATCTGGTCTGCAAACTACATAACACTTAGTTCTATGAGCATTGTGGCTCATTCCCGTGAAATCTAAAACTCGTGGATTCAATCATAGCACCGCCCTTCTGGAATTACAAGAGCCCTAATTTTGATGGAATAACTCGGGAGGAGGGATTGTAGCTCAACCGAACCCCCCAAAATCTCATTTTTAAACTTTTTTTAAAGTATTTAATAATTTCATGACGAAAAAGTTGGACGTGTGAAAGAATAGACATCACTAAAATGGCTGTATTTGAATATTTCTCTGAAAGACGCACACGGGGCTAAGACTGGCTGAGGTGGAAACTTTTGACATTTATTTTCGGGAAGGGATCTGGTGTTTAGGGACGACAACTCTGATACTGACGTGTAAAAATCTGCTACATGAGCATAACATCATTTATTTATGAACCAAAAGAAGTATTGTACGCTTTAAAAGACAAAAAAAATTGATGTTTCTTAGCTGAGAGGAGAGGGGAGGAGCGGAAATTTGAGAAGGGGCGAAACAGCAGAAATGTAGGTCTACAATATTTAGAAATAAGTATATAGGCCCCCTATACTTATAAGTAAATTATCACCAGGAGGGTGAGGAAAACACCACACTGAAAAATCGTAAAATGTATTAGCGAAGCAATGTTGTATCTAGTTAATTTTTAAAATTGTAGTTGGAGGGGTGAAACCAAAGAGAAAATGGGACATTGTTTGGGGGGGGGGAGGGGGGTGACACCCTTAGTTTATGCATTTGGTGACACCCGACCTAGTGACACCACTGATCATTATTTTTATAATAATAGTTTTGTCGTAACATGACTATAGCAATCTACTATAAAGGATGTTTACTTTTTAATGTTGCTCTCAAAACTGTTTCTCGGCGATCAGATTTAGTCTAGGAAGTTTCGACTTGTAACTGGTTTTTACAAACGTCGAAAAATTAGTGGGAGGAAATCACATAGGGCGTAGGCAGGATTTTGTTATATGAGGGTGGGGGGCGTCACTATTCATTCTAGCACAATTTTTTTTAATAATCGTTATGGAAAAGAAAATTTCAGTCCTCAATAAGCAAAGTGTTTTGTTAAGCTTGACTCAGTTGAAACCACCAGTAGCACTTCACTAACTCACAAGCTTTTAAAAAATCCCATAGCGTTTATACACACACAATAGTAGGTCTATTATACTGTCAAGTATTGACTTAATTTAACCAGGTCAAGGCAGGTCCAAAAATAAACACAGGTGTTGGTACCTGACCACGATCCCCAAGGATGGGATGCTCAGAACTGGCTAGCCCACCCGCCCCCCTCCCCTCCCATGTCTGTCATTACTGTTATTTAGCCTTGTGGTCATTGTATAGGTAAAATCCACCTTACCACCCCCTCTTCACCCGGCCTTGCTCTTTTCCCCACTCTCCTCGGGTTGAAAATACTCTCACACTTTCAACTCATCTTCACCATCTTTTTCCATCACCCCCCCCCCCCCCCCCCCTCACAAAAGCAGCTCAAATCCTCACCTCAACCTGTCCACGACAGAATTATAACAGATAACCCTCATCACTTTCCTCATACGAACCATTTAAAAAAAAACACTTCCCAAGATTGAGAGTTACCCGCCCTTCACCTTTCCGCCATGTTTTATCCGCTCGACATTTGGCACCCATTCAGCCATCAACTACCTACAAACCGGTACCTAGTAGTCGTATGTGCTTTACAATAGAACCTTTCGATTTGTTTATTTTGAAAATGCCAAGACGGGGCTAATCTTTTTCTGCAAGCGTGCTCCCGTTTCTTATACACGGCTTAAAATCGGGGAACCTATAATACTAATACTATAGTCCGAGTCACCGAGTCATATTTGCAAATTATATTTATTTAATTTACTAAGTTTATAGATTATTTATTTTTATACATTTAATATTTACACACCAAAGAAAATAAGTTTGTATTTGCACACTTGTAAAATAAAAAAATAAAAAACCCCTGCTTTGTAAACTTTGACATCGACCAGTG